AAAAAAAAAAAAAAAAAATAAAAAAAAAAAAAAAAAAAAAAAAAAAAAAAAAAAAAAAAAAAAAAAAAAAAAAAAAAAAGTCCCAAAGGATCGAAGCGAGCGGCGCTATGACACTCCCCGAAACCTTCGTGTTGAAGGTTGCATTGGCATGTTTGAGGAAGTTCTGGAGTACTAGCCAGTCCTTAAGACGGTAAGGCCATCGGGCTGCACACCTTTCGGGTCTCAAGTACAGACTAAAGCTTAGGAAAGCAGAAGTTATGGGACAGGGACACGTCAGTGGCGAGGCAAACACCATTACGCCTATCCAGCCAACAACTTAAGGATAGCTTGCCGATCAACAAGAGACCACACAAAGCCACCGTATTCCCAGATTACGCCAAGCTGATATCGTAAGGAAACTAAGCGCATAAATATTGGTCACGTTCCCTTAACGTAGAGAGGGACATAAAAGCACAGTGTACAAGCTACTGGCCACTGACAATCAATGAGCGGCCGCTCTTGTGCCTCCAAGCCGAGGCAACGGCGATAGGAGTTTTTTCTATGAAGTCCAAGTAGGATTCATGCTTATTCCTACATACCTATTCTGTAAAAAGCTGCACGAATGATCCCAAGCAAGCGTAGTGTGTAGTTTATCACTCTTGTCACTTGCATTAAGTATTGCAACAGGAGAAACTGACAACGTTTTCATCACATCCTTCCTTTATCCTTGCTCTGAAAGGGAATACCCCGCCAAATACAACCCAAACATACGACGTGGAGGCATTTATTGCAACCTCCCTTGGCGTGGGTGATGGGCTCACACTTAACAGCATCCACGACAATAAGTGTGCCACATATTTGACAATTGGGGTAATACACATGATCGCGTTGGGCAATGCATGTGTGTGTCTGGCCTATTTAGACTTCTTGGCGTAAGCTGACGTGAATCCTTGGAATTAAGCGCTCATGTCATGTTCCAGGATTTTGTTGCCTTCCCACGTACACATGCATGGACACCTCCTGTACGCTGGCCTTGTGACTTCGGTGCTGTCTGCTATTTGGCCAAATTGGTATTATATTTTATAAAATGAATTAGGAAAAATAAGCTTTCATATATCTCTTTAAACTGAATATAATCATATATCTTTAAATTTGCTGTACTAGTTTTAACTTTAATGTATTTACTTTTGCTTACTACACTAAATAGTTATTGTTATTCTTCTATGTTATTCTTCTATGTTATAGCTGAGGGATTTAGTACCTAAAGCGATGCTGCCTACCCCCACGGGGGTTTGGCTGCCTTACGGATAATCAGTGTGGTTGTATTGCATGAAGTGATGCTGATGGTTTTGGTGTGGCCAACGCAACATGGATAAGCCAGATTGGAGCTCGTAAACTGACGAATCAAATCGGCGACACATTTGTGCGGCTCAATTCATCCCTCACCATTTCGTTCTAGGGACGAAGGTCGACTCCCACCCTGCTATATAGTACAAGGCACCTACAGCTGAGTTCGTAGAGTGAGAGGCTAAGCAACTCCAAGATACGAACAGAAGCACCACGAGGAATTTAACTTCTACCGGTATAAAACCCAAACAGAGTAGGCCTTTATCCAAGCGGCTTTCCCACAGAGTCATTGCTCATTTCCACAACGCAGATGTCACAGCCAATAGTCAAACTAAATGAAACGGGGCCAGAGCCTAATGAACAAAGAGAGCAGCCATGGAAGAAGTGGTTCGCTGAGCACGAAAACCAAACAGTGTCTGGGAAGGAAAGGCGTGCCGATCTCGTGAAGGTCGGAATTGCCGAGGCCGGTAATAGGTGCTCTCTTTGCGGGCAAAAGCCTTGCATATGCGGGCCAACCTTCGTCGTATCGTGACTTTGTCCTCTCAGAGAGCCTGCAACTGGGTTTGGACGCATTGATTGTCATCTCCCTAGTTTAGCGGACTCTATAGGTGGAATATTGCCTTTCGGCCAACTATTAACGGCACATTTGGAACATTGTGTATGTAGCAAGATTAGAAGCAGAGTTTTCACTTCGTGATATTGAATAAGGATATACCGTCCACTATGTATAGTAGTGATTATTTTGTAGTAAAACAAGAGAAAAAAACTGAACCCTAAAAATTAATAAAAAAAGATCTGGAAAAGGCCAAAAATGAAGACGCTGTTTCTAGTCTGACCCAGGAAGGGGTATGCTAGGCAGCAGCTGATGTAAAAACCAGGTGGACAGTATTTTAAACCCACTGATTCCCCCGCTCCTCACTTTCGAGACATATCTTCTCCCAGTTTGTTTCAACACTTCAATCGTGACTTTTCACACATATTGATACCCATAATGGCTCTACCAAATCATGGAAAGTGCCAAGATGAGATTTCTCAGCTCAACTACATAGAGGACTCCGACGTATTCTTACGACAGAAACCATATGAGATCTTGTCCGAGGTCCCAGATGGTTGCGACAAGAGCAACTTCCGGCTTAGAACAGGTCACGCTGAGACGATACACGATATCCGAGGCTATGAAGACCAATTCGATCTTGACAATCACGGTTTCCAGGTGATGCAACACACCCTTGAAACGACAGAATTCGATGAGAACACTATCAAGAAGGATTACATCCCAGCAATAGAAACACTTCTCAAAGGCACCGGTCCAGATACGGAAGTTTATGTCTTTGACTGGAGAGTACATATTTCTCACAAAGAAAAGCGCGACCTCGGCTAATCAGACCAGCTTCGCTCGAGCGCCCTGCCAGTTCCACAGCCGGGGTCAGTAATCGACCTGAATGACCCGAATCTGGTCTTGAAGCCCGTGCAGGCCGTTCACGTAGGTAAGAATGACAAGATATCTCCGTACAATGATTTGTATTTGACAATTTCACAATCAGATCAGAGCCCGCATGGTGCAATGAAGCAAGCTAGACATATTCTTGGCAATAAATTAGATACATTGGAAGGTAAAAGGATCCGCATTATAAAGTTCGTGAGACCTCTGAGGAAGCCTTCACTCTATAATTATTAATGAGTTGTTTTAGTATATGGCGCCCTATCCGACACGCGATCGAGAGCTGGCCTCTGGCAGTGTGCGATGGTAGTACGGTCCCAAAGGATAAGCTCCTCGAAGTCGATCACGTCAGAAAGTATTACATAGGAGAGTCGCTCTATCCGCTTCAGAGCCCGGGCTATAAATGGTATTATCTCAACCGCCAAACAAGAAACGAAGTGATACTGTTCAAGAATTTTGACTCTAAGCCCGATGTTCCAGCGAAGTGTAAGCATCCCATTCTTACGATGCTGGTACTAGAACTCTATTGACCACATTTTCAAGGCTGCCCTCATACCTCTTTTATGAAAGAGATGGCCTCGCCATCAACTCAGCCGCGAGAGAGTATTGAATTAAGGGCCTTGGTTGTATCATCAGCTTGAGTGCTATCATATCCCTTCAAGGTTCCTCTGTTTCCTCTCAGCTGCGTCTTTGATGAGTAACATAAGGGGAGCCATTTTTTACGATCGTGCAGGGAGCCTACACTGAGAAGGGAACGGTGCCGATAGATAGAAAGCCAGATATTCAACTCTTCCCGAGAAAATAGCCTCTTCGGTCGTTATCTCTACTTTGCTTTTCAAACTCCAAGTTTCCCCTCCAACCATATTAATATAGCTTTTCCATGTGCTACTGAGATATTTCGGTGCTATCGACCACTTGAGTCAAGTAAACCCTTGCAAGGCCTGGTGGAAGCATTGCAGTTGGCAAAATTGCCAATTCAGTAGGTCTGAGAAGGAAATTTGACAGTCAGCCTTCAGGTGCGGCTAAAGTCGCCGCAACAACTGCTGGGGGAAGAGTCTAAACGCATGATTACCCGTTCACCTCGAGTAAGAGAAATGGGGCGGGATCGTTGCAGAGAGGGCATGCAAAGACTATCCTAAAAATGAGGCTCTATGAGGAGCTGGAGTGTAGCAGGGCATTAAACAGGGATACAGATGGTGGCTTCAGGGGCCACCCTCATAGGGGATTACACCCCCGTCTGAGGATGTACCGCTGTGTCAGACGTGTCCCCGCTTGATTTGCAGCTGGGCCTTGCGTCTGCCTTGAAGTGCTCGCCTCACCTCGGCTTGACTTGAGAGGATGCCTCTTGAACATTCCTTCTACTACTGAAGAATTCCATTCTTCAATATCTCGCGCAAGAAGGCGTTTGATCTGCCACGGTTCAAGATACCTGCACGAAGCTGTCATCTGGTAAAACCCAGCGCTGTACGACATACGTCACGAACTCGTCATTTCTCCCAGAGATTTTTTGTGTCTTACATTTTGCGGGGTATTACGTGTTTCATCTGATCACGATGGACTTGTTCGCTTGTTGTTTTAGCAAGTCAAGGAATGAGGGAGGTAGCCGCAAAGTATCCTCAGGCTCCTCGTCATCCAACATGAGCAAGGACAGAGAAAAGGACTTTGACGCCTTCAAAGACACTGGTGAGCATTACCAGACAGAACTCTGGAACTTAGTCATCAGCGAAAAGGAAGATGCTCTGTCCAGCTTGCGCGAGCGCCTCGCCGGACAGGACCAGCCACCGCGACTATTGATAACAGCCTCTGAAAATCCGGATGAACTTCTCAATTCGCTGACCACTTCGTACAACGCCCATGGGCACTCGAGGCGTATGCCACGAGTCCGAGAGATTTTCTCGAGCATGGGACCTTTCGTCATATCTTGCAATGCCATAGCCCGAACTCAGACAGTTGCTCCCTTGTTTTGGGGCAGTCTCACACTCGTCTTCCTGGTCTGTCTCATTTCACTCAGCGGGTTTGTTGTCTTAGATATAGAGTACTGACGCTGCAGCCTTTTTCTGAAGGCCGTTCTGCGATTTGCAACCTTTTGGGATGAGCTGAAATCAATGCTGGAATCCATGTCGACTGCATTGCCCAGGGCTCATGAATACACAACAATTCTCCGCACTCCTCGACTACACACCGCACTACGAGAAGTCTACCACACAGTCATCGATGCGTGCATTGTCATTCTGGAGTGTCTGCTGTCTAAACAGTGCTGTATGTCTCTACTCCCCAGCTCTCTTCTGATTCCCAACGATTCTCGATGAACTAACGAGAAGCCACAGTCGCTGCCGTGAAAATACAGTGGACAATGCTCACCTCAGAGCACCAGCGGACGGTCAAAAGGCTTGCGGCGGCAAATACCGAGTTCGAAAAGGAAGTGCAGCTGGCAGAGGTACAAGAGGGTTCTCGACGCCATCAAGAAATCATGGCGCTTCTCCGACCCTCCTTGCCAACGCAGAGTCTGAAGACGAACACTTCACTTCCCCGAAACAGCAGGTTCAGTGGGCATGAGGATACTTTGGCGTTATTGCACTCATTCCTGGCACCAAGCTTTGAGGGTGAGTCCAACAGCAAATGGACGTTCTGTTCTTGCCTGGTCCACGCCATCGGCGGCACGGGCAAGACTGAGCTTGCCCTTGAGTACGCCTACCGTTTTCGTGAGCATTATACATGTATATTCTGGCTTCGCTCCCAGACGCGGGCACTTCTCCAAGAGTCATTCATTCAGGCCATTTCTGAACTCGATATTCCAAACTTGAAGGATGAACCACCAAGTAGACAGGTGGAACTGGGTCTCAAATGGTTTAGATCTACTGGTATAATCAAACATTTAAAACTACAGATTAGAAGTCCTACTAATGAGAGATTTATAGGCCTAACCTGGCTCCTCGTCTACGATAATGCCGAGGACATAAACGTACTTCGGGAGTTTTGGCCAGCAGGGTTCCACGGCGCAATTATTGTTACGTCCCAGAACCCTTCCGTTGGCCACCTGACTGCGAACAGCATCTTGCTCCGCACTCTGAGGCCGTCCGAAGGGGCCACTCTAATCCAGAAGTACCTCAACCGGGGCTTATCAGAGGCAGCCTCCGCTGAGGAGCTTTCAAGAATATTGGGAGGCCACGCACTCGCCATTGTCCACTTCACTGGTCACGTTTCGAGGTCTCAGTGTCTCATTGAAGAGATAACCAAAGGTTTCTCAAAACGACTCCAATCAAGCTCTGTCTGGAAGACGGATAGGGAAAACATATCTGTGATGACAAGAGCTTACGCGCATACCCTTGAGACTGTCTGGAACCTCGCGTTTCAGAGACTCAGCAGCGACGCCAACACGTTGCTTGAATGGATTGCTTTTCTCGACCCGGACCAAATCCCGACGGACCTTTTTATTGAACCCTCAGACAATGCACAGCCTGGAGTCCCAGGCAGTGGCTGGGGCTACTGGGATATCACGAGGTAAGCCATGGCCTTCTTCATCCTTCTCCAAGAATAAGTTGGAAAATAACTCGGGCTAAATCTTGTATTTTCAACGTGCTTTAGATTCAACAACGCCGTTGAAGTTCTCAGAGAGCGAAACCTCGTAGAGAGATACGGCCAGGATGCCGACGACTCTCTGAGAACTCATCGAGTCCTTCAACGTTGCATCCTCCAGAGATTAGACAGCGAGCCGGATAAGAGGTTCACTCGCTTCACGGAAGTTGTATCTATTCTCCGCAAAGCGATACCAGATGCCAATCCAATTAATAGAGGAGACAGAAACCAAACCTGGAGATTTGCTCGATACCTGCCGCAGATTGAACGATTACACTCCAACTTTGTGGACTCAGAGCCGAAAATAGAAGGGTCAATGGCATTCGCGACGGTGCTGGATGATACGAGCTACTACGCGATGACGCAGGAGGATAACAACCTATCTCAAAAGTTTGCCATGACCGGCGTCCGCATCTGCGAGAACGAGATAGAGTCCCGCCCCGACAACATCGAGGCCAAGGCGCTTCTTCCGAATCTACTCGCGCTATTAGCAGCGGCGCTCAATTACTGTGGTGTCACCGGGCGGAAGGAAGCTCTGCAAATTACACGGCGCGTGCTGGAACTCCGGCAAGAGGAACTGGCAGAGGTCCCGGAAGAGGACTGGACCGATCTGCAGGCCGTCAACTATGCCCGCGCCCACGGCGATCTCAGTTGGCAGCTCTTGGAGATTAATCAGCCAGAGGACGCTGGTCCGTTGTTAAAGGTGGCGATAGGCATCTACGAGCGGATCAACAACAAGCTTCGCTTCGCCTCGGCCAGTTCGATGTATACCATGGTATTGGGTACACAACAAATGAAGGATCAGGTCAGAGAACAAGGGAGCGCCATCAAAAAGACTGTCGAAGAGATGGTTGGGAGCAAGGACCCGTTGAATCTCATGGTGAATTTCGAGCTTGCGAATGCTTACTTCACAATCGGCGATGTGCGCACTGCCTGTGACATGATGGAAGCTGTGTTTCGACAGCGATCCATCAGCCTCGGCAGTACCAATGACAGAACTCTGTCTAGTCAGTACTGTCTATCTGTATTTCTACAGAATCTTAAGGATCTAGAGGCGGCCGAGTGAGTACAATTCTTTGACTTGCCATCGAAACCCAACCTAAGCTACTCAGACATCATGAGCAATACTCAATCTTCATGTTCAATTCACGCTGACAGTGATCTCTTATTTGCACAGAACCCATTTACGAGAAGTCCTCAAAAACAGGAGCGTTACAACTTATTGGAGGGAGGAGGACATTGCACGGGCCAAGTTTCGGCTTTTGTTGATTCTCCGAGCCCAAAACCAGCTTGAGGAAGTCGCACGAATCTCGAAGGAGATAGATCCGTTTATTCAAAAGCTCAGGGCTTCTTCGTCACTGCCAAAGGATTCATATACTGATCAGGATGATATGGCGCTGCTTGATACTTCGGTTACGATCACCCATGGCCGTACTGCAGGGCTATGGAGCGCCGGGGAGTTTTGGTAATGTTCTACCAGATTTTCCTTGTGATAAATGTTAAACTGTATACGAAGCAAGATTATTGTAAGGAGAAGAAAGGAAAATAATAAAAAAAAAACTGTCCCCAACTGTTAACAGTAAACAACTTGTTATTTTAAGGGGCATTTTAAGGAAACTAAGTTATAAATGAAGGTACTTATAACCATCTATCACAGATCCGCTCTTGGCATGTTAGCACTCTTTTCTTGGCCGCATCTCTCTGAGCCGTTGCCACGATATGTGAAGATTGGAAGAGCCATAGATAGTGTACATTTTATTGAAGTTGGCCGGGCATGTCCATGGGCGTCTTTCATGTAGTCTTCCATTACTATTACGGCCATGGTGGACAGAGGAGAGTGAAGAGAATGATGAGAGAGCGCGCGGGAGAATTGGAAAGAAGTATTTGTCTGGGAATAATGATATAGTCAACCCGATTCAAGCCAGCGGTGTTATTGAACACCTCATGTTCGACCAACAAACTATGTCATTTCCTAGACAGCCAAGGTAGGAGTAGGCGTACCAGGTGAAGCCTTAACATGCTCAATACATGGTCCTCAACCCACACATCAAACCAAACCTGGTGGTTTCCGAGCGTCTTGCGTGGACCATCCAGCTAACAATTCTACCGTAGATTTCCGTCGATAACTTTTCCATCCACACCTGCATTCTCCAACATTGCCGCTGTCTTGTTCGATCGCTGGGAAGCGTCTATAGATTTCACACTCAGGGCAGAGCATATCGCAACACACCCAAAGGCAATTGCGATCAGATACACCATGCTGTATGACTGCGAGTTTGACTCCAATACTGCCTTCTGGGTGGCCGTGATTGTCGAGTTGGTGATTCCTTCGACAGTCTGATATGCGGCGAGCGTATTTTTCCGTGCTGCTAGGAGCAACTCATCCACCGACCCAGCGAAATTGGACTCTTCAGCTGCGGAACGCACTTGGCCAGGCAGCACCTGGGCAAACCGGCTGCTCTGGATCGAGGTATAGATAGCAGTAGCTACGGCTCCTCCTATCAGCCGAAAGGTACTGATCAAACCCACGGCAATTCCGATATCCGTTTGGTCCTCAAGATGTAGAGAGACCATGCCGAAAGACAAAGGGGACGGTGGTAAATTGACAGTAGCTACGAGAATGACCGTAGCAATCGCCTGGCCTTTGTCAGCGAGGCCGACGCTGGAAAGCGAGCCGACGAGAGCCGTCTGTATCGTGATGCAGGCGACCAACTGCCACTTCTCGTGCTTGAGCCACGGCATCAAGCTGACGCAGTACCACCCAGCAATCATGCTTCCAAACGAAACCATGTTGGCATAGACGCCCTTGATGATTGGATCACCGCCTTGAGGAATGAACATAAGCGCGCTCTGCCGGGGCCAGATGACATTCATTGAGTAGTAGAGCATGCCGGCAACGAAGCAAACGACGAGAAATGCGGTGAACCTGCGCCACTCGCGAAACAAGTGAGGTGGGAGGATGGGATACGACAAAGGCATATAGACCTCCCAGAATCCGAGCGCGATAAAGCATACAAAGCTCACAACGATGGGCGCAATCACCCACGAGCTATTCCACGCGTGCTGGCCCCCTCCCCAGTTCAGAGCAAGCAACAGGAGCAGACATCCAGCGGTGAAGAGAATCAGACCGACGTAGTCGATTTCTTTTGCAAGTTGCCATTTGCTCTTGCCATCGCCGGCATGCTTCGTTTCGAAGGTCGGCGGGTGGTAGAAGAAGAACAACATGATGGCGGTGACTGCCTCCCAAGCAAAACACCACCAGTAGCAGGCTCTCCAGCCTATCTTGGAGTAGGCGATGAAGACGTATCCGAGAATTGGGGATATTGAGCTCAGATGGTTTGAAAGAATCATCACGCCTGTAAGCAAAGGTTAGAACCACACTGGTGTCTTGAGAAATCGTACGTCACAAACCGAGAGTTTGAAATCGCCACTTATTAGGGACGAGCTCCTGCGCACAAGCGAAACACATCTCCTGGAACCCTCCTCCAATTCCGAAGATGATGCCGCTGACGATCATCTGGTTGATGCTCTTCCCAGTGGCGCCGACAAGGGCACCGACAGCAGCCGAGACAGCACCAAACATGAGAAACCACCGCCGGCCTGTGATGTCTGAGATGCGTCCACCTACACTGACGATGATGGCCGCTCCAAGGTTCCATCTAGTTCGCGAGTCAGCTGAGAAGTCACACGATGACATATCACAACTTACGTTATTGCTATCCATGGGTAGCGGGTATCAGGTCCCAGTTCAGCGTCAATGTATGTCAGCACAGCAGCAGGCCTACAATAGAAGTCAGTTAGCTCGCTGTAGGATATTATTTGGAATATCTGGAACACTGACATAATAAGAGTGAATAGATATGCCTCGTACATCAGAATAAGCGATAGCACAGCTAGTTTCATTTTCAATGTGACCTTGCCATCATCACCCTCTTCAGCGGGTGTCGAAGGACTTTCTGGGTCAGACAGCGCGACTTCATATTTGTCTTCAACATGGCTGGCGTCATCGGCCTTCTCCTTAACCGCTCTATGAGAAGATTCCATCGTGTCTAGGAAGGCCAGCTCCAAAGAGAGGACGCGGTATCATGCGACTGAGAGGTAGAAGCCCAAGGTCAGATAAGGAGTCCCGAAATTCAAGTGAATTTTCATAGAGTTTGTAGTGGCTCCGTCTCTAAAGAAAATGACTTGTGTGTCGCTCGGGTGAACCGAAAAGCGCTGGATGAGCAGGACCAGAATATAGCCAATTAAGTTCATTCGAATCTGGCTTGATTGCACCTGTAATGTTACAGAGCATCAAGCGAGTTGACCAAGTGATCGCAACGGAAGGACAGAGCCGCCCACAGGATAACATTACCCCGAATCCCAGACACCAGAAAAACGAAGTCCGGGTGGCGGGGAAGTCTGCAACTAATGATTCATGGAGTAGGGAGTCCACTCTCTTAGAGGATTCGGCAACAAATTTGACTTTACTAAAGAGCGTGCGAGTTGTGGTGGGTGGCCGCGAGGTCAAGCATTGCTGGGAGTTGTCAAGTGGCAGTTTTGAACAACAAAGCGCCTCTTTTCCAAGCATACGTATCGACACAAAATTACCGAAAACGAAAATGGCAAGGAACATCTATCAATCTCCATACCCTACCCCAAGTGTTCCAACTGATGTGAGCGTCTCGCAATTTCTGCTGCGAAGCGATCCCGACGACACGCATCCAGACGTAGTTGTCCTTGCAGACTTCGATGCCCCAGAGGAACGGTTCGTAACTTATGGAGGCATCCGCCTAAATGCCTCACTGGATGCAGCCACCTTGCGAAACAAGTACGGTCTACATCAAAACGACGTGGTTTGTATCTACGGATTCAATTCGGCGTATTGGGCATCGTTAGCACACGCGACCCTGTGGGCAGGCGGATGCTTCTGGTATGTTCAAGCCTCATGCAGTCCAAATGTTTGCTAATCAGGCAAGACAGCGGGATCAATCCACTAGCTACGAGTTTTGAGTTGGTTCATTATTTCCAAATTGCACAGCCCAAGGCCGTCGCTGTTGACGCGAGCCTGCTCGGAAATGTTCAAGATGCTTGCAAAAAGCTCTCTATATCACCTCATCTCATCATTATTGATGACGGTACACCTTCTAAAGTTGGATATGATATTGTAGGTTCATAATGTGAAGATGAAACATATCGGCTAGGTGCTAATGGGACTCCTGGTAGTATCCGTTGGATTTTAGAGATCAAACCGGTTCAATCAGCCCATTTGATCTCTCCGCAAAGGACAACAGAACCCAAACAGCGGCAATTTGCTTCAGTTCCGGGACGTCCGGCCCTCCCAAAGGGGTGGTCATGTCTCACCACAATCTCTTGGCTCAAATTATGGCCATTCGGGCCACGAACCCCTTTCTTCATAGCTCTCGGAGTCGAGAGGTCTTCTTCCCCTCGTTCGCTCATGTCTATGGGCTGGTATCGGCGGTTCTGGTTCCGGCGTGGGTTGGGTCATACTTGCAGCCGATGAAGAGATTCGATTACATGCAATATCTTCAACGATGCTCGGAGATTCGAGCCACCGTGCTTCGGCTCGTGCCAACCGCGGCTGTGAGAATGGTGAAAGACCCCGAGGTTAAGAGGTTGGATCTTACCTCTGTTCAGGCGGTCATGTGTTCTGGTGCTGCCTTATCGGAAGAAACGATAACAGGACTAAAAGAAATACTCAGATCTTCATGCGGGATTCTAAATGGTTACGGGATGACTGAGGGTACTGTAACCCTTCTCCGTGAATCTCGTCAAGACAAAGGTGACAGCGTTGGCCGGCTTTCTGCGGGGGTATCCGCCCGCGTTGTCGATGATGCTCTCAATGATGTCAGGCCAGGAGCCGAGGGCGAGTGTCTTGTCAAGGGGCCAAGTGTTTTTCTCGCATACAAGGGAAATGAAAAAGCCACCCGAGAGGCAAAAACAGAAGATGGCTGGCTGAAGACAGGGGATATCGTCAGGGTTGATGATGATGGGTTTTTCTTTCTTACAGGGCGCAAGAAAGAATTAATCAAGTACCATGGGAACCAGATTTCACCAGTAGAGCTGGAAGCGGTTTTATTGACGAATGCCGAGGTTCTTGATGCCGGAGTCTGTGGAGTCTTTGACAAGAAACTTGGCACAGAAATCCCGGTCGGCTTTGTCAAGTTGACATCTGAGTGCAGTGATGAAGACCAAAACATCACATTGCAAAGCATCCGAGCCTTTGTCAACTCCCGCGTCGCACCCTATAAGAAATTCCGCAAGCCATTGATCAGCGTTAAGGAGCTACCCAGAAACTCATCAGGGAAACTAATACGGAAAAAGCTGGAGATCATGGCAAAGCGAGAAGGATTTATTGAATCTAAGCTTTGATGCTAAAAGTGAAACAATTTGGTTTTGTGTTCTCATTAAGGGTGTGCTCACAGTCGAGTGAAGGCTTCCATCTGCTTTTGAATGCGGTTTAACCACCCTTTTCTGGTCTAGGAAGATCCCACTATTTTGAAGCAAGTAACGAGGAATAATCGGAGTCTTTTTACAAAGCGCATATGACTTCCTTACGTTTGGTGATGTAGACATTGACCCCTTGAGGTGGTTTAGGGTAGGTATTTCTGGGGTTGGGTAGTTCGCGATATGGCAAGCATTCAAACAATGAATGAAGTATTTTTTGATAGCTTCTGAATTGAAAATGATCTCAAATTCTCATTGACGACAAAGATTGGGACTCTTTCCATTATAATTTATTCGTTCAATGTCGGAATAGCCCTAGAATACTTGTCATATACCTACCTAAGTATATATCAATGATGGGGATATCACCCAGATACACCTTGCCAAGACTCTTCGTCGGATTATTTTGTCGCGATCGAGCTAATAAAGGCCAACTTGTATCTTCCTTCGCTAGTAGTGATCAGTTCTAGCATTAAATATCTTGCCGATCTTTCAGCATAAGTTCCAAATTCCTGCATGACATGTCACTGCAACCACTTTAATCTTGCACGTCAGACATGTAGCAAGTCACCCCCACGTTTCAGTATGTATCTAAGCAACCTCATCTCAACTTGCATTGCTCTTGCTTCCGAGCTGGTAGGCCTATCATCTAATATAGATTAAGACTTATATGACCATATCTATTCTGAGGCTTCACCGCTTGTTGAAATGAAACCCTGCCTACTAACTCGCAAGAACAAGTTTGAGATATGATTGCTTTAGGCGACGGGACAATTAATTAATCGACCACTGCTTGATCTAGCTTAGCTATGACCCATCAAAACCATCGTCGAAAGTTAAGAAATCATCGTCTGAAGAATGAGAGAATGTGGCCTCGGCCAAATGGTGACGCGCTAAGCTGCCAACGCTCTCATCACGAAGAACTGTTTGGACAGGATTCTAGCTATTAGCGCTCTGGTCTGCAGGCATCTGGGAGGGAATTGTACGTGTATATTCAACGCTAACACCGCCAGTGACCAGGTGAAGCGCGTAAAGGGATCAAGTTAGGTAAGTTTCAGCTATTTCCATGCAAACTCTTATATGCTTGGCAACGGTGAGGCTGTCTTGAGCCCCACATCCATAATATGGGCAAAAGAAGATCATGCCTGCCTAGAGAAGTCGAATCAAAAGAGTGAGAGCGCACGCACCAAAATGTCTTCCTTAGCTTCGACTCCCTTCAAGACAGGCTTGCTGATCTGCGTGGAGGGCATAAACCATCTAGAGTCCAGACATATCTCACGATCCTGCTGAGCTGGTAGGAACAATGCCGGGAAACCCCGTATACTGGAATCAACGTCATAGGTCCGCGTCAATGGCTTCGTCTCAAGTTAGAGGCTCTATCCCTGCCATTTGTAAGGACTTTGCTGCGGCGAGGATCAGTTACTAAACCGCTCTAGTGTCAATGTGAAAGACACTATTGACCAAGGGTCTGTGTCTGTCGCTTCTCTAAGGCAGCATCTAGCCTAACTTAGCACTGAATCCGTTCCACGTATGTACCTAGTTTAGTACTTTGGCAGAAAAAGCAACGTGCCCAAGGCCACAACTTTGGCGAGGGACTTTCCTGTCAGTCTGGCTGAATCTTACGACTAAAGCTAGGCTCGTCTCAGGTGTGAGTGGGCCAGTTTTGGACCTCCTCACCCGTGCGTTGCCGTTGTGGGGGTTTGTTCATTGTCCTGAACAAGGGGTCTGGCATTACTCCGGAGCAGCTTCGCAATGCTCATCCCGTCTGTGCCGTTAAAATGCTTCCGAGTTAGGCGACCGTTATTAATAGCGTATGATTATCTCAAACAGTCCGTCCAACGCTTAATAGGACCAAAGCCCCTGGTTTTGTGTGCTAGAGTAAGGGATTGCCCTTTGTTCTGGCATCCTCCGCTTGGGCCTTTATCAGAGGCTTGTATTCCTCGCCCAACCGCTCTAGTACAATTTGGGCAAGATATTGCGACTGGGTGGAAATCCGCGGGGGTGGGGAGCCGGAAAACCAAAACACCACAGGGGTAAGTAATGTCGCGATACCTGACGGATCATACGAGGGCCCCTGAGATACCGCCCCCCTGGGTCTTGCCATCGAGTGGAGATGTCGACATACGTGATTGATCAAGTTACAGGCACTTGCTGGAGAAAATGCGTCAATGGGAATAATTCCAAGCAATATGATTAAGTCAAGATGATACTTTTGAGGCAAACTAAGTTCCATGCGTTCCACCAATTGTACCCTTTTTCTATATACAGATCTCATTAAACGCCTTTTGATCGTATTGACGTAGCAAGCGGCCATTTTAGTCTAAACATTCATAATACAGATGCACACTCGTCACTTATGCCGAGTAGCTGACGGAGACCTCGTCGGTTCTCCTGATCCCTTTGCCGGAAGACAGCTGGCCCTTCGCATCCCGTAGAATACTCTCATCGCTGTCATTTGCGCCGTAGGTAATATGTGCTTGATGAGCAGGGCCTGCCTGTCCCTCTGCAGCCGCGTGCGAGCCCAATGCGTACTTGCGGCTGTTGTTGCCGTACATCGGGAGACGATAGGAGGTCTTGCCGCCAGACTGTCCGGTGCTGCTGTCGCCCTTGCTTCCGTAGCGGAAGCGGACGTAAAGAGGTCGCAGGACGGGGATCGATGAGCACATGATGGTGACGGTACTCTCGGTGGCCGACCAAATGAGCATGGGCACGGTGTCATCTGAAGTTGTTAGCCATCTTCGGGACGAGACTTTTTATCGACTCCAGGTTACTTACGAATATACTCCTGTGCATTCAGTCCGTTCAGCGCCACTGTTCGCACGATTCCGCAGATACCGGCGAAGACACCAAGACTAAGACCACATGCGACTGTGATCTTCTCCTTTCGCTTCATGTTGAGATCCCAGATGACAAACCAGGGCAGTATAGCGAAGGCAAAATCAGCAACGACGAACCAAGCTAAAGAGACGTCAGTATTTCTCAATTGTCAGAGAGGTGGGACATATTTACATCCGACAGTGAGGCCGACTTTGGAGAAATCGATCCAGCAGTGTCCTGGGGTTGAATTGTTCCATGTTTTCTCGATCGGGATGCACTGAACAATGACTACAATGCTTGCAAAGAGGGTGATGAAGACGGTTCCAGCGAGGAAGGCCCAGATGAAGACAATTTGGATCGTGTTTCGCACAATTCGCAGGAGGAATACACCGACGGCCAGCTTGCCCACCCCAATGACCATGATACCGGCGGTCTGACTGAAGACTTCATATTTGACAGCTTCGAAGTAAATCGGGGGATTGTTGATGTCCAGGAAAAGTCGTCCGAGTCCGTATCGTGTCGCGTGGCTGACGAAGGCGCTATAAACGATCTGGAAGACCTGCGAAATCACATCAGTATTGTTATCTAGAAGCAAAATGATATTTTCATATCCATACCAAAGCGACCACTACCAGATAATCATCAACACCAACCGAATTAAGAATCATAGCACGGGTGTAGATTCTCAGGCCGACGAAGACCGCAAAGACGACGACATGCACCCACAATACTGCATTTACCATGGGGCCCAGGCCGCCATAGTATTCGTCCATTTTGAAAGTGGCCCAACAGGACTTTTGGTAGAAACGATCGTGGTGAATTAGCGGTCTGGGGAGAATTTGAGGAGAGTCGGCATAAAGTATTCATGAAAACTACTCCCCTTTCAGGGTTGAAGCTCCAGGCTCTGCAGATTTTCGACCTGCAGGTTCCATAAGCCTGTCAAGTGGCCAAAAAAGGATTTAAGATGACCGAAAACGGGGTCCCCGTGATGCTCGCACTCTGCACCAATGCCCATCCTTTCTGTCTGGCATCTGGCAGGGAACCCGTGAAATCTTTTTGAGTATAGTGGCAACTCCCTCGCGATCCCTGCCCTTCACCCAACGGACTGTTCGTCTCTTCGGCACCGGCGACAAGTGGATACAAATGTCGCAGAACAGGGGTCGTTGCATTAATCTATCGACACTCGCCCTAGCCCAGATACAGGAAGTCCTGGGAAATCTATGACAGGCGTCAGTTCAGCTCCCCGTCCCAATAATAACGGCTAATGTCTTAATAAAGAACGGCAAGACGGAAGCTACCAATAGCACGCGGTTGTGCTGAAGAAACATCCGACTGGGCATCCATCCAGCCAATATCTTGATTCGGTGTCTTGAAGGTTCCCGAAGTTCTGGAGGGCCCGGCGATCAATCCCTGGTCCTGGTTTGGTGTTTTGTACTACCTAAATGCTCAAGACCTGCATGTTTAGCCTGACGAGAATCATAGTTGACCGACACCAGGGGAAAGGGTTCTGCAAGGATCATCATCCATCGTACCACCTTCAATGGGAAGAGACCCCAGTTCGAGGGATATTCTACAACAGACTCGCGACCCATCGCTTAGCTCGCATACAGTAGCATCTCCACCTCGGAGCTATTACGCGGTAGTTGGGGTGTTGACTTGACCAGGGGTTGGCTCCTACCAACCATTTTCCAACGGCATTTGGATTAAAATCGACGTAGTTCGTTTCCCGGCATATCATAACGGCCTTAGCAGCCTGATTATAGCTGTGGGAAGCCCACTTGAAGTTCAGCTAGTGGCGCTCGACGTTTCGGCTGTTGATAGATTGTCGTGACCGGCGTCTGCGGCCATCACCAAGGGTCCACATTGGGGAGGTCGTAGAGGTCGACCGGCATGGTTATCGTCCACCGCCTGCCGTTGGCCGTCAGTTGAGCGGGGAAGTGAGGGCTGCTAGAGTCCCGGACCATGCTGCTCTTTCTGATCATGCCAGTTTGATCACCACGGTAAGAGGGTCGATAACCAACCGGGTGAGTACATATACAGAAGCGAGCACCGCCGCGTCCTAAGGCCTGCAAACCAGCTTAGTCCAACCAAGATTTCTTCACCCCGCACCTAAAATGGCCTCCGATTCCCAAAAGATCATTGACATCCTCGAAGGCGTCAACCATGCCTCCTTTGCTAACGAGGTAGAGCGTCTCCGCGTTCGTGCGGCTGCCCGCAAGCTACTTGCAAAGGTGGAGTCGCCTTATGAGCGAGCTTGGGGTTTCTGCTTCGAGCACCCTGTTGTCTTTGCTGCTCTCCAGACTTCCATTGACCTCGGTCTCTGGGCTGCCTGGAATGCTTCCGGCGGTGGTGACAAAACCATTGATGATCTAGTTAAGCTTGCCAAGCATGATATCCAGCCAAACCTGCTTCGTACGTCGTTCAATTGCATATGCTCGCAACGTGAATTTCTGTGCTCACAACTGGGAAAGGTCGACTGTTCCGTCTGCTGGCCGCGTTCAACGTGGTTGAAGAGGTGGGCGTGGACACATTCAAGCCCACCCCCTTCTCAGCCGCCATTGGCGACGAGAACACCAAGGTCCGAGCCTCTCTCGAAGCTGCGTAAGAGCCCATTGCCTCACATATGCATGACATGCAATGTCACTAACCGAGCCTCCCTACAGTAACAACCAGTACATCTTGGCAGGCCACAATCTGCCCAAGTACCTGGCCAAGATTGGCTACCAAGAGCCCACAGCTGCAGAGAACAACAACCATTCGGGTAGCGACCCCGATGGTCTGAACTTCTTCGGGCGTCTGCAAAGGAGCCCCAAGTTTTACGAAGATTTCACTGGCCACATGGAGGCATGGACCACCTGGAAGACCCCCTGGACCAAGCTCTACGACCCCAAGAAGCTCATTGAGGGCGCCACCATTACGGAGAGTGCTCCCCTTGTTGTTGACCTGGGTGGCAACACTGGCATCGACATCTCCCATGTCCTTACCGCCCAGCCTGGCCTGCCTGCTGGGGCACTCGTCCTTCAGGATCTCCCTGAGATCATTGCCCGTGCGAAAGTTGACCCTAAGATCACCGCTACGGCTCACGATTTCTTCCTCCCCCAGCCCGTCAAGGGTAAGAAGCACCCCCATCACCTACGCTAAGTAATAATCGTTGCTAACACAGCACTTATAGGAAGCAGAGCCTACTTCATGCACGCGGTCCTTCACGACTGGGCTGATGACAAGGCCACTGAGTTGCTGAACAACACCCGTGAGGCCATGGTCAAGGGTTACTCCAAGCTCTTTGTTTACGACATCGTGCTGCCTCCCCAGGGCGCAAGTATCAGCCAGACCACCATGGATGTCGAGATGATGTCTCTCCTTTCAGCCAACGAGCGTACCAAGGACCAGTGGGAGAAGTTGCTGACCGGTGCTGGCTTCAAGATTGTCAACTACCACCCCGACCCCCAGGAGTACGAGATGTTGATCGAGGCTGAGATCGCCTAGTTATTGAGCCATGATAGAGCGTTTAGATAATTGATGATATACACAAATATAAACATGATATGATATATGACAACAACTTCAACCGCTACCAGAACCGCCTCACATCTCACTTTTGATGAACCCTCCTGAACCTGACGGCGGACCTTGCCGCAATCCCGTTCCGGGCACTAGCCATTGGCGGCGGCTTCGGCCATGTAGGCCCTGTCTCAGCTGACACCACTTTTTTCAAGCCTTGTCCTTCTCCATGTATCTGCGAAGGGCAGTTTCCCTGCTAGTTTCCGTAACTTGAGACGTGGGAGTTTTCACTCAAATACTATGTAAGCTCAAGAGCGTTAGATTTTAATGACAAAGCGGCACAGTAGGATTCCGTGCACCGAAGTGACATTCATCAAACTAATGCTGCAAAGCCCAAACAAACCCACGAGGGAGATAATAAAGCCATGCCAGTTTTGGCATTACGAGCTTGGCATAGCAAGGTGGATCAACTGTCACTCACCCCTGACTCTCCCTGGTCTGACAAGTCAGTAACAGTTCATGAAGCCAGGTATCCTCTTTTCTTTTCTTTTTCGAAATCACACTATCAATTTATTGCCTGCCTCAGCGTGTATTTCACCCCCCTTTTCTTTTTTCCATGTCCACCCTCATCCGAACATCATCTTCAAGGGCCTAGTTCTTTGGACTCGCCGCGCTTCTTGCGCCATTTTGGCCCAAGCTTTATTTCAGTGTAGATGGGTCCGAGTAGCAAAGCGCAAATCCCCCCGAGAAGAGTGTAGGTCCATCCATACTCCAAGCTCTGCGTGGACTTGTCTATCAAAGAGACTAAAAGGGCGGCAAGTGAACACCGCACGAGATTGGTCTACCAGTTCAGTCAGCTTGGAGGCCTCTGATTTTGGGGAAATAGAACAGACTCACGCATGCAATCACCCCGGAGCTTTGCGACCTCACAACGTCAATCATCAAAGTCATTGTCGAATTAAGAATGGATATAGAGGTGTATCCAACTAAAAGAGCAGTTAGCATAACCCACGAAGCCAGTACCTGAACGTGGGCTACCCACTTGCCACTTGCAAAGCCAGCGGCCCGGCGATATGGGTTTTGCTCTGGATGCACCAGCCCCATGCAATGATGCAACCCACAAAAATGATCAATAGAGCTGGCGCCGTCCGCAGTCTAGTGTGCTCCAGCGGGATGTCAGGGTTGTCCTCGTTGTTGTTGGGCGTATCAGATTCACTCTGCTGGTGTTGACTTTCCAGTCTTTTCTTCATCTTGGCGTAGTCATAATCGAGAACCTTTCCAGTGATGGTAGACCCAAGTATCATACCCACGCCTGTAGGCAAGTAACACAGCCCGAGATCGGTCTCTGACAGATAGGGATATATGGCGCTGAATGCGGATGAGATGGTTGACGTGATTGTGTAATTTACTGCGTACACGATGCCCGTGTATGCCAGTGTCAATAGAATATCCACATACGTTAGTAGACGAAAGGGATTTGCTGATCCTTGTTTCCCGGTGCCATCCCTTTGGTAGTCCTCAGTGGGGACATTGCTGGTTTCGGCTTTGCCCAAGATTGGGATCATCGGCCGAAGGAGTCTCTGGCTCGGTTGTCTGCTTCCATTCCCCACTAAAGCTCGCAGTGTTTCAGGCAGAAATAGTAGAATCAGAATAAAGCATGCGGCTGAGAATATAGCAAGAAACCAAAAGATGCTTCTCCATCCAAGATGTTCAGATAACACACCCCCGATAGCAGGCCCAATGCACGGAGCCAGCATTGGACCAAGGTTGAAGAAACCGAAGAACCCTCCACGCTGGTCCACAGAGGCAATATCGCCGACCACACCAGCACCAAGCGCAATAGTGCTTGCACAACCTCCAGCTTGAAGGGCTCTAAGGAGGAGCAGTAACCAGAACTGAGAGACTGGGCAGAGCGCCAATGCTGTAGTCGACCCAACGAGTATCAGTAGACAGAGAAGATAAAGAGGCCTTCTTCCATAGCGATCAGATAGCGGGCCCCATAGCATTGGCGAAATTCCTTGCATGGCCAAATAAACCGTGACAGTCAAGTTGATGTCCTCGATGGACCGATCAAACACAACGGCCAGTTTCGGGATGGCGGGAAAGTAGATGTTGGCCGGCAACGGACTGAAGAGACCGGAGATGGCCACAATAACGACAAGAGTCCATTTCTCCCGAGGGCTGTATATGCTGTATACTGCCGGTTGCGCAGCACTAGGATGAGCTGGTGGTGGTTGAAGTCTAGATGTTAACGGCTGGACACCAGTTCCTTCAGACTTGGCCTTGAGTGTGGCCATCTTGTCCATCTAGTTTTGGGTTTCATGCTAAACAACTTACTATGAACACGAATTCTATTTTCAGGTACAATTAAGACCAGCACATACAATAAGTGACGAGAAAGTTGCGGCAAGTAGCTTATCACGATGTCCCACATATTAGTCACAGCCGGCCGGCAACGCGAGATAAGAGGAAGATATCGTGCCCCACAACATTGAAGCCGGCCGGAACGAGGGGATAACGTGGGCAGCTCGCCAATCTTGCTTTCATTCTCATCCTTCAAGATGTAAGTGTTACGATATCCGTCACTTCTTACCCTGTGTCTCAGAGTGACTCCCATGGATCCGCACTCCGGGCCGGATACCCCTTCGATCAGAGTCTTTACGCGAGCCTCCAAAGCCTGCCGGCGCTGCCGTCGTCTGCGAATCAGGTGTTTCAATGACCAAGGCAGCCCTCCATGTGATCCTTGCTGTCGAGCAAAACATGAGTGTGAGTTTCCACGGCGAGGGGAGGGCGATTCAGATCGGTCGTTCCGGCGACCAAGAACTGCTCGAGCCGGTGCTATCACTTCGACACATACCCCAGATAGAACGCCAGACAGTGCTGATACGTCCTTGACTACTGACATTTCGTTCAACAATTCTCTTCAAAATACCCTTGTTCCTCAGCCCGCCAGAGTTGGGACCATAAGACCGGGATGGGAAACACTGCCCCCGTATGATGAGGTGGTGGAAGGGGTCCAAACCCTCACAACATCCTATTTCCAACTTGGGTTTCTGCCAAAGGTACTCTTTTTCGAAGAAATTAGAAAGAACAAAGAATCCATCGATGTCTTCTTACTCTTCAGCATTCTGAGTGTGTCTGCAAGGTTCACCCCGAGCCTTGTCAAACGCTACCAAGGGGGAGATGCTGCAACAGAGCACTTTCTCAGCCAAGCAACCTGTCTCATTCAAGATCGCATGTTTGATCCTTCTTTGAACTCTATACAGGGCTTTTTCTTGATGAGCATCGCCGAGTGGGGGAACGGTGACAAGAACCGGAGTCTTATATACATGGGCATCGCCGTGAGGCTGGCTGGGATCTTACGCTTACATCGCGAGGACACCTATTGTCTTCCCCAGACGGCTTCGCAGCAGGAAGTCGTGTACTCCGAGGTTGCTCGACGTACATTTTGGATGTTGGAGACATTTGAGAACCTCCACTCGGGGTCCGATTCGCCTATCGCATTCTCATACAGTGACATCACCGTGCTGCTCCCCTGCGAGGAACGCGAGTTCACCTTTGGTGCCCGACCACACACTCGTGCCGCACTTTTAGGAACACCCCCGGCTATCAAGGAACCTAATCTAACACGTCTACCATCTCGCTCATTATTTGCAACTCTACTACAGACTCATAGTTTATGGGGTCAAGTGGCTAGATTGGTTAGCAACGACGCGCCAAAGATCGGTGCAGGGCATGGGCCCAGGCTAGATCCAGATGATTATCAAAACCTTTCCAAGGCCCTGGCAGATTTTGAGAGCGAGGTTCCTAAGCAGCATCAATGGTCAGTCTGGAATCTGCGAGGTTTCAAAATTGAAGGGCTCGATCTTGCGTATTTGTCTGCTGTCATGGTTCTGCGCCTAAGCAATATTATCCTACGCAGAAGCTATGTCCACGATATGCTTAACAACCAGACCCGTCAATCTGAAACGCATACCTCGCCTTCAAGCGATACAGGTCCGCCCTGGTCTACGGTATCGGAAGAGCTATTTGACAACATGCTTAGACTACATGAACAAATCATGGCCTTTTTCGAATACAGATCCCCTGATCAGGGTTACCCAGCCCTGATCGTGTTTTGCGTCTATGTCTGCGGATCATTAGCAAATCATCTACGCCAGCAACCTCAGATATGTCCAAGAGTTGCGCCGCAGGCCATGGGTATCTTGCAACAATCAATCAAGGGACTAGGTGATTTACAGAGCGCTTGGCCGCTCGCTAAGCGTTGGTACAGGGCTTTATGTCGTGCAAGTGATAATTCACAGCTAGATACGCAAGACGCGCCGGTTTTGGATGTAGAACCTTCTCATACTACCAGTGGCCCTGCGCCAGCTGTCGAGGGATATAGCCCCGACGAGGTGGCCTGTGCCAGAATGGATGTGCAATTTAATGATCCTTTCGTCTCAGACTCAATGTTTGAAGTCTTTGAGACTTATCTATGGGGAGATATGCAAGGAAGTTTAGACAACGGAGCATTTAGTGAAGTTTTTCCTGCCTCTTCATGGAATTGAATTTTCTACGTTGGCCCTTTCGAGCCATATATCACAAAATAAATGCCGAGACAACCACTTGAAGGCACCAAGATAAAATATCTTACTTTTGAAAATCACATGTCGCTAAGCTAGTCCTCAACTTTCCATCCTTGGGACAGGTGCAAAATGGCCTCCTCCTCCGAGACTACATCGGAATATTTGGAGTCTAGATCGAATAAATTGGAGGCGTGGATTTGCGGTGTACGGTCACCGCAAGCTGATCCCACAACCTAGAGATTATCAGCAAATGGTGCACGTTTCGGTAGATTGTAGTGAAGATGCAGTACCATAGGACGAAATCCCGATTGCATTGCGTCTAGTGTTGTGGCCCTGACACACCCCGAGGTGCTTACGCCACAGATGACTACTGTGTCGATATTGAGAAACTAGAGTTAAGTATATGAGTGAGCCGAAATCGTTCAGGCATTTGAGTGGATAGAATGTGACTCACTTGAAGCTCTGTTGCAAGCGTCGTTCCAAAAAAGGCACTGGCGTACTTCTTCACAACAACTGTCTCTTCTGGAAGCGGCACGATCCCTTCTACATATTCTGCCAGGCCTCTTTTGTCACCCTTTTGCCACACACTGAGGCCTTTGGATTTATGCCAAAATAACCCGGCATCTTTCATCTCTGGGTGAGTATACTGAACCTCGCTCCAAACTACAGGAACGCCGCTGCCTCGAGCAGTCTTCAGTAACCGCCGCATAGAGTCTGGGGCTGCTTCCGCCTCGGGGTTTCCCAGTAGAGAGAGAGGTGACCGCTCTGTCCAATATGCCCGGCATACATCTATAATCAGTAGAGCCGGGCGTTTTCCCCAGCCCATCCGGCCCCCGAAACCAGACTGAGAATACGACTCGGAAGAAGGATGTGATTGCATAACGAATGTTTGATGAACAGTCCCGCTGTATAGTTCCTGGTGGTGGGGGGAATATTTTCGATGGTGGGTAAATATAGCGCTCCGAGATACCCAAAAAGATCAGCTCTAGGCGTTCAGCATATATTTTCTGCCTATCTACGGCAGCTTGTTCATTCGCCGCACCGGGTATTATCGTTGGCAGTGGGGTGAGATAAGCCTGGCCCATCATTGCCGGCCGGCAACAAATCTCAAAAGCCCGCACTTTGTCATCATGAAGGAATCAATCAAAACTAGCAAAGTTAGAGGACATCCCTGGAGGCAAAATTCACTCATTCCAAAGAAGCCTAAACCGCCATCTGCCACTAGGTCCAAACCATGTCTCGGCAAGATCGCCCAGTCCATCAGCCAATCCATCCAGATGTCCGGCCGCTCTTAGATCCGGAATATGTTGCCTTCCATGATAAGTATTTTCAGTACTTGCTCCCGGATGATCGAAAGACTTGGGACGGATCTGCCCGTGTGCCTTCCAAGACATTACCACGCACGGAATCTGTACCCGTGGACGTGGCCAATGTTCGCGACATCAGCTTGGAAAACTTCAAGCTCCGAGTATTCACTCCAAGCGCGGGGAGGCCAGCACAGGGCTGGCCAGTCTTCCTCTGGTTCCATGGCGGGGGCTGGGCGGTGGGAGACATTGCCAGCGGGAATGATCTATGCGCTCTGATCTGCAAGCGCGCCGAATGCGTCGTTGTCACTGTGGGCTATCGTCTCGCGCCTGAGCATCCCTTCCCGGCAGCATTCGATGACAGCGTTGAGGCACTCAAGTGGGTAGTTGGAAGAGAGGGCGCACTGGAGCTGGGCATCAATCCTTCTCAGGTCGGTGTTGGTGGGACCTCAGCAGGAGGGCAACTCGCGGCATCGCTTTCGATCAAGGCAGCAATGCTTGAACCTCCCATACCAATCAAATTCCAACTGCTTGTTGTTCCTGTCATCGACAATACGGCTACCGAAGCCACAGTTTGGGGCAAAAATAAAAATGCTCCATGGCTGACTCCAGCAAGAATGCTATGGTATCGTCAGATGTATCTTCCTAATAAGGAGGATGAGGAACAATGGGAAGCCTCTCCCTGCAAGGCATCACCTTCGCTTTTAGCTACGAGTCCGAACACGTGGATTGCTGTCTCGGAGCAGGATCTCTTAGCCCCGGAAGGTACCGCGTACGCTGACCAGTTGAGAGATGCTTGGGAAAGCGAGGCTGTCGAGAAACAGGTAGTTGTGAAGTCGTACAAAGGCTCAACCCACTCAATACTTGCTATGTCTGGTAAGATTTTATGTTTTCCACATCTACTTACGCCCCTACGACTTTGAATTGTCTAATGATTTATGCAAAGGTATCTTACAAAAAGGAAAAGAGCTCCTGGAGGATACAGCAAACCAAGCGGCGAATTGGTTCTCAGCGTAGCCACTTGTTGAGTAATAAGGAATGTATGGAAGGGAGGGATAAAAATTAGTATCAAGACTTGCTTTACAATTAGAGGCTAACATATTATGAAGCCATTACTTAGTTTCATTGTTTCGAAAAGGAAGCAGCGGCGGCTGTTATTATTACACGTGAGCATAGATAGGTTACATTACGGACGTTTTACTTTAACATTCTGCGTGAGTGGCTTCTGGCCTGCGATAATCATGATGTATGCAAAATGCCGCGAACCGAGCCTGAGTTTTGGCCAACAAGAGCCATCTTTGTCGGAGACCACGGACAGTTGATACTCGTTAAGAAGCCAAGCGGTGATAGAGACTATCTTGTGCTCTCGCATTGCTGGGGCAAGCCTACGAAGGAAGGATGGGAGCGCTTGTGCACGACTCCACAAAATTATCGCTGTCGATTGAATGCCTTTTGCTTGGATAACCTGCCAAAGACGTTTCGGGATGCGATCGAGGTGACGCGGGAGCTTGGGAAACAACACTTGTGGATTGGTGCCTTATGCATTGTCCAAGGGCCCCACGGTGATTGGGAAAGCGAGTCTGGGAGGATGCAGCATGTGTTTTCCAATGCTTACTGCACCATAGCCGCAGATTCAGCTGCTGGGTGGAAGGATGGTTTTCTCAAGCCTAGCCTTTGGGATCAGATCGTCCTGGGAAGTGCGGATTGTGACTGTGATTTCAAATCGGGTGTTGGTGAAGGGTATCTGATGAAAAGAGCCTGGGTTATTCAAGAGCGGGTACTGTCTCGACGCACCATTCATTTCACTGAGAGTCCTACCAATGCGGCACACACATATTGGGAATGCGGCAACTGAGTCCGCTGTCAGCAGTTCTCACAGCTACGTGTGTAAGTCTACAGTCTCAGCTTGAAGATGACGACACCCAGTGTTGAAGTGCTCCTTTTGCTTGCTAACTTTATCTAGGCCACTTGGAAAGGAGACGTTTGTGATTGACCCATACTTTCCATCCCGACTGAAGAAGGCCGGATATTATCGTTGCCTCGAGTTTATCCAATTCCTTTTAGAGGAATATTAGGAATATTCGAAATGCGGGCTTACCTACAAATCCGATAGAGACACGGCGTTACAAAGCCTGCTTGAGCGTATGAGCCGTGAACTGGCCACCGATGTGAAATATGGCATTGCACGGTGCTTTATAGGCAGCCTGCTGCTCTGGAAACGGACTGCCAAAGAAATGACATCGCCGATCGGGTATGAGCGACGTACTGTCCCATCTTGGTCCTGGATGGCGTATGACGGCAGCATCGAGTTTATTGATAAGTTTCGATATGAGCTTAGGATACCTCAATCCTCGGATCTAGAATTCGCCCAAGACGGTGAAGACCTGGTCAAGATCAGGAAATTCGAAAATTGCCGCTTGGGAGAGAACAAGAGAGACAATGAGTATATTGTTAGAGCTTTACGCGGTGCAATTGAGGAGGTAGGGTCGATATGGTATGACATGAAGGACCAAATCGAATTCAACTACTGCGTCGTAGTTGAGGTCAATGGGACAGAAAATAGGGACAACAATCCGAAGGACTACTTAGTTTAGTCGTTGTGGTTCAAGAAAAGCCAGGAGGGGGCTACAGGGGACTCGGAGTTGGCATTGTCGATGATGGTTATTTGTCTACGAATAGCGAGACTGGAATACTTTTGTGACGTTCGTTGGTTGATGAGACGCGCTAAGCACAATTTCCTCCGTAGAGAATACCATGGTACGGCAACGCCTCTAAGAAGATTAATCAGTTTCATTTAGTTGCAAATACAGCTCTGTAGGGAGTGGCCGTGTTGATCCAGGATCGTTTCCATGATCTCCGGGTCAAAGAAAAGAAGCCTGGTGGACTTGAATCTCCCCAGGTTGTGGTATTTTTTGAACTAATTTAGAATTATCGCATGCCATTTTCTCACTCTCTTGTTTTTGGTATTCGGTTATTCTAGTGTTGTTGAGTCTGAAAGCAACTCCGAGTCCATATATCTCATTTCCCACGTGACAGCCCAAAACCTATCCCTACCTAATGCCTGTCCCTTCCTCACGCCAGTCCAAGAAGCTCCTTGGCCCGTTCCGATCGTGGCGTGATTGAACACCCAAAGTTGTCCGGAACTCCACTTAATCCATTAGAAAAAGAAACCTTGGGTTTCACCTCATTCCCATCTTCATCAACCGGGCACTTCATATCCATGGTGGCTATCATGGTCGCAATTATGATATACACGCCAGACAGGGCAAGATACTGCCCCGGGCACACCCTTCTACCAAACCCAAAGGGCCCGTCGGGAAGTGGCTCACCATATCCGCCCTCGGATACGGGAGCATATCTTTCTGGGATGAAGTCATCAGCAGACGAATACACATTCTCGTCTCGAGACATGGCCCAAGCATTGGCGTAGACCACCGATCCAGCGGGGATATGGTATCCTTTGTAAGACTCGTCGGTGATTGTTGCGTGAGGGACTCCAAGGGGTGAAAGCGGTGCCCACCTGGTCGTTTCCTGGATAGTGTATTCTAGAAACTTGAGTTGTGCCCGGTCCTCAAATTCAGGGAGCCGTAGAAGGTCCCCATTCTCATCGGTGCCGATCACGTCTTCCAGTTCAGCACGTGCCTTCTGCTGTACCTCTGGATGAAGTATGAGATTCAATACGCATACGATAATCGTGGACCAGGTTGTGTTGCCTCCAGCAATGGAAATAGCCCCGGCGGCACCCTTCAAATCGTCGATTGTCGCCTCATTCAGGACACCCTTAGCTTCATTCTCAAGATAGCGCCCGAAATGCGTGAGCATGAAAGACGGGCGCGTGACTTTGGAGGCTCGCATCGAGGGTTCAATCTTGTCCCACGGAGCGTCGTGCAGGTTTTGAATTGATGCCCTGGTGCGACGAGCATGAACTAGTGGACTCAACAGCTTGCTCATACCCGAGATAAAGTTGGGAAGATATCTCAACGAAGGGAAGAAGTCGACCAAGCTTGCCGCAGGAACACCTCCCTCACCAGTCGCCTCTTCTACATCGATCGACATGCGGATATATGGGTCATCTTTCTCTTGGATATCAATGCCAAATCCAATTTGAAGGACAACGGCAGTGGAGAACTGGCGCAAGAGCAGTTCCCAGTTATCTGGGCTTCTCAATATAGCCCTGGCTGCGCGGCGAGCTTCATCAATCTGGATCGGGCGGTAAGCCTTGCACGCAGACTGAGTAAAGGATTGCTGTAATAGCTTTCGATGCAGTTTGAATCGGGGAGACCAGCGGAGGAAAGTGAGGGTTATGCCCCAGCCCATGACCTCGAATAAGACAAAGCGAGGACGGTCTGCAAAGTTGGCTCCTCGCTTGTCCATTAGGTCACGGGCAGCTTGGACACTGTTAAGGACGATGATGGAGCGACCCAGCATAGAGAAGTGCAAGATGTCGGAATTGTAATCTTTCCCCCATTGCGTATAGGCGTACTCTGGATGGTCTGTTGGGATAACACGAAGGTGACCCAAGAGAGCTTCCCCAGGCGGTCCTGGAGGAAGCGGCAGTTTCTGGCTGTGGCCTACGTATCGCAGGAGGAGAGGTGCCACTACAACTAATGCCAGGGCAATTGCCGGAAAGGCGAGTGGGATGTTGAGCAACATGGTTCCGGTTGTAAACTTAACCGATGGTCAAGGAGAACTCTTGGCGGGGTGTCGTTGATCGTGGGTACAGGCCTCTCAATTGGGCATGAAAGTCATGGTATAACGGGATTAAATGAGCTTCAAATGTTGAGAAATATGGGCATTGCGATTGGCTTTCTCCAAGCGCGATCGAGTGTCTTTACGGCTGGCCGATGGAATGATGCCCCATCTGACAACTGCCACATGCCGGGGGCCTTGTCTGGGGCACAGATTGTTCCCGCAGATCTGGTATCGTCGGAGATAAGCTCGTTCATGCCCATGCACTCAGAGTTTGCTAAGGATATCCGGCCGGCCGGCAAGATAAGAGTTGAGGCCGGCAAGTTTGATAAGACTACTCCGCCTTGCCATCGTATACTGAGTTCGTACTAGGGGACAAGCCCCGGATATTAGCTCGAGAACTTCAATATACATACTGAAGATCGTGAGAGATCCCACTATCAACGCCAAGCTGGGAGTAATCTTCACATACTCTCCTCCTCCACCAAGTCACCATGGCTGCTACAACGGAAACGCCGTTCACAGGAGCTAGTGCCAAGGGATCTTTCACAACTACACCGTCGGCTACCGATCCATATACCTATCAAGTAGGCTTTGGCAATCGGTTTGCAACTGAAGCCCTGCCTCAAGCCCTCCCTCAAGGTTGCAACACGCCCCAAAAATGCAAGTACGACCTCTTCTCAGAACAGCTGAATGGAACGCCTTTCATCTCGCCCCGTGCATCGTTATTGCACGCTTGGTTTTACCGCATCAGACCTTCGGTCGCGCATAAACCTTTCAAGAAGATGCCCAAAAATCCCGACTTAGAGGCCACATTTTCTCCCCTGAACCCAAATGTCGACTTCACGCCACAGGACTTGGGTTGGTCCAAATTTGAACTGCCACAACAGAGCGAGTCAGTTGATTTTGTTCAGGGCTTAAAGACAATCGCCGGGCATGGCGACCCTACCTTGAAGGAGGGTATCGCTGTGCACATCTATTTAGCCAACACGCCAATGAAGAAGAAATCGTTCTGCAATAACGATGGAGACATGCTCATTCTTCCCCAGGAAGGCCGCTTGGATATCCAGACCGAGTTTGGAAAATTGATGGTGCGGCCCGGAGAGCTCGTTGTCATTCAGGCGGGAATCAGATTCACTGTTGGTCTCCCAGACGGCGTTGGCCGCGGATACATTCAGGAGATCTACGGTGCTCACTATGAGCTTCCAGAGCTTGGCCCGATTGGGTCGAACGGCATGGCGCTGCCTCGCGACTTTGAGATTCCCGTGGCCAGTTTCGAGGTGGATCAATCCACCTGGGAGATGGTGGTGAAGCTGGCCGGAGAACTGTTTGTGTATGAGCAAGATCATACACCGTATGATGTGATCGCGTGGCATGGGAACTACGCTCCGTACAAATACGCCATGGAGAAGTTCATCAGTTCCGCGACCGTCGACAGAGATCAAAGTGATCCCTCAATCTACTGTGTCCTTACGGCCAAGTCCAAGATCCCTGGAGTCTCATTAAGTGACTTCCTCGTCTTCACACCCAAATGGTGTGTCACTCGCAACACTTTCCGCCCCCCATACTACCACCGCAATGTAGCAACTGAGCTTATGGGTATGATGTATGGCCAGTGGGCTGGTTCTGCCACCCAACTTGAGCCAGGAGGCTTGACTTATGAGCCAAGCTATATGCCACACGGGGAATCATATTCGCGATGGAAGGAGGCGACAACTGTGGAGTTGCAGCCGCAACGAATTGGAGAAGGGGCAATGGCCTTCATGATGCACATTTCAGCTCATACGGGGCTGACGAAGTTTGCTCTTGAGCGGAGTGGGACGCTTCAACCCATACCGGAGGATACGTGGGATGGCTTCCATGCCGGTTTCATGGACCATTTAGACAAGGCAAATTCTGACCTTGAATCTTGTAAATAGCCTTGATATCCATCAAAACGTTTCTGTAATCACAAAAGGTCGGCGGTTAGTCTGATCACAAAAACTTCATTCTTCATTGACGAAACATCACATTTTGTTGTAAAATGGTTTCTAGCATTTACTTGCTATCACCAGGGTTTCTCCACGAGTTTGAAAACCTAAGCTTTTGTTAATTTCCCTCAATTCACCTTCTGATGGACTATTCACTGCGGCTAAGGGGCCGATTGGAGTGATGATGATAGAACGGTGTACAGCGCTACCAATTAGTTTGAAACCCAATCTCTACGCGCAAAAGGAGGTAAGCCGTAGACTTTGTCAAAGTGGATTCTATTTTGCCAGCCGGATGGACCCTGATAAGCATCCTGGAAAATGCTATCTTTGATCCGTCTCGTATCTAACCTCTCACCAACCAAATCTGGGATGGTGTCTCGACATTTTGCCAGCCGGATGCAATCAAATTGATAAGCATCCCTCGTCCATGTTATCTGCTCAATGGGTCCCTAATCTCAACCGACTCCGGGGCGGCGGGTCGAGAAGTTAAGACTCATACAACTCTATCTCCGCTGAAACATGCTGGTTGCCCGCAATCAACAGACAAGCCTATCAGGTTCTTCTCTTTTCTAATTAAAGTATTTCGCCAGAGCCTCAGTACATAAGAAACCCCTGGGTGCCCCATTCACCCACATGAGCCCCGTTCCAAACAAAGAAGCTCAATCCTTCTAAGGCATTTTGCATCTTCAACCCAACCGCCAAAAAACGAAATCGGCCAAGCATCTCGCCGCTTGCTTTATTGTTCCAACCATGGACGAAAGAAACCAGGAGGACAAGAAGTACCTCGACAGCACCGCAGAGAAATCAGTGGACGTAGGCGTCTCCGAGTCTCAAGACTATAGTCCAACACCAAAAGGATGGCTTGGAAAAATCGCCAGCTGGGGCATTGAGCTCCGCGGTGTGACACCTGTGCCACTAGAAGAGAGGAAAGACAAGCGATTCATCAATGTCTTCTTTGTTTGGTTCACGATGAGTACCAATCTGCTTCCGTGCGTGATAATCCGTTAACACCACAACCTGCACGCGCGCAGAAGACATTGCTAATGAGCGAGGGTGGATTAGTATCATCACAGGCATGGTGGGAACATTGATCTTCGGTCTCAGCCTCCGGGACTGCTCGCTCTTAATTCTCTTCTTCAGCCTTCTCACCACAACTCCCGCAGCCTACTTTAGCACCTTCGGAGCTCGTACTGGCCTCCGTCAAATGCTTCACGCAAGGTTCACTTTCGGGTAAGAAACGCGTGTCAGGCAACCACATAGCACAGTCAGCTGACTCGATCCAGATACTATTTAATATCGATCATAGTTCTGCTCAATCTCGCCACCATCGCTGGTTTCGGAGTCATCGACTGTGTCCTAGGCGGCTCTACTTTGGCAGCGGTTTCGAGCGGGAAAATCGACAGTACGGTGGGAATCGTCATCATCGCTATCGTAGGCATGGTCATTTCTTTCGGTGGCTATCGTGTGCTGCACCAGTACGAAAGATACTCGTGGCTCTTTGCCCTCATCGCCATCACCATCGCCACTGGCACTGGTGGCAAAGAGCTCTTCAACCAAGTCGAGCAGCCTGCCCCTGCAGCAGCCACAATCGTAAGCTATGGTGGAGTTATAGCGGGATTCCTCATCCCTTGGGCTGTAAGTCACTTCTCTGGCTGCTTGTCTCCCTTCTTTTCGCGTCCTCTTAGACTGACCTGCATATCTTCAAGGCCATGGCGGCAGACTTCTCCGTTTATTGTGACACCTCCGTTTCGACACTTCGAATCTTTTGCTATACCTACGCCGGCCTATTCTTCCCCACGGTCCCTCTCATGGTTCTTGGAGCAGCCATTGGTGGTGCCACCCCCAACGTGCCAGACTGGAATGAAGGCTACGAGTTGTACAGCGTCGGCGGTGTGCTCCAAGCCATGCTGTTCCCGGCAAAAGGCTTTGGAAGATTCGTCGCCGTCTTATTGTCCCTCTCCGTCATTGGAAACTTGTCCGCTGCCATGTATTCCATCTCTCTCAACTTCCAGCTCCTGCTTCCATTCCTGATCAAGGTCCCTCGCGTGGTGTTCTCGGTCGTCTATACCTGCGTCGCCATCCCCGTGGCCATTTTCGCGGCCAAGTCATTCTTCGCAAGCCTCGAGAACTTCATTTATTTGATCGCGTACTGGTCAGCGGCCTTTGTGGCGGTCGTCAGCACGGAACACCTCGTCTTCAAGAAGCGCGACCACTCCGCCTACGACCCTACCGCGTACAATGAACCCAGCAGGCTCCCAACTGGAATTGCGGCAATTTCAGCGATGGGCTTGAGCTTTGGGCTTGCGGTTCCGTGCATGTCTCAGGTATGGTACACTGGTCCGATTGCAGAGACTACGGGGGACATTGGGTTCGAGGTGGCTCTGGTTCTTGCGTCGTTGCTCTATATCCCACTTCGGTTCATTGAGCTGAAGATTCGTAAAGTTTAAGTAGAGCTAGAGAATTTAGCGAAAAGATCTTCCGGTTAAGATACTAATAGTGAAACTGGTTGGTCAAGATTTAATAAAGCAAGCTTTGAAAGCGTCCCTGATGCTGAGATTCTACAGCCGGCAAGAGAATTTTCAAGTATGTTATTTATGTATGGGCTTTGTGATAACATCCTTCATACCTTCTTAATTCAGGTAGTCTTTGAAACCTTCCTCAAAATACTCCTCCTGGATTCGACTATAGCCCACCTCCGGGCCGTCGTACGGCCATGGCAGGGTGTTTCCACTCGCAAAGAGTACAAACATCACACCATCAAATCCAACGGGTATAACGCTCGGCGAGAAATCCTTTACCCATGTGACAGTGCTGTTGCTGGAGGAATAACCTAGACTATACTGCGTGGGCTTTGCACGGATGTGCAATTTGAAGTCCCCAGGGATCTTTTCTAGGCCGACCGGAAATTCAGTAGTCTAATTTTATGCAGAAGTTAGCGTTGTTAAGTCTGTCTTTGATCGAATCGGCGGAGACATACCTCTGGCCGAGTTCCTGGACCGGGGGACTTCACTGTCGAGTCGACAAAAACGCATATTCCCTCAGACTTAGAGCAACCTCGAAGACCAATGTCCTGATGGGCCTGCTCCGTGGAATAGGCTGAGATGCCCACAGACTGGTAAGGCCCAAGTCCCTTATCGGTAGGGAGCAGACTGGCGGTGAAGGTCATATTGACTGACTTTTGTTTTCGCAGAATGGCTGCAGGTGTGTCGCGATCAGACAGAGTATATGCGTTCGGAACAAACACCACACCCTTGCCTTTGGAGACGGAAAAATTCTCAGTGTAGGGGGATCTGAGCTGGTACCAACTGGGATCAAGAGCTGGGCCATCAAACTTATCCTCGTAAGGCTTCGGAACATCCTCTCTGTCAGGGCCATACTCTGGATAACGCTGGCTTAGGAGCACAGGCTCGCCATTGTTCATCGTCGGCCATCCGTCCTCCCATTCCACGGGGGCGAAGAACGTCTCCCTACCCAATACCGTGTAACTCCCTACATTACGCTTTGCGAGAAAAGTGGCAAACCATTTGCCGTCTGGTGTATCAGCGAAGGTGGCATGCCCGGTCGCGCTGACCGTCAGGTTTGTGTTGGCACCGTTGAATATCAGCGGGTTTGTCGGGGATGACTCCCACGGTCCTTCGGGGGAATCTGAGCGTGCAATAGTAGCTCGGTGAGTCACCCCAGTGCCGCCTTCAGCAATCAAGAGGTAATAGAAACCGTCTTTGTAAAACAACTTGGGGCCTTCGGGTCTGGTAGAAGTTGTGACAGGCAGTGTCCCGTTCCAGATGTTACGGTAGGGGCCGACGCATTTCCCGTTCTCGAGATTCACTTCGCACTGAGTGATACCCCAGAGCTTGTCGTAGCCATTGTTTAGTCCCATGAGCGACAGGTAGCTCTTCCCCGACACTGGATCTTTGAACAAATGGGGGTCGATCCCAAGAGGCTCACTCCACACAGGTTCAGACCATGTCTTGAGGTCTGGAGAAGTGACCCAGAAAATTCGAGGCCAGGTGCGATAGTCGGGATCAGAGCCAGTCATCGCCATTGAGGTCATATAGAACAGCCCGTCAATATGTGACAGAGATGGTGCCCAAACACCTTATACAAAATTAGTGAAGCTCGCTTAAATACAATAACACGACATACCATTATTGTTCCTAGCGCCAGTGATGGGGACATTTTTTGGGTTATCTAGAGCATGTGAAACGAGCTCCCAATTGGAGAGATCTTTTGACTTGTAGATGGGAACTCCGGGATACGTTAGAAACGACGAGACCGCAATGTAATAGGTATCGTCCACACGCAGAACATGCGGGTCTGGATTCCAGCTGTAACTATGCATTAGCGCCTGCGAAACTCATATTTATTGCCAGCATTTGTCCTCATACCCTGGAATGATAGGGTTCCTCAAGGCTGAAGTGATCGAAGCCAAGGCGAGGCACAGAAGTCCCGCCACTCGATGGAATCTTGGCATGTCGGCAAATCAGTTATAGCTATACGAGACGCGACATTTAGGGTTTCTGGGCTAGAAATAGAGGCTGAAACCTCTAGCGTTTATATCTTCTAGTCTTCTGTCTCGAAAACGCGGTGGATAACATTTTATTTCACATTAGCACAGAGAAGAGTTGGGGAAGGGGATTCAGCCTTTCAATCTTATCAATTGGGTAAATCTTTGCCTGGAATATCTTTTTCCCATCAATTAATATGTAGAACGAAACAAGGTTGAAATCACCCGAACAAAGCAGTAGATGAAAGGCTTGGCTTGTGGACCAATTTCGGAATAATTCATCCAAAAGCCCGATCACCATAATAATAAAATGCCGGCTAATTTTGGAAACTCTGGTTCGTTTCCCCTCATAATATTATCCAGTCTGCTTCTTATATCCGGTTGTACTCATGTGAACAAGCCTATTCAGCGTTGCAGAGCGTTTTAGGCTAAACAAGATGTAAGGTATGTTAACGTCGAATTGCTTTTGAGTATCAAAACCCCTGTCACCCAAGACAAACCTTGACTTCGACCTTCAAATCATAAGAAATGACTCTCAGACACTCTAAATAACTGTCTAGCTCGTAACACCTTTGCCTTCATAAAAAAGAGATTTTGCTGGCGAGGGAATATTTCTCGAAGGAAAGGTGCTATAGGGTAAGTGGATAATTGAGCAGAAATGGGAAGAGTCGTCATGCCAATCATTAAAATTACGATTGGCGATCTACTAGCGTATCCATCTTCAAGCAAGCCGATATTCTTGGCTAGATAATTCTCTTCCCCTTACGGTAGACTTTCACGTTAGATATCTCGTATTGCTGCTGGTTTCAACCATCTCCCAGAAAGCCATGACTGTGTTTGTTTAGACAGGATCCAACGAGCTGGAACGTGGAGGAGACTCAAGTGAGGCGCCAGTGAATAAGCAGCGGCATGTGATGCATTATGACGTACCTAGACGCTGCTACTAGCTTTCCCTCGCATTCATTGGTCCGTAAGTCGTGGTCTTGTCTCGGTAATCTCCGTCTCACGGCTCTCTGTTCATAAGAGCATCTACAGTCCGAAATAAGAAAGTTTGTCTAGATAAAAATCAGTATCATCGTTCACCAATAGCATGTTCAGTTTAAAATGAATCAAGAAAAGGGGCAGATAAGTTCTTGCACTCAAGATGCTTGATCTACTCCGAATATCGACTGGATAGTTGTGAACATTCATCAATGACACTTGGCGGCATTGCAGCAGAATGGTATCTGGAATCTGGATGAGCAATTAATCAACTTCCCCAAAATGGGTCCTTGAGGCTGTAAAATGGGCCTGGACAGCCTCCTGAAAGTGGTTGAAGGGCCTAGAACCGAGATGAGACACGCGATCACTGGGGCTGTGACAGTGAGTTCAGCGATGAGTGGAACGAGCCTCCACGATCATGCTCAGCCATCTGACAACCTCCGCATTCACACAATCTACCCCATATTCTTGCATCACGATATTGGCACTAAAGAGTTGCTGTTACATAATGTCAATGGCTTTGACATCGACAACCCACGATGAGACAAGGATATGGAGAACATATCAGGTTCCACATTGTGGGCTGACCAACTGGCCTCATCCTCCTGTAGTTTGGCGGGGGAGGAGCAAGAAGTAGCTTTCCAGTTGCTGCAAGAAACGGATGTGAGGGTTCGGGCAGCTTGACTCTCGCAGTAAAATACAGCAATGGAAGATGCCAGACCCGCCATCTCAACACAACGAATACGTCCGGTGCAAGAAGCATCCTGGCGAAAGGAGTTTCTCATAGGCTTTTGCAAGGTATTCGAGGAGTTCCCGGAAAACAAGGACCACGTTGTTGAGGTGAGGTAAACCGGCTCCCCGGAGAAGATCCCTTGATAGATATTGCCCCCTTTGATCCAGAGTACGGGGCTCCACGGGAGCGTCCCGAGTTGGACAGACCGGCCGGTTTCTTACACACGATTCGTCTAGCCATCGAGATGCACTAATCAGACAAATCAAGCTAATTGCGGAGGTTAGTCTTCGCGAGCTGAAGATGATACCGCTTTCGCCGGACAAATGAGGGTATCGAGAATTGAACACGTAGGTGGATGGACAGTCGAGACCACGCCATGATCCATATTCCTAATCGAGATGCTGAGTGCGCCATATCTTGATTGTTTAAATCTGTTGCTGATATCTCAATGACTCATTCACATTGATAAACCAACTGGGGTGATGCCTTCAGGCATTTCCCGTATACAAGGTATCATGAGGTCCCGCTGACAGGCCGAATGAGCCAATTAGCGCCACATGTCGCGGAAACCTTCCCGAATGAATTCTTGCTTTGGGCAAGTTTTAGGCAAGATATCTCAGGCGAGTGGCCATATCAATCCGGGCATCCCCAAGATTGCGCACTGATTCAAGATGGAAAGATAAGGATGAGACCACGCTGCAAGGGAACGATATTCCAAAGAGCAGCCGTGCAACCACGATCGAGACTGATATCGGGACACATTCCGCGCCGGGACGATTAGTGTGTGAGGTGGTGATAAGGCGCAGGCTAAAGGTGTCAAGCTGAGCCTCTTGATCCAGAGTTGAGTAAGCCTACCCAGCTATCTGGAAGACTCGGGAAGGCTTCCTCGGCCGCGGTCACTGTCCTCAGGGCACAACGAACGGTCAGTGCCAGAGCATACCTCCTCGGGGGGAACCCTTCCAATATGAAACTGAGGAAGGTGGAGGCGACGAGACATGGGCTTCAGCCTCACGCTACTGGGTTGACCTGCCTTGAACGTCGGGACTCGTGCCGGGGTTGTGTGGACCGGCACTACGGCTTAGCAGAAGAGACTACGGCCTTGGCGATGTCACTACGGTCATGGGCACCAATCATGGTTGATGACGGGCAGGGCCATGGCATGGTTAGATGGCCTGCATGCATGAGAGGGAGAGCCGAGGAACGGCTTAGACATCGGTTCAGGGGATTCTTATCATGCCACGCAGTGTAACGCCCGCCCGTTGACGCTTGCATTCAGAGTTCAACGTTATCATCCAACTCCACTCCGTAGCTATTGCTTGATAGATGAGTTGACTGACTGATTGGAGATGTCGTGTGGCACGGAGGCTTTATTAATTTGCGCTAGCTGAGACGGCAGATATGAATGCTAGTCATGACAACCACCTTCGAGTGTCCTACGGCCCCAGTCCCGAATATCACGACTCTAGAGCACAGTACGTGAACAGGAGGGTCTAGACCGTCAATATCGTCAGCTTGCTTGCATGTTCGCGGTACCACGCTAACAGGTTACTATCTTGCTTATCACTCGATCTCCCCATTTACATGCACCTCTATCATGATAACAGTGGCGAACCTGCAGCACAAAGTCTGGGGAAGTGGGTATAAAAAAACGCGGGGGACCGATGACTCTCCCAGAAGGCCCCTTGCACACCACTTCGCAGTTCCCACCCACCCAATCTAGTTCGGCCCTTCCGTGTGTGTCGACTATCTCAACGACAATAAGATAAAAGGTCGATCCTCCCCCCTCAATTTCCCTGGTCGTCACTCCCATCATCCCCATTGCATACTCATCTTCTTCTTTCTTCATCCACAATGTCTGTAAATCATGAGCCCGTCAAGGTTGACCAGTCTTCCAAGACTGGGTCCATGGAGAAGGAACCCATTGGCTCCATGGAGAGGGTCGGCAGCATCGTTGACGCCGACGTCGAGGACAAGAACGGACAGTTCCACCGTTCGTTCACACCTCGCCAAGTCCACGTAAGATACAGGCCTGTCACGAACCATGACATCAAGTCCCCCAGTTTAGCTCACAAGTTCCCAAGATCATCTCTCTCGGATCGAATATCGGCAGTGGTGTCTTCATCGCTACCGGCAAGGCTCTCGCCACCGGTGGCCCTGCCAATATGGTCATCGCCTATCTCATGGTCTGCAGCTGTGTCTGGTCCGTCCTCCAGACACTTTCCGAGATGACCATCGCCTTCCCCGTCTCCGGAAACTACATCGACTATGCCGACCGATGGGTCGACCCCGCCCTGGCTTTTGGTGCTGGTTTCGCAGAATGGCTTGGTTAGTGTTGGACACGGTTCTCGAAACGGTCACGGTCTGAATACTAATCTTGAACATAGGCTGGACCGCAATCGTCGCCGCTGAAGCAAGCTTCTTCCACATTCTCATCGGTTTCTGGTCTGGAGGCAGTTTCCCTCTTGCAGCTACAAGTATGTCAAACCTCACGTTCTGTTCTACTAACTAAGCTAACGTCAGAATGTAGTCAGCTTGTTCCTGGTCGCTTGTCTCGTCATTTTCCTTCTCCCGAATACTGTCTTCGCTTGGTTCGAATACGTCACATCTATCATCAAGATCTTCTTGTTCCTCATAATTATCCTTCTTTCATTGGCTATGGTGCTCGGAGCGGGACCCAATGGCAAGATGCACCACGGAGAGACATGGACGGACCTCCCAGTGTTCCTCAACGGCTTCGGAGGATTTGCCAATTGCGCCCTCCTTGCTGTCTGGGCTGTTGGTGACCAGGTCTTCATCGGTATCATGGGAGGTGAAGCCGAGAGCCCTCGCTTCTCCATGGCCCACGCCACAAAACTTGTGCCGTTCCGTGTCAACTTCATCTACATGCTTAGCGTCGTCTTCGTCACCCTTCTTGTGCCATCCAACGACCCACGCCTGTTGGGTGGCGGTGGTGTCGCGGCCTCTCCTTTCGTCATTGCCGTGCAGGAGGCTGGCATTCCGGCCATTGGATCCATTCTGAACGCTGGCATGATGGCTGGTGTCCTCGCCATTGCCGCCGAGTCGGTCTACCTATCTTCTCGAGTTCTCCGAAGCATGGCCAACCAGAAGCTCATTCCCGAACGTTTCGCCGGAGTCGATTCCCAGGGACGTCCCAGGTGGGCTCTGCTGATTACCAGCTTCTTCGCCATTCTGCTCTCTTATATTCAGCTTTCTGGTAAGTTAAATCCAATTCGCTTCATCTGCAGTCAAGAGATAGGAAGCCTTGCTAACATATTGAACAGCCGGTGGTCTCGTCGTCTTCAACTGGTTGATCGGCATCACCAGCGCGTCATTCTTCACCAACTGGATCATCATCTCTTTCACCAACTGGCGTTTCCACTGCGCGCTCAAGGCCCAGAACGATCAGCTCTTTGGCGAGACATATGCCTGGAAGTCCTCTCTCTGGCCTCTGGCCCCCGCGGCACTGATGATTGTCTCCATTGTCCTTCTCATCTGCTGCTTTTATGCCGGAGTTGCTCCTGTTGTAAGAACACTCGCATCCAGCATTCATGAAATTCAGACTAATTTTACTTCTAGAGCGGTCTTGGATTCTCTGCTGAGAACTTCTTCCAATATACATTCGGTTTCCTCATCATTGTCTTCTTCACAATTGGCTACAAGCTCATCTTCCGAACTCCATGGCGCGACCCCGCCACTGCCGATCTCGTCACCGGCCGACGAACTCTCGGCGCCGAGGAGATCAAGCAGCTGGACGACTACTACAGACAGCCTCCGTTCAGGCGATTCCTGACATATGTCCAGCTTTGGTAGTGGGCTTATTATAGACCAATACAGGGGAAGATGGTGCATCTCTCCTCTGTGGGAATCGGCTTTTACCGCTCCGAGCTTGTCGCTTCCTGATGGGAGCGAGCCGGATTAGATGTACAAATACAACATTTTATTTTCACTTTCACTGATGAGGTTCTATGATATCTGTGACAATTAATCGATAGAAATCAATATTTTCGCCCATTGTGATTCTTACCACATGCTCATATGGCTTGCCAACGCTGCTTACCTTCAAATCTAACCCGAGAGTCGGATAAATCTAATGACAGGAATCTTAACTAGCGACATCATCAGCGAAAGAATTAGTGGTCTGGCTAAAATGCCACAATTACTGATGCATCTCTGCTTCTGGTATTCGCAGCTTAGTAAAGCCTTCGCACTAGGATCTGAAGACTGAATAACGAAGTTGTGTTTTAGATTAAAGCCTAGAAGCGATTATGACTCGTTGGTATGTCACACTCTCTACTTGTCCCTAATCTCGAGCACATGGCGTACTAATTGTGAAAACTCCCAGGTAGCTGGGCGGTCATCGTAGATCCATCGTTTCCGGTTCACTTCTTCGTATTCCCTCCGACAATGGAATGACTTAACACGCCATGCCGCCCCAGTCATCCCGATTCCGAGACTGGCTCGCTCACCTCCTCCTCACTCGTCTCATCGCTCAACCCTCGCCCGCCCCTCGCCCTCCTGAGACGGCACTCATAATAGTACATCTCATCACCACTGGCGTCCACAATCATCTCGACAGGATGCCAGCTCGGCTCCTCCACGCCGGTCCACTCAATCAGGAACTGCTGAGGTCGCCGGCCGGCACGAACAGCCAGGATGGCGAAAACGTTGAGCTCGTGGGGGTGCGCGGGATTGAGTGGCCGCCCACCAAGGCTGTTCCAATGCTGGATCAAGATTCTCTTGTCGAGCGCGTGGATGGTGTCCTCCGCCTCCCATGTCTTCTCACCGGTCGCCCACTCGACCTGGATCTGGATCTGGTTGTCCTCCCAGCGGTGCTCGTGAAGCTGGAGGATGGCAACGTCGTTGTTGGCGGTTTCGTCATCGTCCTGCTCGAGATCCGATTCGCTGCCCATGTCTTGGTCGTAGACGGTCCATACTCGCTGGTTTTGCTCATCCGACCAGAGGATCTAGCTCTCTCGGATTTTGGTCACTTCGTTGCGAGGCATGGTTGAGGGGCTAGGTTTTGGGCGACGAATTGCTATCGGTGCTGTGGCGTCGCGGGCATTGAGGTTGGCCCTCGGCTTCGTGCAGAAGCAAAAGAAATATAGAAGTTTGAATGCGTCGAGTGCTAGATTTTCCAAGATGTGGAAAAGATGAGGGGGAGAAGCGTCAATCTGTGGCTGAGTCTGTGCGAGGTTGAAGTTGAAATTTCGGGTGTGTGCAGATGCAGCGAGATTTCACGTGACTGCAGCTGCCCAACTTCACTCTTCTCTCTGTGAGAGGGTACAAGTATAAAGTGAAAACAGTAAGAGGCTAGTTCTAAAATCTTCAGATAATGAATATAAAAAGTAAAACTATGATTAATTAATTAAGGTTATCTACGTCTTTATACAAACCAGACTAATTATATCAGTATAAATCCTTTTTTTTATCTTTTCTTTCGATATTTGCCTTGATTCTGAGGCATTTGAGTTTAAGATGAACTACTTACGAAATATTACATCAAAAAACCTAACCTTGGTCACAATCATGTGAAATGATGGGTACTCTAAGAATATAAAGTAACCCGGCCTCAGGATGGTTATCCACCACCAACTGCTCGAATAGACTAAATGGTGACGACGGGAACAAGTCAAGGTTGGTCATGTTAGCACGTTTTGATGTGTTTAAATGTCTTCTCTTTTCTCTTATTGCTAGATAGCTGCTTCACCTCATCCTATCAAACCCCAGGCTTCCCATTGACGACTAACGTCTAGGAAATCGCCCCCCGAGTCTCTCCTCTAGACGGGCTCTACGTTTCGGTTTCAAATATTTAGCCCACTCATACGCCTCTGGAGTTTTCAAGAACCTCAATAGGGTGGAAGGGTCTTCTTCTACCATTGATATGAAGGGTGAGTTGATCTTCAGGAGCGGTACATTTACTATGCGGCCATCGCAAGATGCGCCATGTTGATAATAAAAGGTAATTGAGTTTTTGAGTTCTTTCTTTTCCGTACCTGATAGGCAGAGGTCTTCGAAGCCATCGGTTTCTTCGAGGTCATCATTGTCTCTCGGTCCTTCTCCCTCCATTAGAAACATCTGCCAGTGGATGTAGATGAGGGGAACAGTGTTTGCCGAATGCAAGTGCACGACAAGGTCATACAAGAGTCCCATCTTGATTCCGGTTTCTTGCAGGTGCTGACATTGGCTTCCGAGCTGAGCAGGAACACAGTGACCGAGCCGATTAACACAAAAGTGATGACTCCAAATCTTTATCGACTCGAGCTTTGCGGGCGGTTGGACCGGGAACATGCGCCTCCATGAAGCATCTTCCCGGATCATTCTTTCGCGAGAGAATTCATCGGTGAACCAATCCAATTTACGAGTCATCTCGCTAAAGTCGTGGAAGGACAGCATGTCGTCTGGTCTCTTCAACGAAAACAATGCTGGGAACCGGCGTTTGAGGATTGGGTGTAGCTCTGGTGTGGTTCTCGTCGGGTCTGGTACGAAGAAGAGCTTCTGCTGTAGCACAGTCGACTGTTCAATGAAACTCTTGAAATGAGTATGGACCAACTGAGCGAAGAGGAGCTCTTGGATGTCAAGGTTGAGGAGAATGCATTCAAAGATTTCGGGTGTGGTGAAGCATCGGCGCATTGCGCGTCGTGCCATTTTGCTCTGGTGCGTATTCATTTTGTGGTATCAAAATACAGCTGAGTGAATAACTCTGAGAAGGAAGTTGAATCCTCATTAGAGAATCAGTAGGAGCCCTAGAAGAGCCAGCATGATGTGACTCCTGGCCGACTGCTTGTGACTCATCCATGTAGCATCAGAAACGGGCAGGCGGGGAAGAGGGCAGAACTATTGGCACAAAGTCGCTAATTTCCGATGCTGCCAAGATGAAATTTTGAGCATGCGGAGATATAATCATCCGATTGTGTTGCCACTCTAAATAAATACAATGAGACAAATCGCTACGGCTGACGGGAAGCACAGCAGGGCTTCCTAAATTGCAACACCAACTGGGTAGGCTTTGCAATGGGCTGGTCATGAATCCCAAATCCATTTGGACGCTACTTAGAATAACTCCAGATGATGGAACAATCTTTCAATTATATTGCACTTTATAACTGCGGCATCCCCAAATATAATAACTATGAAGTTGAGATTGGGTACATACGCTAAGGGAATCCTTCTTTAGTTCTCTGTTCCACTATTGTCTCTTATGATTTTTGTGAGTGCAGACCCCCTTCATTCATTACCTTCGACTGGTGCATGATATATGCGCATCAACATGTGGGTGGGAATAATTCGCGAAAGTCATCATGCGATTCTACAAACGAACGCGCTCAATGCAGGCTACGATCGAATACTAAACGTAAAAGGGCTCCGTCACCGGACCGATAACTTAGTCACGGCTAGAATAGCCATGATAATACTCGACCGACCGCGCAATATCTAAAGATTGTAAAAGGCTGAGAGCAAGTTTCAACCTGTGTGTGATGAGAAAGACAAATTACCGACAGCTTCTTTCGCTGGTTGAAACATATCCACTCCAAATTCTGCCACATTCTCCTCGGAATAGGAACAAAAGATCCATGGAGTGTGGTCTAATGGCAGGCGCTATTCCGCAAGCTCTCCCAGATATGCAAAACTCAATTTGGAGCTTTGGTTTCCTGTCAAACCTTCTTGGAAAATCAGGTTGCGGTATAAGTGTAATAAGTACACATGGCCCGAGTTAATCGGACCATAATGCACACCATTTTCTACAAAGAAGACAATACTAGGGCGCAATGGGCAATCCTGCTTGCATTTGGTACTTGAAAGTGAAGATTCATTATGGCAGTTATGGAATGCGGAAATTCCTCAATCATTTGGAAGAAGGCAGCAAGGTAATATCATATAAAATCCAGAGCCATCAGCATTCCACTTCCGGATGATACATACATAAGCCGCAATCAAGTATAGAAACAAGAGAATATCTTTTGTTCTCTTCTTTTATGATGTAGCGTATCGTTATGATTATAAGGGTGTTATTTCAGGGAAGAAATCTCTAGGCGCGTGCTTTTAGTGTGCCACATCTGTGGAGGGCTCCCTAACAGATTCCGACCCTTGCCTTGAGAATCTTCAGTGGAAGCAGGTATAGGTTTATCCACCACATTGACAGCATCCTCTTAATCACTGGGTGGCCTAGTTGGTGCATCCATTTCCCAGTACGCCCAAGTTCAGGCTGACAGATTCTCGATTATGATGTCTCTGGCGTGGGGAACATGGCAGTCTCCCCGTCCATGGCCATGACTATGGCCTCGTCTCCAATCGGACACTTTTTCTTCCCGTAGTGCTTTCCTGACGCTCTTTGAATCATGGCCCACAGTATCTCGTAGTGTAAGGCTGATGAGTCTTGTTGGAGTTGGCAAAGCCCTCGCTACAGGGAGGATATGAGGAGGCTCTAATGTTAAAATGTTCGTTGACTCGAGTTGCAAAGGGGAGCTTCGGCATGCCCCAACGCTATAGAAGTGGTGTCTCCTAATGGCTACCACAAGACATCAGGTAGCCTGTCTACCTGTAGGTGACATCCTGATCGGCGGCACGGTCCGCAAACACAAGTGAGACCGAAATTGGCCGGCCTGGATGGTTTGGCCTGGCATATCCTGCTCCACCGATTTGGACCGATCTATTCCAGTCACACCATGATGAGCATCATGAATCTCGTCGTATCGCGCATCGTAGTCGGCGTCGTGATATCTTTAGCCCGCTTCAACGGGCTCTTCTCCTCCTGCCGAATAATCCGAGTTTGCCGGCGAAGCGCAATGAATTGGCCGAGCTTGCTTCAGATCGTTGAGACGGAGGCCCCGGCGGCTTGCAACGTTCGTCCTTCTTACCGCCCTTCGGATCGCATGGAGGTTGTCGAGTCAGTCGACACGTCGGATCTGTGTGCTGTTTATCCCACTCGCAGCCCCTATCACCGCACACGTCGATGAGAACCCAGCTGCCGTGGATGCACCGGACGATTCCAGGGCGAAAGCAACCAAGCACATTCTCATCCTTGGGCAAACAGGCGCCAAGATCGGCCCCCGGTACCGACTGTGCCAGGGCGAAGGCGGCAAGGAGGGACAGCAGCTGAAGAAGAGTGAATTTCATGGTCGCAGCGACTCGATCGAATAGGCGGGCGCGCGTTTTGCTCACGGAGCCATGAGGGGAGCAGCAGCGCTTTTCGTTCTTGATGGGCCAGCCACCTGTCCTACAGCTCCCGGAGAGGTGTAAAAGAGAAACATCGACCATACGAGCAAGTGAGGGAAATCAGTGCTCTAATGAAACGCGCTCTGCGAAGGCGTGCTCGGCGCCCGTTGCAATCTCCACCATACTGCCAAGACGCCAGATGTGACACTCTCTGCCATCTGCCACTTGGGTGCCGACAGAAACAGCAGCTTAATGGTGCTTAAATCATGCTTGTTTCATTCCATACCACCACAGTATCTTTGAACGGCAGCTCCCTATCACGGCCCTCCTACTCCGTGCCGTTTCAGGTAGGCAGAGGCGGCGATCGTCTCCATCCTGGCGTCTGAGTTGCGACTGCTAGGATGTTTCTCGATTGACACCTTCTGCAAGGGGTTTGGTGGCTCGGCTGTCTGATTCGGCCTTTTTCAAGACAGGCATCTTGAAAGGAGATCTCACTGTTTTGCCTCTGTTGCTTGGGCCGACTTCCGTCCCCGCCAAGTGGTTGGAAATTGCGCCAAATTTCACCGTATTGTGCCTTTTCTCCGTATCTTTGAATCTGAGCAACTGCCAATGATGCAGGTACAGTGATTATCGGTGGAATTGACAAGCCTAGCGCTATCATTCATCTCCATTCAAAATCACAAGGGGCCTCAATAGCCGTTGATCAGGAGGATAACTTATTTCAAACCCCGGTATTCGTAATTGTATCACCACACCTCGTCCCCCCTCAGCCAACCTTCTTACCCCAGACAAAGATTAGCAGTGACCACCAAATAGAAGCACGACGGAACTTGATAACACATAGCCCCAGACGCCCATATCAACTTACAAAGGATGTAAACCCTCAAATTTGGCAGACACAGCAACGTGACGCATAAAAATGGTTTCATGTGAGAACCACGCGAGAATGGTTGATGAAACTACCACCAGTGACATTCATCGGCTGTTTGCCGATGCTTAACCAGATCGAGCCTATACTAGTTTTCGCGTGACTATCGCTTGATGAATATTTACATTGCAGATGTCACCTTCTCACAGCTCAAGGCTAAACAGATGGGTAATAGAACGGATATATCCCTTCTCCAAACCAACGCAGCAAGAGTAAAAATAGCCCATCGCCATTTCGGAACCCAACTCAATTTTCCGAAGACCCTACACGATCTCGCCTCCATGAGGAATCAAGTTGAAGGAATCCCCCACTGACTTTGCTTCATGGACGAGTCGGAATCAACTTGTTTGAGATCCATGTGGAATCGGACGGCGTGCCTCCGCTTAGTTTCACCCTGTTTCCGAAACTGTCGCGGATGACGCGGAGCGACCGGCCCGTTTTGGATCTAAGTTCACCATCTGACCATTATCGAAAGGTTTGTGGTTTGGCTCTATTTGTTTAAAAGGCCATATCCTCTAGGGGCTTTGTGAATAGCTTTAGTTTTGGAGATAATACCAGTGAAAACACAACATTTCAGACCGAATCATACCTCCACATCTTTCATCATGAAGTTAACAACGTTGACCGCCGCCTCATTTTTGGCTACTCAAGCAGCCGGCCATTATATTTGGAACCAACTCGACATTGGCGGCACCACGGGGTCCATTGGTCAGGGAATCCGCCCAAACAGCAACTACAACTCGCCAGTTATTGGTATGAATATACCGAGCAACCCAAAGACTCACAAATCGCTAACCCGTGAGCAGATCTCACATCCAGTGATCTGAGATGCAATGTTGGCGGACTGAGTGGCTCTTCCACAGTGGTCAGAGATATCCAGGCTGGTGGTTCATTCACCTTCCATACCGACGTGGTATGTCTGCTAAAATTTAACATCTGACCTTCACTCTTCTATGGGATTTCATCTAACTAGTGCCCAATACTAGGCTGTCTATCATCAAGGGCCTGTCTCTGTTTACCTTTCCAAAGCCCCTGGCTCAGTACAGAGCTACGACGGCAGTGGCTCCTGGGCTAAGATTGCCGATCTCGGTACGTCGTTCAATACCTCGGTCGAGTTCCTCATAGGTATCACATGGTTGCTGATAAAAATTTGATAAATAGGGCCTACATTTTCTGGAAGTGGTGCCACATGGCCACTCGCACGTACGTTCATCCGATCTTATAAGACCTGAGACAAAACTAACGCAGTCGCACCCATACAGAAACTTACACCTTTAAGCTCCCCAGTTAGTCAAGCTCTACATCCCACTTCTAACAACTATCAAGTTTCAACTCTAACTTGCCCTGATGGGTAGCTTGCCTCCCGGATGGAGAGTACCTGCTCCGTATTCAACAGCTGGGCATCCACAACCCTTGGCCTGCGGGCATCCCTCAGGTATGGAGCGCCCACTCCACCTACAAAGCACACAAAAAGCTCCAAAGAAGAATTCTAATGAAAGGTCTCTGTGTTGAATAGTTCTACATTGCGTGCGCCCACATCAAAGTGACGGGTGGATCCAACACGGCTGCCTGGAAGCCATCGCTCACGATTCCCGGCGTCTTCAAGGAGACTGATCCCGGATACACAGTCAACGTAAGATAGCAGTAACGAAAATTTAGCTTGGCATAGCTAACGAGGAGCAGATTTACCAACCCGAGTTCAAGTCATACACCATTCCCGGTGGTTCGGTTGTAAGTTGATCCTCTCGCTGCCGCGCTAGAAGATGATTGTTGACATAAATGACTAGATGACCTGCTAAAGCCGATGATGGGTTTGGCTAGGCGGATCTAGTAAAGCGAACCCGCTGGAGATGCCGAGAGGATCATATCAGCAAGCTTGGAACCGTCTAGTCTGCGGCAATGGCCCAGAAGTGCGGAAATTAAATCGGTATGCAGGCCGGCTAGAGGCACCACTTCGATGGACCAAGCAAGGTCGTTTGGCCCAGTAGCCAACAGCTAGCAGCTCAGGTTGACCAAAAATAGCATCTGAAACTGGGCCCTTAGGAGCCGCCTTGTCATGATTCAAGCATCGTCCCAGTGTACTCCGTAGATTGCCCTATCCATTGGCCAAGCCCACTGCGCCGTGACTAATTATTTCCAAAAGGATTGGTTGTGATTTGTGCAGAAGTAGAGACTTCTCAGCGCGCGACCTGGCGACCCATGTCATGCTCACCTTGTTGACCTGCCGCAAAGTAATATTGGATCGGCGGCATCCATACATAGCCTTGTCAAGTCTCCGTCGCTATCCTTGCTTTACCATGAGCGGCACAGTTCCACGCTGTTTGAGTTCGGGCGTATTGCGGGTTGTTTCATCAAAGACTTGCGGTTTAAGGACTCCAGTCAGCTTATGATGGGTCATGACTGATGATCATACTAGAATAATTTAAAGATACTGGATACTCGGCAGCATGGTTTATTACATGGTGCTTGTTTGTATTTATATGTTTGTTCTTCTGGTCGTCTGGAGGCTACTAATTGGCTCAATTGTTCAGGAAGTAAACCAGACAATCACCACACGCGGCTCAATCGAAGGTTCCATTCACACAACTCGCCCATTATGGTCGCCCTGTTCCAGGCATTTCTTCAGCTGCTGATTTCCAGCATTGCTCTAGCATCAGGTAGATCCCTTCGCCATCCATTCATGCGAGGCGACAGCATACTAACGCAGACCAAACAGCCAAGGATCTCCGTATCATGCCCCTTGGGGCCTCGATTACGTTTGGTGTTGGCTCGAGCCAAGGCAATGGCTACCGCGAGTTCCTCCGCGAATCACTGCAGGGCGCCGGATACAAGGTCACCTACGTCGGAAGCCAGCACAACGGCCCCATGACCAACAACGACAATGAGGGTTTCCCAGGTCTCCGTATAAGCCAGGTTCTCAACGACCACGCCAAGACAGATGTGCCCACACACAAGCCCAACCTCTACACTATTAATGTAGGCACCAACGATGCCGTTCAAAACTTCAAGATTGACGAGGCCGGCAAACGCATGGACGAGCTCCTCGACTTCCTCTGGACGGCCACCCCCGACGCCAATGTCGTTCTCTCCACCCTCGTCCGAAACAAAGACGCCAATACCGATGCCCGCGTCGTGAAGATCAACAAGCAGTTCGAGGATCTCGTATCCAGGCGCAAGAGCAACGGCAACACCAAGATCGCGCTGGCCGACATGCATGGCTCCGATGGCCCTCAGGATGCCGATATCAATTCGGACGGAACGCACCCGAATGACACTGGCTTCAAGAAGATGTCCAACATCTGGTTGGACGCCATCAAGACTGTGTCTGGGACCGCCAAGAAGAGCAAGGCTTGCAATACAAAGAAGCGGACCGAGATGTAAAAATGTTTAACACGAGAAGTTACGGCCTTTTTTCCTTTTGCACTTTGCTTGGCCCTTTTGGGTGTGACGGATATTCCCCTTCGGGGGCGAGCTCATCAATTGGCATGCAGTCGTCACGTTTTCGCCATCTATTGTATATTTTACCTTTTTACGCTTACTGAGCCTATTCAGAAGCAAGGCGCCAGGTATTAGAAGTCAACGGACATAGAACCAACGTTGAAATACGGAATAAATTCATCACCCGACATGGTAGCATTATGTTTGCCAATTTATGATGCATGACATGATTGATAATCGATAAATTCTATATAGATAAAATGGTGCTCGCTCCCAATCCATGACTGTCCTTAACACTGAGTATAATTTGCAGAGACATCGCTAGATGAAACAAAAAGGCTGCTCCTCCAACCTCTATACCAAAACTCCAAACCCTCACGTTTCCTCCAGCCAACAGCTCACGGGCGGGCAATCGAGCCAAAGCAAGGCCCGATAGCAACTCCGCCCTGAGACAGCTGAAACTCAAACAGGCGGATAAAGCTGATCATGGCGGCGAGCTCAAACACCTCGCCCAACTCGCCCGTAGCTCCCTCGTTCATGAAGTGGAATTTGGCATTATTAGCTTGCGGGCGCATGGCCGCGAAGACAGCTACAATGGGTTTACCATCACCTCCCACCACGGTCACTTTGCCATCCTGGTCGCCGCCGCTGCCGCCGGGAGGGCCGTCGAGGCGAACCAGCTTCATCCCGTACTGGAAACCCCCGGCCAGGCTACGGACCAGTTCGCCGGTGCTCTGGCGCCACTCAAACGTCTCGGCGCGGTTGGCGGGGCCGACGGGGACAGTGAACTGGTACTTGTTCTTCGTGCCCACGGTGACATCGATATCCATGGGCTGGGTGAATGACCCGCCGAGACGAGGCTTGAGACGGAGGTGGGAGGCGCAGGTGGTGCCGCTCCGAATTTTGAGAGCGCCGGCAGATGCGAGGGGGGTATCGAGCTTATCAGTGCCGTTGAGGAGGAGGATGTCGCCGGTGCCCATGAGCAGGCGGGGCGTCTTGACCAGGAAGAGAGGTTCGTTTCTTTTGGCTCCGAGGTATGAGTGGGAATGTGATAGACGGTATGTGAAGATGCATTCGGGGGGGAAGAGGGTGCCCTGTGCAGAGATGGCGGCGGAGACAGGGTTGGGTTGTACCTCCTCGTACGCGGGTGGTGAGTGCTCCTGAGGAGGCACAAAGCTGCCAAGTATGGCCTTTTCCGACATGCTGGTGTCCATTGTTGTGACTGATGGTTGGCTATGGGTCTTATAAGACGTGGATGATAGTAAATGATGACGGCCTTCGGTGTCTAGTCTTGTGAACTGAATGATGATAGAAATTAACGCAATGAAAGACCAGAGTAGGATTCAAGCTCCTTAAATACCTTTCGACTCCCGGAATGCCCATTACAGGATCGGCACAGCCCTACGGCCTCTGAGGGCATCGTCGCCACGAAATCTGAGGTATCGTCCCTTTGAGTGTTGCTCGCTGGCTCCCTATTGGCAGCCCTAAACGAGGGCAGTGCACCATCTCCACTCTAAATTTAGGCGTGTTCAGCGGTTCCTCGACCTTGAGAATCGGCGCACTCAGCTCTGATTGGCTGATACGCTCAAGATTGTGCGAGCCAGCCAATCAAAGCTCTTTTCTCGATCTTCAAAACAATGCCGCTTCGCATCTGACAAAATTAACACGCGCTGTCCCTGAAAATTTGGTGTGCCGCAGCCATCCTTCATCCCCCGCCTTTGGACGTCGAGGGCTGGCGCGAACGCGCCTTGCAATAAGCCTAGGATAATGATTTCAAAAGACTGGCTGCGCCTGGCAAAGTGGGTGTCAGTCCTGAACAGCACATGCGACATAGGTCATGCTCGCCGACGGCGAGGCTTTCATTATCGCATGCTCCTATATGTCAACATCCACATCTGCCGATGTGCGTTTCAGTACACAAAAACATGTCGCTTTTGCTGGAGGTTAATCCTATTTATGGATCCTCTGTATTACTTAAGGGCAAAAAATACAATACGAACATTGATTTTCATCAAAAAGAAATTGCTGGTCAAGCAATGACAGATGTATGACAAGAGTGGGATTCGAACCCACGCTCTTTCGAACTGCGAAGAAACATTCTCCTGAACACAGCGCCTTAGACCACTCGGCCATCTTGCCTTGATTGGTTGAGATCCGGTCTGTGGAAGAGATTCTAAGAGGGGCTCCAAAATTCGGACCGGTGAGCACCATCGACATCACCAAGTTGGAGGGAGTGCGTTTTGCTTGAGCGTGGACCATGAACCTCAGCGACACAGTAACAAAAAGTGCACAGATAAGTTTGAGTTGGCAAATAAGAACCCTTTCCTACCTCACTCTCCAAGTTAATAATGTGTATATTAAAAATTAATCCCGTGCTATATTCTCACCTTCCCGTTATTCAGTTGGACTGTATATATAGGGTAGGCATGAGTGGACCAGACAAAGTTTTTTTTTACAATTTTCTTTACACTCTACTAGAAGAAGCCTGCAGAAATTAAGCGACTTGAGAAAAAAGAAGTGATGCCGCCTAGACCTACGGTGTGGTATCAGAGCTTTTTCCAATGTGGTTGATACTGTAGCGGGGAGAGAGGAAGCTGTATACACACAACACCCACAACTACAACAACAAACCTAAGGCATGTGACAGCCTCGTCACTCGCACTGTGATCCATCGTACGAGGACCTTCCTCATCTCGAGCGATCGAGCGGATTGAGAAGAGAGCAATTTCTCACGAAGGTAACATTTGAAGCGCTCGTCGCAGCGCCCCATGAGGCTACAGCCGGCTTCAATGAACAGAGGCAACACAAGCAGTTAATTCACTCGTCAGTCAGATGTTAGGGCCTCAATTGAATGAAGAAAAAAGTACGTTTTCTCTGTGTAGGCTGCGGAAACGGCACCTTTTATCTCTTGAAAAGCCTGACGAGTGATAACCGGACCTTTTATCCCTGCCTCAATACATTGGCCATTCTGGCCTCAATAAGCCAAGGCGACGGTTTAGATGATTGTGTTAAAGATAAAACTCACGAGCTAGCATGTCCCATTAACAAGGCACTTCTCCCTGTTGCTATCCTCCTAAATCATAATATTTTACATGGGATCAATGCCCGTTGGAGCTTATCCTGGCCCCATAGTGCCCGCTTCTCATAGTGATCTAATAACAAGCCAAAGAGCGCTCAAAATCTTTCTAAAATTAGGTAACATTATCGCTGGGATATAATCTAAGCTGCTGAAAGGGAATGGTAAAGTGCCACAGGAGGAATTACTCCTTTAGGCTTCGTGGATAGAACACTGGAAGCTTCTCGAATAGCAATACTGGAATTATTAAATTAGACCCTCATGGAACTCTTGCAACGATGGGGGATGGGGTCCGCCCCCTGAGAACTCGGCATTATTAAGGTTTCAGCAATTGATTGCTCGGATCTTCCAAATACCGCCCTTGAATGCTTCCACGTAATTTGTGAATCGGAGTGTCCCCGATCTGCCTTCTATTATTACCGTCTTGGACCTTTTGTTCGAGATTCATGCCTACTTTTGTTGGATTTTTCCCTCATCTAAAATCTTATGTGCGCTTGAGAAACAGCATTTGGTGAGTTTCGCTCTTTGTGTCGACGATCAGTGCCTTCTCCAAAATTGAAAAGAACAAAAATAGGCAGTTGAGATATATAGACCCCCTAAGAAATGAGTTTCAGTCGAATATAAAAAAAAAAACTTGGATGAGAAGAAACTTACGTCGAGAATATCATCTGGTGACACCGTCGCGTACACCCGGCATAACGTGAGGACAACTGGTCCGGCACTCTTTAATCAGATGCAGCAGGATCTTGGTAAATACAATACAAGAGATTTATTTACACGCATAGTGCCGGTTGCATATGAGACGGGTTTTTCACATCTTCGAATCAATTCGCTGCAGGAAACTGGTCCTTGCCCGATGGACTGGCTGCTCCGTTGATATGTACGACAAAATGGGCAGGGATCACAACGACAAGGCAAGATGGCCGAGTGGTCTAAGGCGCTGTGTTCAGGAGAATGTTTCTTCGCAGTTCGAAAGAGCGTGGGTTCGAATCCCACTCTTGTCATATCTCTTTTGCAATTTTTTTCCGTTTCATTCTGGTCCTCGCCTCCTCCCCACATGAAGCTGTTAACAACTGCCCCGTCCAACGTCAAGGCAAGATGGCCGAGTGGTCTAAGGCGCTGTGTGTTAGTAATTACCCAATTCCGAACACACCAATAGTTGGCTAACAACCAATACAGTTAGGAGAATATCTCTTCCGCAGTCTTCAGGGGCGTGGGTTCGAATCCCACTCTTGTCAAGTCTTTTTTTCTATTTTTGCTGTTGGTAATTAGATCATCGGCTGAGTCGGCATCTGGGTCGCGTTGCGTTTTGCTAGTGCAGATTGTTTTCTTATTGGGGATGTAATCACAATCTATCTGTATTCGAGTATTAATAGAGAAAAACTGAATCTCTCATGAGACGATTGAGCATAAAGAGATACTCATAACCCAAGTTGACTGGCTGTTTTGAACTCACAAGCATAGGCGCACGTACGAGCATGTTGGCGAACGGCCTTTGTTGCTTTTCGCACAATGCAAGTGGAAGTGTATGCTTGTGCTTGCATATATAACGGGGATTTCGGGATGCTTAAGGGCCTGCCTTAGCGCTTATCGGCCTGTAGGATTCGTCATCCTGGGTACTATTGGGGAGAATGCGAGCAACGCGACCCCTCCCTTCCGGTGAGTCAGAGAGTTTCAGTTCAAGAAGGCAACCGGCTGCCTCATCGCTTCTCGTCCCTGTTATTCCTTCTCCTATCCGTCTTTCTCATCGTTCTCCTCACTTGTGTGTTGTGTATTCGCCTGCCTCTCGTTGCCGCTGACACTTTCCAACTTTCTGACCGCGATAATGTCTGAATCTACTCAAACTCCAACCCCCAAGGAGAAGACCTTCACTGGGTACACCAAGGAGCAGGGACAAAACTATGCTCAATACCGCCTCGACTACCATGAAAGCGTGTACAACACCGTCATTGATCGCCACTCATCCACCGGCGGCAAGTTCGACACTCTGCTCGATCTCGGCTGCGGTCCTGGCCAGGCCGCTCGCGCCCTCGCGCCTCGCTTCACCAATATCATCGGGCTCGACCCCTCCGAAGGGATGATCACCACAGCCAGGTCCATCCCCGGCACCGAGAAACCCATCCGCTTTGAGATATCGTCTGCAGAGGAGCTGGGCAGCAACCTCGATCCTCCCATCGCAGACTCCTCCATCGACCTCATCACCGCCTCGACCTGCGCGCACTGGTTCGACATGGACCGGTTCTGGCCCCGGGCGGCCCAAGTGCTCAAGCCGGGCGGGTCTGTCGCCATCTGGGTCAGCGGGGAGGCCGGCCCGCACCCGGACGTGCCCAACGCCAAGGCCATCGCGGCCGCCCTGAAGAAGAACCGCGAGGAGAACCTGCTGCCGTTCTACGAGCCCGGGAACCTCATGGCCTCGGACCTGTACGTCGACCTGCCGCTCCCGTGGACCATCGCGAAGCCGGTCGATGACTTTGATCAGAGCACCTACCTTCGAAAGGAATGGGAGGGCGGGGAGCCGTTTTACGCGATTCCGGAGCAGCTGAAGGAGGCTGGGATGGACTTGTTTGAGAAGATTATGGGGACTGTGAGTCCTGTGACTAGGTGGCGTGAGGCCCATCCTGACGCCGTCGGCACGGAGAAGGATGTCGTCCGCATGATCCGTAGGGAGATTGAGAGGCTGCTTCATGAGGCGGGTGTGGAGAAGGGCAAGGAGAAGTTGTGGTCTCTGGCGACTGGAGTGGTCATTGTTATCAAGAAGAAGGCGTCCGAGTCCTCGTAATGGGGTAGACAACTTGGATACAAGAGTCGCATCGTTTTTATTTCTACAACTAGGTCTTAAACCCATACTTTTTCTCAATGCTCACAGAAACTATAACCGGGGACACCGAATGCTGATATCTGGTCGACGTGCGTTCGTATTTCCATCAACTTGAGCCGGTGCTCATTAGCCTCTTCAACAGTCATTAGGCTTTCTGGGATGGTCTGAGAAGTCACAGGTGTGTTAATTTCACCTCGGTGCTGAAGCCACCACTCCTTCTGCTGCGGCGGCACGTTGGAGGTGGAGATAATACGTTGATGGGGGTCGACAAGCCACAGCGCAATGAATCGTCGATGGCCGGGCTTTGTCTTGTCTTGGAGGCTGAACGAGGATACAGCGTGCTGACTGAGAATTGAATGAGCCTAAATGGACTTCGAATATCGGATTCCAAGCTCTAGATAAAAGATCAAACTTACAAATCGTTTGGGAATGCGAGAACTCGCCCTTGTCGCGTTTCAACAGTGCCGTATTGTTGTATATTAGCGGCAGACTCTGCATCACCGTAATGTAGCCCTGTTCCATAGACCCTTTCGAGCCAGCTGAATGCGCCTGCCTTATAATCTATGTAATCTTGGAGGTATGAATCTGTCGCCATGCAGAAGGACAGATGACTGGATGTGACATTCTCACAATCGACATAGTAGAGGGCTGTGGCGCAGATTCTCTCGTTCACCTGCCCTTCAATCTATTGGCGTGATAACCATATTAGAAATTCGATCTGGCATCGTGTTAAAGAGTTGGATGAGACAGGTGGAAGTACTCACATGCCAGCCCCCTGCGGGAAAGTCAGGTTTGTCTGGTGTTAATTCTATGCTGGCCATCTTCACAATAACTTGAAGGCCGCTTTCTCTGAACGTCTCACGCAAATTCTGCCGTGGTGCATATTCAATCTCCATGAAGCCCTTTGGCTCTGGAAGAACTGCATCGCGGCATTGTCGCCATTTCTCCCGAGCCAGCTCTTCAGAGTCAACATAGGCGATGCGGGGAGGCAGACCTTGCTCGTATAGGCGTTGCTCCTCGTCCGTCTCTTCTCTGTGAGGTATTTCCCCTCCTTATCCAGCTTCGCTTCCGTATTTAGCTGTATCAGGCTGTCTAGAGGTAGCCTATAGTCCGAGGCCTTCCAGAATTCAACGTCAAAGGGGCTCCACAAATTATCATTCTCATCGCTGTTTTGGTTCATTTGGTTTAGTATTGATCATGTCTGTCAACAGATTCCTGGTTTGGTGTTGAATGAGGAGAAAACTCACCTTGCTTCGCTAATACATTCGAACCTGGAACTTCTTCTGCCTGATGAATGCCTGTCGTAACCATATATTTCTGTAAGGCATTGATCCCACGCTGGGATCACAGCATCTAGCAATCTCTTAATTGTCTTGTATATATTCGGGTACTTGCCGGGCCGCAATCCGTTGATGTAGCTGGTGAATTCGGGCTTGCCGTCGTCCTTGAAGGCTACATTCGCCGGCAGCCACTGGTAAGTGTTTGACCAACATCCGGGATTGATCTCTCCGCCACCAGGTGTATAAAGATATAGCTCATTGTTTGGAATCTCTTCTAATGTAGCTCTGTCAGTGTTCTTGGGCACGATCTGTCCTTGTCCAATGAAGTTCATGACGTTGTGTATGCCAACGACCTCATCATGGATAAACCTGGATCGACCTGAGACAGATCTTAGCAGCTGCCCAGAGCGAGGAAGTGAACAATTGGAAACATTGGCTAACCGTATACGAAAGGGTACATGGATGGGTGAACGAGATCTTGAACTTTGTCGTTGCTGTTCGGGTGCCAGTCAGGGCACGCAGCTTGATTCGCGAGCAGCTGCTGAAAAGAAGCATGTATGTCTTGATGAAGGGTCTTTGACACCAATTTATCTGATTTGACGACCGTGTTGAAGCTGGAATCAAGCGTAGGGATGAGCTTCGATTGGGCATAGTATTTGGCCTTGCTGCGCAATTCTGCAATGCACTTCAGAGGAGTAAGCTTACAAGATCGATGATGGTTGGTCGTCGGGACTGAGACATTCAGTGACTCAGGTTGGAACTCACAAAATCGAAAGCGGCTTCGGAGATGATCCTTTTGGGCTGAGGGACCGGTGCATCCATCTTGTCCCGCATGATAGTGGCAAACAGGCCATCTTCGGATTGAGTCTGTGACTCTCTTCGCCATTTCTCAACAATCTTGTCATCAAAGACTTTCTTGAACCACTCGGGTTTGTCAGTCAGCTTGTCCATCAGCAACATCATGCCCACTTCTCTCATGGGCAGGATGGGCGATTCAATCCGTCTAACGTTTGGGTGGCAGACGACGGGATAGTGATTTTCATCTAGTCCTGGGTGATGTCTCAAATCGATATCGACGTCCGGATACTTGAATTGCACCCGGGTTTTGGTCACCGAACCCTTATCGGACATCCTCGCGGCGGTGTGCCTGTGGTTGGTTATTGAGAGAAGCCTACGGGTGTAGAGCTGCAGTGGACGTTGCCAAAAATGGCCTTGCATCTTGGCAACATGTTGAGGAAACAACCCTATTGCAGAAGAGCCCTTTCGAGTTTCGAAAGGTGTTCCTGGATGATTTCCATGTGTCAACGTGGCACAGACGCGCTTAACCGTGCATCTAGGAATAAAACGCACATGAGTCATGTCAGCTTATTAATAACAGAGCCAAGCCAAGAAGAAGGAAGGCCAGAAAGGATGGTGATACTGACTCAACACGAGAATGTTATCCTACCAATCATGAGGCCGTTGAGCTGGTCCGGAAGCTCGGGGAATTCTCTTCAGCGTTGAATATATCTCTGTGGTTCACCTATTCGCTCAATTGTCCGCGGAACCGGAATACGGGAAGCTGTGCAACAAGCAAGGATCGGGAATTGGTGAAATGCCCGAGCTACACTGTCTCGGCCTTCACTTCACATGCGGTGTCGATGCCCAGTTATGCAGTATCAAGGGTCGCAGCATTTCCCCAGCCAACAGGCCAGAATAATGCAGGAACACGAGGTCATCAATCCTCGACATCCCTGCTCGTGTCCACCGTCTGGGGCGAGATCTGCAGGCTCAGCCATGCGCACCGTCCCTCTGCGCTGGCCCAATACCCACCGTGGAGAATCTTATTGCGATCTGCGGTATAAGAAAATGGCTATAAGCGTTCCTTTTCCCTCCTCAATGGTTCGACTATCCTGCGACCTGTGTGGGAGATTTTCGAGATGGGTGTCCACATCATTCTTGGAGTACTCCTTTATGTCGCATCAATTGCCCTTGCGACAGACAATCAGGAATGGCGGCATGTTCCAGGGGCCTACATCATTGAGCTGGAGGACAACCAGGTTGGCAATTGACTCAGGAGAAGACATTGAGTCCGCAGCGCTGATGCTGAATATCAATTAGGATCTGTCCACGTTTTCGCCCTCCATCGTTTCCAGTGACGAGATTCGCCGAACCTTTGACTTCAAATTATTCAAAGGCATAGCAGTGCAGCTCAAGGGGACTGAAAATGACCGTGTGGACTCGAGAGCTTCCTCAATTGCCTCAACAGCGACTGTCAAGAATGTCTGGCCCGTTAGGGAGCACGCGAGGCCCAATGTAACGGTTCATTCGAGCGGCAAGCCTGGACCTCAGGATCTTGAGAAGCGACAGGACAATGGCTCTGACACTTTTGGGCCTCACGTGATGACACAGGTTGACAAGTTGCGAGCTGAGGGCTATACGGGAAAGGGTGTCAAGATTGCCCTCATCGACACAGGAGTGAGTGGTAATATTCAACAGCATGGAATAAAAGCTTACGGGTGATTTAGGTTGACTACAAACATCCCGCACTTGGAGGTTGCTTTGGGGAAGGATGCCTGGTATCGTTCGGGCGTGATCTAACAGGCGATGATTTCACTGGAGAGAACCAGCCAGTCCCCGACTCGGATCCGATGGACTGCACAGGACACGGCACGCACGTCTCCGGGATCATCGCCGCGCAGACGAACGATCTCGGCTTCACTGGTGCTGCCCCGGATGCCACGCTCGGCATGTACAAAGTCTTTGGCTGTCAGGGCCACACAACGACCGATGTCCTCATCGCCGCTCTCTACCAAGCATACGAGGATGGCGCGGACGTCATCAGCTCCTCTATTGGAGAGGCATCCGGGTGGGCTGGCGGCGCCTGGGCCACTGCGGCATCTCGCATCGTCGAGAAGGGAGTCCCCTGCATCATGTCTGCAGGAAACGATGGCACCACCGGTCCGTTCTATGCCAGCAGCGGACCGAGCGGGAAGGGCGCCATCGGCGTCGCCGCTTTCAACAACATTGAGTTCAAGAAGATAGTCGATAAGTCTGTGTTCACTGTTGACGGTGGGGAAGAGGTTGCGTTCACCTACGAGTTAAGCAATGTCAAGCTTGCAGAGAATGTCAGTCTGCCGTTATGGAGCCCGGGTCGCAACAACTCTGGATGTTCTTCATATCCGGACACAACACCTGATTTGAACAAGTTTGTCGTGTTACTATCCATTGGCGACTGCACCGAGGTAGAAAAGGCCAAGTTTGCAGCCGCAAAAGGCGCAAAGCATATCTTGTTCTATAATAACGGAGCTGGTACGCAAGAGTTGTACCTATATGGAGTCGACGGCCTCAAGTCAGCATCAGTAGTTACGAGCGAGACTGGGATACAGTGGCTCCGTGGCTTAGAGGCGGGGTCAAAGATCGTGGTGACTCTGACAATCTCGACGCTCAGCGAAAAGGCAGCTGTTGATGACGCTCCTCAGGTTGGGCCTGGAAGCATCAACGTCGTGACCTCGTGGGGTCCAACCTGGGATCTTGAGATAAGGCCACAGTTTGGTGCTACTGGTGGCTTTATTCTCTCTACATACCCACTCAATCTTGGCAGCTATGCCGTTCTGTCTGGCACCTCAATGGCTGCGCCTTTGGTCACAGCAGTTTACGCCATCCTTGCTGAAGTCCGTAGTAAGAAACTGGCACCCGCCGACTTTGAAGCTCTTCTCTCCGCCAACGCCAACCCCCAAATTTACAACTTCACCGAGGTGCGAAACTACTTGGCCCCTGTACCTCAACAGGGCGCTGGTTTGATCCAGGCTTATGATGCCGCGTATGCCAAGACTCTTCTCAGTCCTGCCAGCCTCTCGTACCAAGACTTGGCCAGCGGCATCGAATCACTCAACTTCACAATTTCCAACATAGGTCAGGAGGAGGTTGAGTACCAGATAAGCGATGTGTCCACGGCCAGCATATATGCCCTCCCCTCAGGGAACCTTTCTCTTCCACCCCAAGAAGCTGGAGGCTTGACTTTTAGCGAGAGCAAAGTGCGCCTGGCTGGTGGATCCTCACACACCGTTACCGCCCATGCTGCACCTCCGAAGTCCCTGGATCCCATGCGTTTGCCCATCTGGTCAGGTTGGGTAGCTGTCAATGGATCTGACGGGACGTCTCTGTCAATCCCATATCAAGGGGTCGCAGGGAAGCTGGATGACATCGACATGCTCCCTCAGAACCAGACGTTCGCCGAAATCTTCGACTGGGACGCAAAGACTTTCGTCCGTGTTCCCGAGAACGCGAAATTCACACTCCCTGCGCCGGGAAACTCTTCGACTGAGGAGCTCCCGCGCCTGAGGTTCAACCTTGTCATTGGTTCCCCTGAGGTGAGGGCGAATGTTGTGCCAGTAGCGGCTGACGGTCAGGCCCAGGATGTTGTGGGACAGTTGGAAAGGTATCCATGGCTATGGGCGCCACGACACTCTTTGTTATATGAATGGAAGGGTATGATTGCCAACGGAACGTATGTTCCCGCAGGCCGATACAAGTTTCTCTTTCAAGCATTGCGTCGGGGAGGGGATGCGAATAAGAACGAAGATTGGCACGTGGCTGAAACTGTGACAATGGACTTCACATATGCGGAAGGTTAACTATAGGTAATATCAGTTTTATAATCAGCTCAAGAAGTGATGCAAAAGAATTTATTTCCTTTTGCTATCATTCGGAAATCAATCATTCTAGATATAAGTCCTCACACTAACTGACATAAACATCTGATTTGCATTAGCGCTGTATCGCTTCTGTTGGCTTCGGTTTCCCGCGGGTGGCTACCCAACCTATTGAGGGCATATTCGTATCTAGAAACACGGCGTGTGAATTTCTTTGCATCGGTGGTGTTTATTGCTTTTCAAGCACAATTGCTAGGACCGCGTCTCTGGTTTACTCAAACCAGGCTCTTTGTATTATGCCCTTTGTCTCCGCACGTCCCTTGTTTTCTGCCGGCGGAAAAGGCACTAACATTGCCCTTATTCTGGGCCTTTGTTGAAGCAATTTGTTGCAGTACATTGATCATTCATCTACTGCAGCGTCAAACAAGAAAAACAGTTATCTCAGCTTCAGCGATGCCCATGCGCCTGTCACTGGAAATAGGGTTGGATGATGAAGGGGTAACACGGCGAGTTACATAGGCCTTTCGAAAACTCGAACCTTGTACTAGCAGAGTTGTACAAAGGGCACATCTACTGGTGGGGCATTTATTTCGGAGTATATAAGGAAAGCCTCTGACTACTGGTTGGGAGCTATCTTGTGTTGTTAATCTATATTCCGCTACATTGAATACCCGATCTTCATATTTTCTGTTTCAACATTATCAAGATGACCCAGATCACTCAGGATAAAGGCGAGCTCCAACGTGAGGAGGCCAGAAAGTCGCCTCTCATACAGCCAGCCTCAAAGATCGTGAAAAAGCGATCCCTTTCTAAGCAGGTGGAGCATAAAACGGCTGAAATGTGCGATGCCATAGGAAGGAGGTGGGAGCAGGAGGTCGGACACTTGAAGGAAATACTCGAACAGTATGAAGCCAAAGCCATGGAGTACGAAGATAAGATTAAGGAGGTCAACAGCGAATTAGCCGAATTAGAGAATCGGATCAAGAAGTGCGAAGATAACATCACGGGCTTCAGCAGCGAATCAGCTGAAAGGCGCTCTCTGATCCAGGAGCGAAAAAATAGGATTAAGGAGCTCGACGAGGACTTCTTCGATAAGCACCGTTGGATCACGAGGCAGCAGGAAAACATCGAGGATCTTCGGACTGACTTATCCAACAAGCGCGATCAGATCAAGGAACATGAAAATAGTACCGACGAGCTCAGCCGCGGATTGGATGAGTTAAGCTATTGGATGGAGGAGCTCGAGGATATCATCAAGTATAACGAAGATGACCTCGAGGAGCTCTACAACGAACTATTCGAGATGGTCCACCGGGGGACGGAGCATGAAAATTGCATCGAGAAGCTTAGTAGCGAATTAGCTAAGTCAGACTCTCTGATCGGAGAGTGCAAAGCTAAGTTGGAACAGTACAAGTACGAAAAATCAATGAAGGACGAGCATAAAAAGGAGTTGCAGGAGGGGAAGCAATCTTTTGAACAGAAACAAAAGGAGATTGGTGATAGGATCACCAATCGTGAACTCGAAATTGGGGAAGAGATCCGCGAAGCGTACAGGCTCGCGAAGGAAGAAGTAGAGAGGTCGGCAAATTAGATGAATGAAGGGAAGAAGTTGCCACCAACAGGACAAGGAAGGTTATTTTTACTGGAAAGAAACTTTTAACTCCCAGGTTAACAGGAACTAGAAACACTATATCCTATTTCGTATATATGAAACCCATTTCGCTATTGGCCGCCGGTCGAACCATGAAGACGCTTAATATGGCTCTATCAGATTTGACTGCTCTACTGATAAACTATGGCGCAGACCCCGATCTCCAAGATTGTTGCGGGCGGGCCCTGCTGGATTAGGTTTTGAACATATCGGATGGTATTCATGAATAGGTTCTATGGATCTCAATGGATCTATATGTTAAGTCTAGTCAGTGCCGGTGGCATGCCTGCACTTGTAACTATAACGACTTGATCACTGCTCTCGAGGAGTTTGAAAATGATAGCCACGACACCATGCGTTTTCGCGAAAGTTCTGTGGGAAAAAATATTGGACATGGAGGAAAACATGAAGGAGTTGTTGTAATTATCTTAGATGGAAGGCTTAGGATGCATAGACTTGGAACCTCAGGCTTCAACGTATTCTTTTTCATATCGTCGAAGTGAAGGAAGAGTAAGTATGCTAAATCGTAATATACGACGACATAATGGCCGGCTTGACGAAGACTGGCTTCCGCTCCTTGTGTTAGTAATGACATCTAACATGTATGCTCTATAGAGCGGCTTCCTCGTCTCTCTTCAGCCCCTTCCCATAAAAGTGCCTCTCATTGATAACCTGCACGTCATCATCAGCGAAGACTTTACCCTCCCTCTCAGCCTTGATCCTCAGCCTTCGAATGCGCCTCACATCCCACTCCACATTCCTCGTCAGCCACCAGGTAAGCGCACTCGCCAACCACCCGCCTCCAATCGCCGCTGAACATATTGCAAAGGGGACCTTGTAACCGTTATAGGCGTACTTGGACTGGAACATCTGGGGGCCGATGACACCACCAACCTGGCCGACACTGGACTGGAAGGCGAGCGTGAACGCCGTTCCGGTTGAGCCCACCAGCGTGGCCGAGCGCCATGCCCAGAACGGGATGAAAAAGACGGCGTAGAACATTGTCCCGAAGACGCACGCCACGTATACTGCGTACTTATCCCGCGTCGAGGCAAGGACGATGAAGAAGGCCAGGCACCCGGCACAGATAACCATGATAAACGCGGGCCGGGTAACGTAAGCGCGCTTCATAAACCAGCCGGCGAAGATGATGGCGAGTACAGAGCAACCGGCCGGTGGGATATTGAGCAGCTGATTTCGCGGAAGGCCTGCGAAGCCAAGACTCGTGGTGACCGTGGGGAGTTGCCAGCTCAGACCGTAGCCGCCGAGGTTGATGAGGATTTGGGAAAGCATGAACGACCAGATTCGCGGGTCACGTAGCGAGGCGATGACTTCTGAGGCACTGAACGTTGCATCACTAGTCCTGGGCGCGTTTTCTGAAAGTCTGGCTTCGAGATATTCCTGCTCTCTGGGCGTGAGCCAGGAACTCGAACGGGGCGACTTGGGATAATCAGGTAAGACGAAATATACCACTCCTGAGAATAGGATGGTGATGATGCCTTCGAGAAGGTAGACCCATTGCCACGCACTCAGACCTTGGAGTCCGTCCATGTATGAGATGCCGTAAGCGAGCAGCGAGCCCACGATACCTGAGCAGTTGGAAAAGGCGAACATCCACATGATTGGTTTGCCCATTTCATCCGAGCGGTACCACGAGCATAGTTGTGCAGCAATCCCAGGGAACATTCCCGCCTCCATCATCCCAAGGACGAACCGGGCCGCGTACAAACCTTCCTTGTTCTTCACAGCCGCATGGCAGGCCAGTACTGCGCCCCATGTGAGCATGATTCGGAATTGCCAGTTTCGGGGTTGCATTTTCTTGAGGACAAGGTTGCTCGGAACCTCGAAAACGATGTAACTGATCTTGGAAGAGTTAGCTCCTGAGTAGATATTCGGGGGAGAGTTTCCTTACAAAGTAAATTGACTGAACCCAATTGTACTGGTCATCTGTCATGCCGAGCTGTATGAGAACATTTGTAGGCTGGCCTACTTGAAGCACTTTGACTGAGGCTGCATTGGTGTAATCAACCTGCCAATTCGAACTCAAGTTAGAGAAACAGTCTTGGTCTTGTAGCTTTGGAGAAACATACGTTCTTGATCAGGTAAATCACACCTATCAGCCATAAAAATCTCCAATCAACCTTCCGCATAATTGCTTTATCCTCTTCCGCGCTGAAAGTGGCGAGAAAGGCAGCTCGGTCAGTTGCCGAGTCATTGTGAACGCTGTTCGGAGTTTCGCTTGACTCTATGCCATCGCCATCGACTGCTATATCTGGTGCCCCCTTGGAATCAGAGTGTGCCATTTTCCCTTCGCGTGGAACCTGATATTCCAATAGATTTTAAACCTAGTTGTCGACCAAAGAAGAGGAAACTTGAAAGTATATACGAGTGAAAAAGAAAATATTTTCGCAATATGGGTCGTTAGTAGCCAGCAACCCTCGGTTATATTGTACCGCGATTTAGACTGAAACAGGGTCTCTGCTAGTTCTGATCGCTCCTAATTTCTATGTCATTTACAATACTCTAGGCAAATCACGCAACGCTGACATCCTGGCGGACGTTACCTTATCTGTATAAAGTATGCAAGAATCCACCGAAATGACGCAAGCGTAAGGTTATATTCCACGTTCCCCTACCCTTGAACATTGTGCAAGGACCCATCCACGTGACGCAATGGCAGTCTGTTATTCCCGAAGCCTTCGTAGTTTCACGATATGTCGGGTTTTAAGTGCTCTTGGCCGCCCGGTTGACCCAATGTTCTGACAAGATCTAGCCACTTAAAGCTAAACTGCTCAACGTTGTTGCGTGTCAATTATCGAATTACAGGCTTACCTCGGTCGAGACGATGGAGAAGCAAGATACGATCTTACTCTTACTTGATGCGTGTGTTGGCTAGGCAAGGCGTGCCAGTGCGAATCGACAGAGAGTTGTCCTTCTTGGCCCCGGCACGGAGTCTAGACTCAAAAAAGGTTGTTAAAGCCGAAAAGAGGATCGAAAGACAAGAAAGAGTCGATATCCAGATCATTTTCCCCTTCCTCCAGGTTTCCAAGCGCCGGCAATGCCTGTCCCTCGATGTCAGAAGGGAGCATTGGATCCGTCGAATTCATTGCGAAGCTTCTCATCACTTCATCAATATCTAGGTCTGTGAATCCTGGCACAGAATTATCTTCGCCGCTCCCGGATCTAGAGTCTGGAGGTGACCGCAGATGATGTCGATCTTCGATACGTGGTGTTTGCGTGGGCTTCTCGCGCGTTGAGGCGGTCGGCTTTGAGCAATCAAGGCTCACAGGCTCAGGGAAATGATCCATCTTAACACCCAGACGTAGAATAAGACCCTTGAGTATCTTGATTGTCTGTCGTGGTGCGTGGCAAATAGTTTGATGCTCTCCTAATGCATCTAGACACCTCTGAAGGCATTTGTGCGCCGCAGAATCCGACCGCCTCTGGGCCGCTATGCGTACGTGTATCGTGGCACTTACATATGTCGCATAGGACACAAAGTAAGGCGTTGTTGACATACAAAAATGCTTTTGGTAGAGCTGCAGAATTTTGTCGATTTCCAGTGCCGCAGTCGCACAATATGAAAAGGCTTGTCCTGCCCCCGACGAGGTAGACTGGAGGTGCCCGTCTGAAACGAATGGTCGATGCAGCAGAATGACCATGGAGTTATACATCGATCTTAGCTGACTGTCAGCCACAATGTTCATGAAATGGTAACGCCCTCCCACTTACAATAATGAGAGCGTGTGTGGAAGCACGGATGTGATGGCAGGACTGTCAAGCTGAATTGATAAGTGAGTAGGTAGACTCATGCGCCAGTTTTCTAGTGCTGTCTGAATGGACTGCCGAGTGTTTGAAAGTTCAGCCGGGCTTGCTGAGGCACTCTTTTCGGAATAGATGCTATGAATAATATGGTCCATGATAATGCTGAGTTGACATAGTTCTTGGAAAGTTGAGACTGCATAAGTCGGGCGGGAGAGTTGCTGTGGGGTTGCTGAATAGGTCAACGTATTGAAAAGTTCATATTCTTCGTATTCATCCAAGAAAAGTATTGGTACGCTGTTATCGATATCTTTCAGCCGGGAAGGCCGGCCTTGGTAAATTGATTGCACCTTATCAAAAGCTGACGGGACCGAAATCAGTCATTTGTAGATGACAAGCTGCTAGGAAACTCACTGTAGGCTGACCAAAATAATCGGCGATAAACTTCGATATCCTCTGGAGAACAACTCTCCTTTGAACGTAAACCAGCCGATCCATCGACGTGGATGCCAAGATCAACAATCATATTCACAGCAATTCCCATGTAGTGCCATGACAGACTCCTCTCATCGCACCAGGTGAACAAGGCGTCTGAGACAATCAACAGGGCTTGTATCGTAGTGACCTCGCTCCTCCAAAGGGCTTCCGAGTTGGAGGCATGGAGATAACTGTCGAATTTGTTTCGAAATGACCAGCCCCGTTGACCACTGGGGCCACTGGATTTCACGTCTTCCGGTCTGGTAAGACTCTTTGATGCCCCAAAGTAAATGGCATTCAGCAGAAGCTTTGAGAAATATCGACCTCCGCAGGCCATATCCCTCATGAACGCTGGGCGGTACACAATAGTCCCTGAATAATATTGGCGGTTCCAGAACAGTGATAGCAGCCGCATGCCTAGTTCATGAGACACGCCGTCAAAGTCAAGTGAATTATTATTCAAGTTCACAACTTCCATCTGGCCTATTCTCTTGTAAGCAAAATACGTCATTGGTAGCGTGTACCCTTTTGTACATACGCTGTCTTGTGGCATCAGCCAAGAGTTGGTTTTTAATCTGTGTCATAGATGATTGTGAGAGCTGTTGCTGTTTCTTAGGCATGTTGAACATCACACTTGAGGGGCCATGGAAAGCAACCTCTTGGGGAGGCTCAGAAGACGCATGGATGACCGGTTGCGAGACTACATGCCCGGAACCATGGTCCGTATCAACGGGTTCATGCTCCTCATATGCAGGTTGATCAGATGAATCGCCGACCTGGTCGTGATGAGATATTGTGTCCGCAGCGATGACAGCCTGCGTCTCTTCGAGAGCATCCTGCGGGTGTTGCAACGACTGGCGTAGTCGTGCATTTTCCTCCTCTAGCTTATGAATCCGGGCATTGGAGGGCCTCAACTATCGTGTGAGAATCACAGAGTTTCACCAGAAAGGGAGGGAATCATATACCTGGCTTTCTTCTCTCTTGTGGCATACGTGCAGTCTTCTCCACGCTGACGACAATTTTCGCATTGAGGCTCTGCGTCACACCGCAGCTGTCAACCGTTAGCGAAAGGGTCCGGGTAGGCAGTGAGACACGACCTACCTTCCTCCGCCGACAAAACTCACAGGCTGCTGATACCCGCAGCTTCCGCTTGCGGATGGGAGTGGCTGGCTGAGAAGGCATGATGTCTTGGTCCTGGATGATGAGGATCAACCCAAGCGGACGCGACGGAAGAACAAATTCCGCGCTGCTCCACTGTAATTTCAGGCCGAGACGGAACAGAACGTTCCATCCACTTACTAAATGGCTGACGTAAAGCGGAAACAGCCTGCTACCCTGAGCCTCTTGCACTTTGAAGATTGGCATCGAACTTATTTCATTGGCAGCAGGGTATGGAAATAGAGAAAACTGATAGTCTGTGTCTTATTTTCTACAGAATCTTTCTGTCGTCGCTGAGTTTAGTATTTTGCTGCATGCGTGGAATTGATTGCGTACTCCTTATTGGAATGTTCACCACTCGATCTGCAAACACTGTAATATTCCCATCTCACTGTAAATGGATTCAGTATTAGAAGTCACAAATACGTATCACATACACGAAAACTGTACTTTGGAAACATTTTAACTGTTGATTACCCCATTCGCTAACCTTCACATCCATCTTCATCCCATCTTAACTTATTTCTGTGTATCTTGTTGATTGATTAGCTAACTACAACAAAGAGGTTCCTAGAAGAAGTGAATACTAATCATTTGGTATTCCGCCCGGGTAATAATAGTAAGAAACTGAGAGGGACGGTAATTTCTTCGAAACAGTACTCATAGTCGGACTGGCTTCAAGAAATATTAATTATCTAGGACCTCTAATCTGAATTTGAGTTCTAGGGCAAGAATGAGTTTAAAAGTGCCCTATTTCTAAACCAAGCTGCCCCTGGTGAAAGAGGTAGTGACAGAAAGGTCTGACATCTAACCCAAAAACCACGAACATAACCCTGGAATAGGTGAGTGAGATGCAGGCTCGCCAAAACTCTCCACCCAGCGCTTGCAAGAGACCTGAGGTCGAATCTTTGTTGGCCCCAGCTGGAACCCCTTCCCGCTACGCTTAGGTTCTGGCAGCTGCGTCAGTCTCCCCAAGAACAACCTCTTCCTGCTCCAGGATTCGCCTCTCAGCCTTGGTTCTCCCTTCCGTGGGGAGAAATTTGAGCAAAATTGGAATGGAAGCAGCGAGAAGGGCCCCGAACCCTGTAAACGCGCCGGTCGTAGCGAGACCCTTGATGAAATTGGGACCATCTCCGACAGGCCACAGTCGGCTTCCGTATACGGCAGAGAGGTTACCGATGGAGTTTACCAATGCTACGACAACGGCTCGTTTTTCCGCGGGCAGAGAAATGACCTCCGATGTCCAATTGAGAATCAAAGGAAGAGCAGTATACAGTCCTGCGATGTAGAAGCAGAGCATGGCGTACTGGACCTTGGCATTTCCGACTGTGACGCAGACGATGGTGCAAATGAAGCTGAGATCCAGGCAACCGGTGATATGCCACCGTCTATCTCCCGTAGCATCGGCAGTGTAGGATAGAATAACAAGAAACACGGCGCCAACCATCCAGATGGGAATAGTCATATACTGTGCCATGACGGACGTGTAGCCCATAGACTTGACAATCGTTGGGATGAAATATGAGATTGTGCACGAGCCAAGATCCATGACGAAGAGAATGATGAAAATATAGGTTCGAGCCGCCAGAGCTGCCTTGATGGCCTGCCAGTGCGTGAGTTTGAGGCTGTGTCGAGCGACGGTAGTCTGGCGATCATGCAGCATACGGACAACCGCCAGCTGTCTTTCACCGAGGCAAAGTCGTTTCGACGACTCGGGAAAATCGAGAAGACTGAACTTCAAGCAGATGGCGAAGGCGATGGTGCAGCATCCCTCGATTAGATAGAGCCAGCGCCATCCCCGGATACCTTGGACACCTTCCATATTTCCAGTGATGGCACCGGCAAGAAGCCCACTGAGGGCCCCGGAGAAAACCGATGCGGTGAAGAAAATGGAGAATCGTTTTCCTGTTTTCAAAGTTAAAAACTGCAGTTGCTGAGTGTATCAAGCCAAAGCTACATAATTAGACCTAGCATAGCAACAATATACGGATACTTATTCATAATCCCTGACTTTGTATCGACTCCCCTGGAGTGCTAAGATCTCGACTGCCATGCCCTATGCGCTTTGAACTGCCATAAAGGTCCCAGCCGGTGATAAACCGCATGTGGCGTGGGTGGAACTGTCACTGTGTCTGACACGTTATCTGCTTTAGTCCAATCTCTGGTTTCTTATCCCGATCAGGGTCAACCAAAACCACCGACAGGTCGCATAACGAAACGCTAACTCAGATGCATTTCCTGTGTACAAAGACTGAACCTGTTTCCTCATACTCTTGAGCTGAGATGCACATATCTTTGAACGTCGACAGTGATGCAACCACCGATCCCCCAACCCAAGCTGATTTCGAAGGATCTGGGGAAGAGATGACATTGATTGACGCCGATGGTGGATTGATGCTGACCATTTCATACCGCAGCCGTTCCAGGAAACCCGGATACTTTGTCGAGCCACCAGCCTTGAGAAGGGGTTAGAGCAGTGCCCTCGATTTAGATGTACGCAGTGAAAAATCAGCTTACAGGAACAATATTCTGGTGAAGCAAACGCCGAATCTCAGCATCACACTTGCTAATTGACCTTTGCAAGGTGTAATGGGCACCTCCGGCCTCGAAACTGATCATGCTGAGGTTGAAAAGAGCTTCTGGTACCATAAATCGCTCTTTGTCCACATGAACGGTCTTCTCATCTGGAAGCTCAAAGGGTGTTTCGACCGACATACCAGGGGCTGAGAGGCGGAAAAGCTCCCTGCCATAGTTTTCAGCCACATAGCAAACCTCCGTCTTGCATTTTGAACCGTCTGCGATCTCGGCGTTGGTAGAAATCGCATATGCACGCTCACCGATGAGTCTGTTGAAGAAATCTGTCAAATCACATCCCCCTATATCGAGTCTAGACACGGCATGCTGAAGGGCGAAACCCTCATATACGGGCACAGCGAAGCTTTGGCCATAGCCACAACTGAATACAATTCCAGAGGCCCGGCCAGATGCGTAGAGAGCCAACACGCTCTGCTTTGCGAGGTAGAACGCAGGGGCCCCAAGGGACTCGAAAACGATCTGTGTTGTTTTCTCCCTATTCATGTTTCAGATTGCCCATCTCTTCGGTCATGAGGATGGGATGCTCCTTTGGGTCAACGTGGACGTGCCCCTCAAAGACCTCCTTCCAAAGCAACTCCATGTCATCAAAACGGGTGATGTAGCCATTTTCAACGGGCCGTCTCAGTCGGGAGATGCCGCGCACTTTCCAAGCCTCTTCACCGACCCAGTGCTGCTTCCCTAGTCCAACTAATGCACTGACACTGTCAAATAATTAGCACAGCTTTGTGAGTTGCTGGATCGACTGCGTGCAGAAACGAAGGAAGAAGCATTACGATCTGCCATAACGAGCTACATAGGTAGCTGAGCGGTAACATTAGCAAATAAATGCTGAGGCACAAGCTGGGGTATAACGAGGGAGGGAAGTAGAGCTAACGGAAGATAGAGCTAGGAGCCTCAGCATCACTAGGGCCGACTTTGCAGGTGTACGATCTGAGGGTGAGCATTTTGTCTTAGCCTCCTGTAGCGAAATTTTGGGGGATATATGAGGAACCGTATCAAGGAACGTACCCGTTATCAATGATGATGGTTGAGCCTTTTTAGCGACCTTCAGTGGGCTATACTCCCTGATATCAGATGGCAGGTTGTGTTTGTGCATCAACGTACCTGTCATTATCGCGGCATCTGAGCCCTGTTATATTACACAGCAGGTGATGTGAAATGTGAGGAGAGATGTTGGGGGTAGGTGATCTACCTTCTCTATTATTTAAGCAGGTGAGTAAGCTGACGTGAATCTTAATCCTGGAGCCTAATCATCACACGGATCTCCTATTGAGCGTAGTAGAATACTTTGGCGTGAGAGGCATATTCCCCTCATTTTGAAGATGGATGCTGGTATGCTTTACAGTAAGGGTTCATATTCAAATCAATTAAAAGATCATAAGGTTAATTTGTATCTTTGATACACCCAGAATGGCCAAGATATACACTAATTTACCATCCATATAGTGTGCTGCTGATGCTTGATACTAACACAAATAAGCAGAGTTCGTAAAGACCAACCAATAGGGCAGGGTTATATTTAGAGGCCACTAAACGAGTGGGAATTCAGTAGATGGTAGTGAAAATACCTTTGTGCATCGTAGAAGCATCTTTAAACCGAGGTCGAGGCATTGGAGTCCTTGGACTTTGGAAATAGCTTTTCTTTAGGCAAGAACAGCGCTGCAACGATTACAGCAACACCCGAGATGATGCTAAGAATATAAATCTTGCTGATAACATCCGTGATGGCATTGGCAGCCTCTTTCTGCAGGGATGCACCCAATGAGTCGAACAGCTGGCTTGAGGTTCCGGCAGCCGCCTTCCGAATCTCCTTTTCGCTGAACCCCATGCCCTCCAGAACCTTGGCAAGGTTTCTGAACGAGAGTCCTTGCATCATTTGGCCTCCAATAAGCAGGCTCACAAGTTGCCACCCAAGCTGGGAGAGATTCTGCATCGAGCTGACTCGCTGAACGTCAAGTCCAGACCCAGTTTGCTGGAACATCTTGATGCTTGCAATGGAGAAACCTAAGTTGAACACAAAACCAGTGCCAGCGCCGAGAAGTATGCTGTATCCATAGACATATTGTGGGAGGGTGTCGGTGTTTACAGTGTACATTGCAACACTGCCGGCTGTCATGAGAACGCCGCCTACCAAATATATAGCCCAGCTGTTGGCGTTACGAGTTAGCTTTAAGGCAATGTAAAACCGGAGGAAAATAGCTCACTAATAATTAATTTTGGGCAGTAAGGAACCTGACAGCATAGTGCCCGAGGCTAGAAAGGCAATGAAAGGTAGCAGACGGACAGCAGCCTGCATTGTCGAATCCCCCCTAGCAAATGCAAAGTAGAGGGGAAGGTAAAACAACGGGACATAGATGTTTGTAGCCGAAACAGCCGTCATGATATAGAGAACTAGCTGCGTGGGGTTAAGCAGAACATGTTTTGGGGGCACCATCCGGTTTGCTACTGTAGTGAAGAGTAGAAAGTATTGTTGGACAAAGGTCAAGATGAACAGTATCCCTGTCACAATAAAGAGGGCAATGGTGCGCTTATCGTTCCAGGGCCAAGTAGGGCCTGCAAAAGTTAAAACCATGGTAAAAGATACCATGGCCCCTGTGGCCAAGATGAAGCCTGCCCAATCGAGTGAGAGGAGCTTTGTCAATGGTGAACGCTGGTGGTCGCCGCCTGGCTTGACTTTTGGGAGCCAGAAGATGTACGCCGGAGCGCAAACCGCCGCGATAACACTGTCTCAAAGGATCAGTCAAAGGAATCTTCCAATATGGGTTACAACTCACAGATTAATGTAGAAAGCCCATCTCCAAGTGGCTGATGAGGTGGCGAAGGCTCCTCCTACGACAGGACCGAGGACAGCACCAATTCCCCATGCTACGCCCATGCCGGAAATGTACCGTCCGCGCTCCGTATCAGTTGTGATCAGAGAGAAGTAATTTAGGATTCTTTCCCAGATTCATCAGTACAAACAAGGGCTGAGAGGAGAAGAGAGCAATCTTACCCAAGAAAGATGCCATTGCCGCCCATACCAGCAAACACTCGCCCGACAATGAGAACATCCATAGTAGGGGCTGCTCCACAAAGCGCTGATGCTGCCTCGAAGAGGATAATACTGCCAGTGAACATGTACTTGAGATCAAAAATGGCATACAATGCAGCCCTGGGAATGGTACCATATTAGAGCTCATTTGGCTCGGAAAGTCCGTGAAGCAGATGTTGACTTACCCAGGCAGAATCGAACAGAATGAACCGAGGGGGAACCCAGTGCCAGCCCAAGTAAGGCTCTCAAACTCATCATACTGGTCAATTAATGCGGGCTGAAGATCCGCCACAATAGTACTGTCGAGACCATAGATGAGGGCACCAATATATAGAGAGGCGGCAGTGGCAGCCCATTTCCAACCATGGATTGTTCTCTCTCTCATGGCACCGTCAGGTAAAACTTCATTCGTTGCCTCTCCGGATAGGGACGAAGAGTCGACAGGGCTTTTTGACGTCGTACCGGATTTTTCGCGAGATTCAGCGTCCGAAGCTGTCTGCGAGCTTTTGGGTAGTTCTAATGAAGGCTCCATGATGAAATACGGCCAATTGATGAAAATATGATCCGAATCGTTTTAGTGAAATGTTGTGAGACCAACAGTCTTTAAGCAGAGAAGCCATCGAGGATCCCAACCCCTTACTTATGGGATTACTTGACATGCTACAATTAAGATATCCACCTGATCAACTATTGATCAATGTTACTAAAGCACCATTTTGAAGCTGCGGATGATTTTGGCCGCATCGATTCTACATGGCGGAACAATTTGCTGCTGACAAATTTCTGGCGGCCAATTCGGCCGCATCAAACTTGCTTCTCCTAGTTATCCACTCCAACAACTCTTTTCCATCCTCTAGGCATGTCGATTCATCTGATGAACTGGACAGATCTGGTATCTCCAAGCCTTTAAATTATTTTCTCTCAGTAGCTCACTTGAGTGATACTGTGTTCATCTCCAACTATGGACTTATCGCCTGAATTGTCCCCTGGCAAGGCTTCACTCGGCGCCTTGCATCTTTGCGCCATTTGCCAGAAGCCGTTCTTGAACGAATCTTCCTACAACAGACATGTTTCGTATTGTCGCCGAGCCAGGTCCAAGCCGCGTGCGCGTCTCAGATCTTGCCAGGCTTGCATCAAGTCGAAAAGGAAATGCAGCGGGCAGCTTCCATGCCAGCGATGCACAAACAAAGGGGCCGAATGTCTTTATACAACATCAACACCGGGAAATATGACCACAGAAACAGCAAGTACATCCGGCGAAACCAGTGACATGATAGCAGAGAGTATGAATGATAGGATCCCGTCGATCAACGCTCAGGCCATGAACAGCAAAGGCCAGCTCTCTACTCCGAGAGGAGACGAAGATGCCATTGACTGGGATTATCTCAATTTTGAGGCCAGCGAGATGCCTTTATTGGGTTCCTCTTTGGTAGACTCCTCTTTGGCCCACCAGTACGAGTCGCCCGAGTCCATGATGCCTAACGAGCTGCTCCCTCCCAGGAGTAACATTGGAATCAACAATACTTGTCACTCTACTCCGGCTTCCCCAAAAGGGCTTTTGTTATCTGAACGAGCGTCCTGTGACAAAGACGAAAGTGCGGTGGCGGGTTCACGACAATCTTATTCCGAACTTCTCTGTTGCATTTCAATGAAGGATCCCATATCACATTTCACTGCCAACATAGTCATGCAAACGCTTTGCGCTTTCCCTCAAATGATGCTCCGCCGGGAAACATTCCCTCCATTTATACACGGGCACTGGCATTGTACTGAATCTGCCGCGGCAGTTTCTCTGCCTAAACCACTGGTAAGTTGTATGGGGCTGGCTCAAATATTTGCCTCGCATAATGCCGACACTCGGCCCTTCCTCTGGGAAAAGACCAGAGAGGAGCAGCGGTCTTCAGCTGACAAGGTTTGGCAACAATCATGAAGTGGAAATGAGACGAGGGAACCTACTAAGTCTCGGTTCATAGGCATACCGACGGCAATTTTCGAAGCATGATCATCTCGCAGCCATTCAGGCCCTTCTTATCTATATCATGATGCGCGTTGTGGATTGTTCAAGGACGGATCTTGACCTAAACCTAGAATTATTGGTAACCTATCAGGTGCAGATAGTTCCCCAACTCACCTCCTCCATACTTTATTAACAAATCAAAGGGTCTCTGCGATAATTTTAAAGATGTGTGTAAAGAGCCATTTTACCAGCACGAGCGGGCCTGTCTCAGTTCCAGCTGGGAAGACTGGATATTCGCTGAATCTAGAAGAAGGTAATACCTGAATCTGAACCTGCCCTCTCCCATAGTTCTAGTTCACTCACTGACTCGCAAAATACAGGACAGCAATCATTTGGCTGCTGATGACACAGATGATTCACATCAAAATCGGTGTGCCATGTGATTCCTTTCCAAGCTTTAGAGATGTCCCGTTGTCCTCACCGAAATTGCTCTGGGAGGCGAGGACGCGCTCGCAGTGGGAGAAAGAGTACAAATTTTACAAGGATTCGCCGGTCAGAGGTCTGGACGTGTTTGGAGATCTTTATGATGCTTGCAAGCACAAGCATATTCGCGAAAACCAATTAAAGCTCAATTCTTGGAACTCCACTGTCGATAATTTAGGGAGTCTACTGAATCTTGGTGCTGAAATTATATAGAGACTAAAAGTTGCCTGTGTCATTACCGGGTCGGCACTTGTCACCGAAAAGAAACTCTAAAATTAGTTGTTGAAGCTTTGATTAGTGATGAACCAAATGAAGCATTTCCTCTCAAGCCTCACCAAACTGATGTGTGCTCACCGAAATCTTAAGAATGCTAGTCAGCTTGAGAGAGGGCTCTATTGATTATTTGACAGCAAAAGGGCATCTTTCCCGCTTTTGACTCCCGCCTCTACTCCCACCGTACCATGGCTTTGAAGAATCTATATCGCATATCTATACTCCTTGTTGTTTTCCATCCCCTCCGCGTGTGGAAGCTCACCAGAGTCAAGCTTGCGATTAATGCGTATGTAGTACTGTCTCAACACCAAGGACAACACAATATAACCAGCCTGGCATACCGCAGCGGTAATAAGCGCCGGGCGATAAACCGGTGCATCTTGGTTCCGAAAGATGAGTGAGGAAACGATTCCAGCCAGGTTCTGGGACATGTAGCTCATCCCCAGTGCCACGGCTCGCCCAGTTGTAGTTGGAATGTTGGAGGAAAGCCACACGGGAGTGAGAAGTCCCGGAGTAAATACCCCAAAGGTCAGGAGGAATGTCAGGAAGTATCCGACTTCCACCAAGTTGACGAGGTCCAAGGTGCCGAGGAGCACAAAACCAATTAGAGACACGACAAGAGTGCCGCTGGCATAGAGGGCTCTCTGGGCGTACCGATCAGATAGGAAGCTAGAAGATAACAATACGACTGCTGAAGATAAATTGGGGCCGATGGTGTACAGGTTGGCCTTGGCGGTATCCTGTGTAAGCCTTTTAATGATGACAGGCAAGAAATTGGACGAGCTCGAGAAACCGACGCCATGAAGGAAAGCGAGAGCTGCGAATACCCACGAAGGGCCATGGAGGAGCTGTTTCTTTACATCAGAAGCTCTGAGCTTCTTATCCTCGTCTTGCGAGTCTTGCTGCAATCGATACACGGCCAGTGCTTTCTCCTCTTCGGAAAACCAGCGACACTTTTCTGGGCTTCTTGGCAAGACACAAAGAAGGACCACCGCGATGCCAATGGTTATGGACCCCTCGATAATAAATAGGTATTGCCAGCCCTAGACGTTTGTCATTTAGTTTAAGCCTTTGTAATTGAAATAAAACGGCGGTACTAACCTTGAGTGATTTATGCCACTGAAATACACCCCAAGAGATTAATCCGCTCGTAGCTGACTGTTGCATTAAGTTAGAGAAGAAAGGCGTTGGCTGATGGAAGGCTTGGTACGCACGGCAATGACACCCATTTGGTAGAAAATGGCAGTTCGGAATCCAAGTTCGCGTCTCGTATAAAACAAGGAGCAGTAATACACCGCACAAGGAAGAAAGGCAGCTTCAAAAACACCCATGAGTGTTCTGCAAGCTACGAAGTCGCCAAAGTTTCTTTCACAGGTTAGTATTTTGCGTTTGTTTGTTACATGAGACGTGACATACCTCGAGGCTACACTGGCAAGGGTACAAGTACCCCATCCGGCTATGAGAATGGGCATGATAACAGCCGGATTGTATCTCTTCGCCGTGATCGTCCATGGGATATTCATCAATGAATATGTAATGTAGAATGCGACGAGTAGTAGATTGTACTGGTTTCCCACCATGCCAAGGTCGGCTTCAATGCCTGCCGTCTTCGCATTCCCAAGATTGGCACGATCAAGTGTATGTGTATAATACGCCAACGCTGGTTGATTGAGGTCAGTCCCACATCTAAAGTGTTAAACGCTCTCGTGAGGATTCCACTTACACAGGATTGGCATCAGAATGAGATCAGTCTTGCGAACAAGACGGCGCACAGATGCCGCGTCCAACCTGGATGTCTCATCTCGAGAGTCAACATCTGTTGACTCAATGCCGTTTGGGCTCTTTTCTGATACAAATTCTGACATTTTGCGGTTGTGATCAGCGTTCTCAGGCTGAGGGGCGTGTAAGTGGGAGAATTGAGAGCCAATGCACGAGTGACAGATACCGAAAATCGGGATATCCCCCCCCTCGGAACCTAGTTATACCTCTCAACCGTTTGATCATTACTTCACATAATATTTCTAGTATCCACTCTCAACCTGACTCGGGCAAGCCTACCATAATCCTCCGTTGTGGGCTTGGCTAGACTCAACGCACTAACTCTCACCAATCCCAGCTATTCATAAGGCGAGAACGGAGAAGGTCTCTCAATAGTGGCTTGGCCTTATTAGAAATCAGCCTGAGAATCATTTGCTAGCCATAAATTCCTCATACATCGGAGATTCAAGGGTAGCCCCAGGAGGAGGAGAGCCGTATCGTGCTTCAACTTAAAATGATGCCATACACCCGGCAACTATTGGGAATAATTCGGTAATAACAACCCAGCGCCACGTTGTCGGGACAGTGGAGAATATAGAGCTGCTTTCCGGGGTATTATCAATTGCACAATTCAAGTGTCCGATCACCTAAACCTAGCATCTAGATCTAACCAATTTCTTATTGGTTAGAGTACCGTCCTTGGCAGGTCTCAAACCCATAGTAGGATGCAAGTTATTGTCATGAGTCAGTATGTGGCTTTGTCCGTGGTTCTAGCCTTCTCGTGCTGCTGTATAGATATATTGCAGTCCAGGGATGGCCTTTTCAATACGCTTGTTCTAGGCCCCCCTTCTCACTTGTCTCGGCCAATTTTCTTCAACAAATGAAAGCTTTGCCGTCCTAACACGTTGCCAAAATGGGACTCACGTTGACTTACCCAAGGCCGCCGACTTCGGAGTCTTCCGGCCTCCTGGCTAGGGCACTCCCCTCCGGAACTCCGTTCCATTACATCCTGACTCTACTCGTCGTGTCTTTCATCATCTACCTGGTAGTAGGTGAAGTAGCACGGTATCGTTCCCGTATTCCCAACCTACCAGGGCCGCGAGGTCTTCCGATAGTTGGCAGTCTGCCTTGGCTCAGAGGCAAAGTTCATGCAGAGCAATACCGTCTATGGTCACTCAAGTATGGAGACGTCTTCCAAGTTCAGCTGGGAGAGCGAACCGCCGTGATAGTGAACAGCGCTGCAGCTGCTAGGTCCTTATTCCTTGGACAACGAGAAGCGATGAATTCTCGTCCCTTATTCTACGTTCTCCACGGGAAGGTTCAAGGAGGGTCAGCAGTCACCAGTATCGGGACAAGCCCCTGGAGTGACAGTTGCAAGAAGCGTCGCAAGGTCGGAGCCACAGCCATGAATAAGGTGGCAGTTGACTCCTATCAACCAGTACGTCTCAAACAACCTCTCATCTATCAATCCATGGGCCATGCCTAATGAGCTAATCCAGACCATCAACGCCGAATCAAGAGGATTCATCTCGGATCTTCTAGCCGCCTCGCTGTCAAACGAAGACCATATTGTGGATTTTCGTGACTCGGTTCGCAAGTATGCAATGAATCTAGTGTTAACCCTGAACTACGGCACCAGGTAAGAATTAACTTATGTCGTGATCCTATTGTGCACGTGTTGGCTGACTGTTCCACCCGTAGAGTTGAAAACATCAAGCAGCTCCGCGGAGACACGATTTTTGCTGAAATGGTCCTTGTTGAGACCGAAATCTCCCGCCTTCGCAACGTCTCTCAGAACTACGAGAACTACATTCCGGTGTTACGGCCCATCGGGAAGGTTCTATCCTGGGTTGGAGTCCGTGACGACCAATACATGGCAGAGATCGGTAAACGCAGAGTTGGGTATCACAAGGCTCTTTTGGAAAATCTGAGATCTGAAGTTGCGGCTGGCACGGACAAGCCCTGTATCCAAGGCAACGTACTCAAAGATCCCGAGAGCAAGGGCTTGTCTGAAGGCGAACTGCTGAGCGTCAGCTTAAGTATGATGGCAGGAGCTGATACCAGTCAACCCACAGTCGGATGGGCTCTGTTGCTTCTTTCACAGAGACAGGATCTGCAACAGAAGGCTTATGATGCGATTGTTGAAACTGACGCTAGGATACTCAGCGCTGCAGACGTGTCAACGTTCAAAGTTGAATATGTCGATGCGTTCACCAAGGAAGTCGGTCGTTACTATACAGCTCTAAAGCTGGGCCTCCCAAGAGCTACTCATGATGAGCTGGAGGCAAATTGGAATGGAGCCACTATCCCATCCAAAACCCTGGTGTTTCTCAATGCGTGGGCCTGTTCGCAAGGTAAGAAAGCAAAATACTCTCAACGGGGTCAATACTAACATGGTTCAGATCCTGTTCTATTCCCCGAACCGCTTGAATTCAGTCCCGAGCGATGGCTAAATGCTGGCAACACGGCCACCACCCACCTTCACCAATACGCATTTGGCATAGGGGGCCGCATGTGCATCGCAAACCACCTCGCTCACAAGGCCTTGTACACAGCATTTTTACATTTGATTTCTCATTTTAAAGTTCTGCCTGCAGTGAACAACCTAAATGACCCAACTACGATCGATCCACTGGAAGGGCTTTTGGACAAGGAGTCTTTTGTTGCCACTCCCAAAACTCAGTTCGTTCGGCTAGTCCCACGAGACGTTGCCAGAACCAAAAGTATTTTGCTTTCAGACCAGGCGTAATACATACGTACTCGCTTGGCAGCGACGGAACCAGTTGAGCACCATGAATTCTATTCTCATGACGGTAGCATAGTCGAGTTGATCAGAATTGAAGATAAACAAGACGTGCATATAACTTCCTCTGATAACAGGGTCCTCACTAGTCAGATGAATGACATCTCAAATGTCCGCTTGCATACTGTCATATCATGACTTTCTTCGTCGTTCATCTGGCTCCTCAAGTCTCAGCTAAATGCTTTTCTCGTGTTCTTTTGCTTTAAGGAAGGGGTGTATCCCAAATCAGGCCACACGTGTCTTGTTGCACACTTTTTTTAACCAATACAGTCCATACCCAGATCTCAACTCTATTTTAAACCTTGACAGGAGTAAGTGAGAGAGCTGTACACTTATGCTAAAAAAGGGGGGGGGAGGACTTGATTCTATACGCAGTATTACAACATATTAAACTTCAGCCTTTTTGCCCGGTTGTGAGACTTGCGCCCGACCGTGCATATGGTTCCATACTAACAATGGCTGTGCCAAGTCAAATCAGTCGAATCCCTCTCAGAATTACATCCCTCTTTAAACATTAACAGTTACACACAAAGCCTAGATATAGGCATCAGCTCTGCAAAAACTCTAATGAGGGCTGGCCAATATATAACCTGGCCATGGGCCCCAAAAGGGGATGCTCTATCCATAACCACCTCTCCAAGCTACCACCTCTCCTCATCATCGTGAACCAACAAGACACTCCATTCAAATCAGACAAAATGAAGTTCTCCCTCGTCGCTATTGCCTTCGCCGCCCTCGCGAGCGCCCAGAGCCGCTCTGACATCCCTGAGTGTGCCCTCAGCTGTCTGGACGATGTTGTCAAGTCCAAGACCAACTGCTCCACCGACGACTTTGCCTGCATCTGCAAGAACGGCGAGGCGTTCAAGGGCGACGCAGCCTCTTGTGTCATCAAGAAGTGTGGTGCCGAAACTGCTCTCAGTGCGTCACCCCCCCCCATGCGCCGACCCTCTCCCCTGACGAACGCGAAGAAAACTAATAGCTCTCCCTTGGAACAGAACAGGTCATGCCCGCCGTCCAGAAGCTCTGTGCCGCCGTCGGCGCTTCCCCCAGCAGCTCAGCTACCTCTCGCTCCAAGCGATCATACCATGCCTAATCTATGGTTTCGGCACGTCATGTGCTGCATTGAGGCGATCCGGGCGGAGGCGGCACTCGAAGCTTAATATCAGTCAAGGTTGTATTCGTGTTGTTTTGCACGGGCGTGGGCGGGAAGTCTATCGTGTTGGAAAGTCTGTTGGGTCGGAAAGTCTGGTCGTTCTCACTGTGTGATCCAAAATTTGGTTATTGAATGGGCATTTGATTTGGCAGACTTTTGGTATTCACAAATCTAGAAACGGGTATGGCGGCAATTACCGACCCCGGACGCCATCGAATCAACCAATGTTCAGTTAACTTTTCCAACCAGAATCTCAGCTATAATTAAAGATAAGTGTCACGTTCTGTGCATATTTTTAGCAATCGTAGATTTGTAGTATAGTCTTTGCATCTTCTAGATTCTTCTTGTGATCAAGCCTCGGACTCCTTCTTGTTGTCATGGGTGGTAGAGCCGGGGTTTGCCTGCTGTACAAAAACCCTGTACCACCGGCCACACAGCAGGTCTGCGGCCGTCTCTTTGAACCCCTCCCAGTTCTCCTTGACGAGTTCCCTCGTAGGCCTTGAGAAGACATCCTCGATCTCCTCCAAAGTCTTGTTCTTGGTCTCGGGCATGAAAAAGATCTGGTAGACTTCACTCAGCACGGCAATGCCGCCGTAGAAACCCAGAGCCAAACCGGTCTTGGTCATCGCCAACTGCATAGCTGAGAAGTTGTAAGTAACCACGAACGAGGCCAAGAAAAGAAGAGCGTCGGAGGTCGTAATTCCATAACTGCGCAGATAGGTGGGATACACTTCGGCAGGGATGACCCAGGTGAGACAAGCGTAGGATCCGAAGAAGCCCATATAGATGACCAGCCCAGTTAGGTACAAGCCTTCCGCTGCTGGCAGATTGACTTTGGGGTCGAACTGATAGCTGATGCCGATAAGAACAAGCCCAATGAAGAACCCTGGCAACATTGTGATGGCCCAGAAGCGTCGACCGAATCTCTCCATCAAGAAGATTGCGGGAATTGTGCCAAGCAGGAGCGAACCGCCGCCGACAAGAGACATGTAGTTGGCCTTCTCCTTGTCGAACCCGATCTGATTCATTAGGACGGACATGTAGTACATGATGGCGTTCACACCTGTCAGCTGACCGAGAAGAATCATGATGTTGGCATAGACAATGGCTCGGCGGGCGCGAGGGACCCTGGATGAAAGTTAGCATGTTTTCAAAACTGGTGATGCAAAGAAACTTACGTGAAGAAATCCATCCAAGGGAACCGGCGATTTTTGGCGCCTTCCTGAACTTGGGTCTCCTCCTGGTTGTTCGAGACAGCCATCATGTAGAATTCCTCACGAGCCTCGGGAAGGGAGAGGTCTCGGATTCGCTTCCAGACTTTAAAGGCTTCCAATCTCTTCTTCTTGTGCATGAGAAAGCGGGGACTCTCAGGAAGAAAGAGCATACTGGAAAAGAGAAGGTCAGATACCGTTAAATAAGAGGAGGTTCTGAGGAGCCTTACCCGAAGAACATGATGGTAGAAAAGACAAGAGACGAGCCAAGAATGTACCTCCAGTTGCCTGGCACACGGAGGAACATGGCTGCTACAGCATATCCAAGGACTTCTCCAAGAGCGATATTAAACTGGTACAAGGAGACCAAATTGCCTCGGATCTTGTGCTCGACAGTCTCTGCCACGTAGACAGGCACTGTACCACCCTCAAGACCTACTCCAAGACCGAGGATGACACGAGAAGAGACAATCATACCAAAGTTAATAGATCCAGCTTCCAATGCAGCGCCAATGGTGTACAGGATGATGGAAATGATGATAGCCCACTTTCGACCAAAGTATTCGTTTGTAGGTGACAGCAAGAGTGCACCACCAACCGCGCCCAAAGGCATTCCGGAGTTGACCAGACTGTTCTGGCGCGTTGATAGACCCAGGTCCTTTGGCAAGTACAGGTTTGCACCGCTGATCAAACTCTGGTCCAGGCCAGAGAGCAAACCTCCCATGGAAGCAAACGCCACAAGCAGCCAGGTGAAGTATTTCGGGTTATCAAAGTTGAGTTGGAAGAAGCCAGTCTTCAGGCCACCGGCAGCCTCAAGCTCGGCCTCCATCTCGTTGATGAAGTCATCGACCTGAGCTCCGCCGGCTCGAGCAACCTCGAGGGCCTCGATCTCGAGCTTCTTGTGAGTCCTGGTTGAGACCGAATTGTGACGTGAATTAGGAGACATCGTGGGCAGCTATCGAAACAATATGGCTTTGATTTCTCTCCCCGTGGTACGGTACAACTCTACTGCCCGGGGCATGGAGTTACCCCAGTCTACTTATAATAATCCCCTCACCTATCTCAAGCAGAATCTGGAGCTTCTAGAAGCAGGCTCAAATCAGAGCGCGATTTTGAAAATTGTTCATGCATTGAGGTTGATGCTGCCTGTGTCGGAAGATCTCCAATGATGGCATATGGTATATCACCGAGAATATCGCCGAGCCTGTGGTTCCCGAAGCCGTCCGCGACTCGCGGCTCCATCCGGTCAAGTCTCCTGGACTCGGAACCGGGAGCCGGAGGGAGCGTTCAAGCATGAACCTCTCTTGATCGACCATTTCAGCCATCTGCTTGATGAAACTCCATGGAGTTGTAGAGGTGACATGTTGTCACTTTCCTGGCTACTTGAGTAAAAACTAGGATAGTTCAGGCTACATTTCAGACGTGTTCAATCGCTCCTGGCGTTATGGCTAGTTGGTAGTCCTCCAAACTTGATAGCTCTCAACCCAGAACCAGCTCTTCAAGGCGCATCAGTCACAATCACACAATTTGATTCTTCTGATTCATTTGATGCCCGCAAAAGTTTTACATTCGGTGATATTCCGTCACTGGGTCTTGTTAGCTGCCAACTAGCATCCGGTTTGCCCCATTGTTAACCACCTACGCTACAACCTGAAGATGCCGTTTGAGCCGTGGCCCCATCAGTGACCTCAGTGACCGCCAATGCTATCACCAAAAAGCGTTTAAGCGCACTGAGAAGACACATCCTTGTTCATAAAATGCCGGTTTTTTATGTTCTAGAAATTTTTAATCTGATGATATCAAGCATGAGTCAATTAAGTGCCGGCAGCACAGTGGATCAACCAGTGCCGGGTGTGATTTGTAGCAGATTACCAGTAAAATAACGGAGGAAAGAATAAGATACATATACTTTAGCACGCTTGTAGAAAAGAATTATCAAGCTAGCTTGTCGATACGCGTTGTGTGGCCTCAAGTAGTTTGGAGGGTTGGCTCAAGATGGACAGCAAAGCCGCATATGACATGATTATTGACAAGAGATTTTCATCTTGGAATTACCTATTGAATGAGTGCTCCGTGCAACTCATATTTGGTGGTTCAAGAGTGGAGCATGATTGATATGCGCATACTTCGACAAAAACGTGGTTCTCTTCCGCGGGTAGGAAGGGATATGATGACCTCTCATGCTCCACTCACGGGCCAACGCCCAAAGCATCGCCAAACAACGTTCCTTAATGACATCACTATGCATGTAGGAGAGTCATTAAAGCTCTGATGGAAGAGCTAGAGGTTTCTTTGGGTGGATATGCCCGACGACATGTCACCAAGATTGTAAAAGTTTATGCCTAGTTGGGTTCCTGTACCAAGCCGCAGCCCTGCATAGCGCTCAAACCGCGGCCAAGTGTTTTCGAATCTATGGTCAGCTTTGAATCTCTTCAGGGTGCCCTTAGCAAGCGTCTAAGGGCCATCAGTACATTCTAGCTACGGAAAAGTATCGTGGATAAGAACAGCTTGAATCAAATTTCTCTCCCTGTGATCAGTCTTCCCATTTACACTTACTAACTTTTGCATTATCCGAACTGCCTGAAACCTCAAAGACCTCGTGCCGATGTTCATGACTATTCAGCAGCGTCATTGGATGTGTTGGCGAGACAAACAATATTTTCAACCAATGCTCTAACAGCAGCCTCTGGGGTCCCGTCTTGGATTCTCCTATTGCTGACCAGAAAAGGTTTCGGAAATCCGGCTGGGACATCTTCTCCAAGAGCCATCAGGGCAGCTGCCTCTCCACATAGCCAACACTTATCCATGCCGTGCCCGCTGAATCCCGCAGCTATAAACTCTCCGTTCCCCTCACGGCCAGTCATTTCATTAGACAGAGGTCCCACAAATGGAAACAAGTCCGCCGTAAATCCCATGATACCTGACCACATGTTTTGGACACTTGTTGGCCCAGCATTATGGAAAATTTTCGAAGTGATAGCGCTCAAGTGATCTCGCGCGGAAGAGGATATCTTTGAGTCATCATCGTTCAACATTTCTTTTATCGGCTGATGCTCTCCTCCAATAAAGAGATTCCTACTCTTGGGGGTTTGCTGAGCATACCAAAGGTTCACTAGAAGTTCATCTGATTTCTTGTCATAGTTTCCCAAACCAGTACTGGTCCAGGAATATTCCGCTCCGGACTGAGGAAAGGACGGTCCAAGTTGTTGTTCCGACATAGTTCCTCGTAGGGGGTAAAGCTTCCCGACGAGATTCGGCAATAGGTTGGCAGCGTACCCATTTGTACAGTGTATGACCTTGGAAGCTCGAATAGTGCCCCGGGGAGTGGTTAATCGGTATCCGTCTTTCCCCTGCCAAGTCTCTGGCTCCACTGACAGTACTGGAGTTTCAGTTTCGAGCGTGATGGATTTGGGATGCTTGTCCAATATCTGTCTCCAGACTGCAGTCACCAATCTGTAAGCACTCAGTGCTGCAGCGCCGTGTTGTTTCATAAATCCCACTCCGTTAGCGTATGAATAGTCGTTCTAGAAGTTCAGCCTGTTAGCAAGCAATTACAAGTGGAAATCTAAGATCTCATGCCTTTGCAATGTCCTTGTCCGCTGAGACTTCAACCTGGATCGCGAAATCGGGTCCCATCGCCTCAGTAAATATTTCTGCAGCGCGCTTGCTCCCTTCCCAAGACTGTACATCCGAGAGCGAAGCTGTAGCCGCCACGTCACGAAACTCGACAGTTTCCTGATCAGCATCACTGAGACCAGAGACCACCTTTCTTAGGGTGGATATATTCTCTGCCGAAAACCGCGCAATGTCAACGGCATCTGCGAGACCGAATTCGTCTACCAGTTCAGGAAACAGTCCCCATGTGTCGGAGATGAGGTGACCTCCGTTGCGGCCAGTTGCACCACTGACTGCCGTACGGGCTTCAAGAACCGCAACACGCATCGCAGATCCAGTCTGATGGCTGACGATGGCACGGGCTGTACTGCATCCAGTGATTCCCGAGCCGATGATGGCAATATCCACCTCCTCAGGAAGAACTGCAGACCGGACATTGGACACAGGGTCAGGTGGGCTCTGCCAAGATGAGATTGTGGGATTGGCCTTTGGGAGACCGGGAGGGCAGACAATCGCCTCCTTCACACACTCATAGACGCCTCCCATCTCGTCAGTTGGGGATCGATACGACTTATCTCAAGGGGGTACCCTGTGCGGAGATCTTACCAGATGCAGCCATTACTCGTAGCCCGGGAACCGATGTTCGTGATCGAGAAAGAAAATCAACTTGTTGTAAGGATAGGTACTGAACTACACCGACATCGCGCGTTTCCTCAACGTTCAGCAGCAGTCGTTATGCATTCACCGCCCAGTCCGACAGATTCCGTGAGATCCCGAAGTGCATGCATGAGGAGAGTTTTGCAGGGAGGGGTCTGCTGTCCGATCATTCGCATGTGGCCGGCGGGGTAGTTCCCCATCTCACCAATTTTCCTATAACAGGGTGGAATGGCAAAAGGCTACGTTAATGCAAGTCACATGCAATAGCTTCTCGAGGGATATCGGAACAGTTCCATAGGTATCGGGCGAAGCATGTCTTACATACTCATACTATTATTACATAGTATATCACGAGTCCAAGACGATCATTGTTCCCATAATGTCAACTAAGATTTATTTTTTATGATATCTTTAATCATGCCATTACTAGTTTCCCCCAGTCGGAACATGAGCATGGCCTTCGAGAAACTTCAAACCCTCAGTTAAAATTATACAATTGTCGTACTCCCAGCTGCCCGCCTCGACGAATTTTTTGGGAACATGAGTTGCATTCCTTGATGCTGGTTTTCGGTGCAAGAAATGGTATGAGATCAGCAGAGAAGTCGGCACTTGTTCTGAGAATGTTGCCAAAACCGTCCTGCTCTAAAAGTGAATCTAGGTGTAAGAGGGAGGTTTCGACTACCAAGTCCCGAAGTCCTCTGTCCTCGGAAGGAGTAGATTCATATACAACATTGATAGCAAGTGGAAACTCATCCATGTTCCAACCAGTGGTAATAGCTGTGTTGAATCTGTCCTTGGAATATTCTTTTAGCGTCGGTATGTCGTACTTGTCTGCAATCTGGTAGACCTGGGCATCATAGACCATTGACGAAACACCACGGATGTTGTTGTAATTGAAAGAATACATATACCGTAGCATTGATTCCACAATACCTGAGTCAAAGTCCTGGATTTCTATTTTCTTCTCGAGACTTTCCTTCAGAATAGTCAGCAAATGGTATGGGTATCAGCTGGCCACGCCATACCTTCCAATTGCCATTGAGCTGCTTCTCAAAATACTTAGAGTGGCATGCCAGCACTAATTTGTGCACCTTGAATTCTTGATCTTCGCATACAATGACAACGTCAGAAAAAGTGTCGGTGTTGAAGTAATCACTACTCACGTTAGGGGAAAACGAATCAAGGCTGGATTAGATGGCATACTCATTCAGTGACGACAAGAACCTCTCGAACCCTTTTGGGGCCATTTTCGAGTAGCCGAGAGGGGATGGAGAGGCAGCGGATGGAACATCTGGCGCTGAATCAGGAATGTCTGACACCGGTGGCCGGAGGGCTTTTGGCCGGGGGACTTGTGGCGAGTACAGCAAAACTCCAATCCCTGAGGCTATCTTCTAATTATTTTTAGCCATTTCGTGAGAGAAGGGAGACTGCCCGTTCAAAAATACAATATGGTGGTTTTATACCAGAAGCACTCCCTTTTCTTGCACGTGATTGGTCTGCTCGTGGAGGGCCTCCTGCAGAACCCAAACTGTAATTGACGTCAATGATGGGAGGGATCCAATCAGACGGCAGCCAAAGCAGCCTTGGCGTTTTCTGTGGAAACAAAAAGCTTTGCACCCGATCATTTCTAACCGGTCAAGGTCGTGTGTTCAGCAGCTCCTAAAGGCGGTGATCAAAACGCCATCAGGAGCGCTAAGGGCCACGAGTTCGACAGAGCGATGAGCATTGGTAATGTGACAGAAGCATGATGAAGAAGTGATTGAAAGTGGTTAGAACAATTTCAGAAAAGTCAGCGAATCTCATCACCGTGTCCCCTACACATCATCTTTAGGGTAAGTAGTAAGTGTTAATACCGGGCATATCTAGGAAGGGGAAGATGAAGAACAGGAGTCGGTCTCGTCCGAATTAGAAAACTCCGGGCAAAGAGGTGTCTGATGGCGGATCTCAGTGACGCACGCGTGTAGTTGTTAATGATAATAATAAGCGAAATCTGCCTAGTCAATCTTCTGCCCTACGCCCACTTCACTCCCACTTCCCCCTCTCCTGGCTGAGAATGGGAATTCCGACGGACACGGATGTCCGTACCGAAAGGAATGGTGTCGTTTCATGGGGGCTGTTGGTGCGCCGATTATGCTCACCGCAGTCCATCCTCCACACACTCTAGCCACCAATAATGCTGGCATGCTTCGTCGTAGAAGGGACGAATCTCATCCTAAGGCATGGCCGCGTGGGGATTGCCTGCTAAGCCTCCAAGATGGTGACGTTTACGCTTACTGTGGCTGCATTAGACCCTCGACAGCTCATCTCCAAAGGGGGGCACAGGGGCCCAAACGATCTAAACGACGCTCCTTCGCACTCGCATCGTTGCGGACTAATGAAAGACTTGCTGACACAGCAGCTTCTGTCGCCCATGATTGGCTAGCTCGCTGTTTAAGCCTTCGGTCGGACAGATTGGACACCGGTTGTCGTAACCGACTCACAGCCCAGCCCCGTCCGAGTCCGAGAATCGATGTTATTGAATGTTCAAAGAAAAGAAAAGAAAATTGATTGCAGTGTGCGAATCCATGATCCCGTGTCGATAGTAGAAGTATATGAACCTGAATAGTTCCCTTTCCACCAGTGTTCGGATCCCAACTCCTCATCAGCTTATCCCATCTGACACCATTGAATACGCCTTAATCCAGTGTAATAAGCACTTGATGCTCCCTTGTACCACTACGATTAACAATTTTTGACTCTCCTCCCCTTTCACTAAGTAAATCTTAAAATGTCTCGTCAACTCCCACCAGGAACCATCATCTTCGGCCCTGACGCCACCTGCACACTCGACACTTGCCCCATTGATTGGAGTATCTACTCTTACAGGCCATCTCTTCCTGGAAATGCCACTCTTCTTGCTCTCTTTGGTGTTGTCGGCATCATCCACACATACCTAGGCATCCGATGGAAGAGCTGGGGTTTCATGGTCGGCATGCAGCTTGGCTGCATCAGCGAGATCATCGGCTATATCGGGCGCATAATGCTCTACAATAACCCTTGGTCATTTGTGGGCTTCATGATCCAAATCGGTAAGTGTTTCTTCTCATTGCACACTCTTCTAGATTTGGTCACCTAACTTTCCCCAGTGTGTCTGACCATCGCCCCCGTCTTCTTCACGGCCTCGATCTACGTTACCCTTTCGAAAACCATCGTTCACCTCGCTCCGGAACTTTCACGCTTTAAGCCTCAGCTTTTCTACTGGATCTTCATCCCCGCCGATGTCGTTTGCCTCGCCCTCCAGGCCGCTGGTGGAGCTATGTCCACAAATTCCGATGGAGGCGACAACACCGGTGTCAACATCTCCATGGCCGGTCTGGCTCTCCAAGTCGTCGTCCTAGTTCTCTTCATTGCTGCTTTTAGCGATTACATGATCCGCTACTGGCGCTCCGGCCGCATGTCCGGCTTCCCCTGGCGCCTCAAGGCTTTCTTCGCCGGCCTCACCGTCTCGATCCTGCTCATCCTCGCCCGGTGCTGCTACCGTGTCGCCGAGCTCCGCGAAGGCTACTCCGGGGACATCATCAAGCACGAGATTCCATTCATTGTGCTTGAGGGGGCCTTCATTGTCGTCGCTGCCTTTGCGCTGTGCTGGGGCCACCCTGGTCTTGCCCTCCGCGATAGCCACAAAGAATCGGGCAAGGCTTCTGACAGCGAGCAGGGGACTATTGAGATCTAAATCGGGAAGTCTTAGAAAATTGGGGACTTAAAGAGCGACAATGATAATGGGAACTGTAATCAGGGCGTTTGGACTTGCGAAGTGATATAATGGATCAACAATAGAGCCGTTTTTAGATGGCAGGGGATAGAGCAAGGGAAACTTGCTGTGAGAGACCCCATCCTTGGATTTTTATTTCGTTTGTTTAGCAGATATGATGATGGATTGAATTCCTTTTCGAAACTTTACACCAGAATGAATAGCAACTATTGGTAGTTATATCACGCGTCTTGCCAAAGCAAACGCAATGTCCCAAATTCCACAGTGTGGCATATCAACCAACACAACCCTTGTTCCTTTTCGAAGCTCCCTTCCCCATACGCATTCCTGATGCTCGGCGAAATAGGAGCAGCCATCCAGTGGGTAGGGGTGTCTAAATCTCACAAACTGGCCCGGCTCTCCTTTTCGTTTAGCTGCCAATCCTCGGTTGCTTCTAATACCCCCAGTTAGCCTTCGGCCGAAGTATGTGTGGCGCCATTGACCAGAATACTTGCGATGCATGATAAAACAAACTATAGATTTTTGCTTTCAGAAACATTCCCGTTGTAGAATTTCTCTCGCATTTGTCAATAACGCCATAAATGAGGACTACAATCCGATAGCTACATACTAGGGACGGAATCACTACCCCCTGTACTCTTGGAAGCAGGTATATGGCACCAGTCTCTTGGTTGCCGGTCACACTTGTGGAAGAAGTCAAACAATCAGAAACAGGGGTAGGCATCTTTATCCATAGGACCAATTTCGAACTATTCCAAACCCAGCCACGCCATTTCATAGCCATCCTGTACACAACAGAGAGACTAGATAGACGGTATTTCAGATATGACCAGTGAAAATGGAACCTACGAGCAGCTCTCGCTCTCCAATCATATCTCGGCTAACATCACATGGAATGCGCTGCTGTTGGCGTTTCGCAGCCTAAAAAAAGACAGCGCCATTAGTTACCAAATTGAATGAAAAGTTACTTTCTTGGGGTGTTCTAGCTTCATATCTCGGTTAAACCTTAGAAGCTCATTCGGATGATACCATCCAGTGCCATGCTTTTGTCTGTGGTATCATCCTTGGCGTGGCAAGCCTACAGTCTCGTTCCACCTACAGGATGTCTTGGACTATAAAAGGGGACTGACTGATTCCCATTACAGAGTCTTTTCTACTGGAACAATTGAAACACTCACTCGCAAAACCCATTCAAATTTCTTCATCTTGATACATTATTCAAGCCCACTCCTGACAGCAACAATGGCCAGCACTGCCCAGAATCCAATCTCGCACGCCATCAAGTACGGTGCAGGTCACTTCCACTCCGATCCAACCGTTGCCGATCTAGAGCACCAGGTGGAATCCCTCGTCAAACGGGTCGAGCTTCAGGAGAAGCAGGCCGCAGATCTATCTCGGTTTGTAATCGACGAGGGCAGCTGGAACACCAACAATGTGCGATCCTGGCAGAAGCCTCAGGAGAAGACCTCTGGTCGCGTCAACTTCTCCCAGAAGTTCAATCAGGTGCCCAAGGTGACTGTTAGCTTGCACTCCTTGGACACCAACAAGGACTACAATACGAGGGTCAAGGTTTACACGTCCAGCATCGACAAAACTGGCTTCACCATTCACGCTGACTCGTGGAGTAACACCCAGCTGTATTCCGCTGGCGTGTCCTGGGTTGCGATTGGACAGTAATTAATTCGTGAAGAAGGACATAACCCTTTTTTCTCACATACTTATCTTAGTTTCAGAAAGAATATAAAGGATCAAAACCTCTGCTCTGTCATGGGGGGAGGAAAGAGTGAATGCCGTGAAATGCCTCCAAAATATCCCAATTGTCCATGAATAGAACTCAGCAATGATCTATAACGGACGACTCTTGGTACATTATGGACACAGTTCATCCAGGGTGAATAGTTCCTAATACCAGTTTGTGGTGCCAAATTTGGAATATTGTCGCAAGCAAGCAGCCTACCACAGGAATGAATGTGATTCTCGGGTTCTATTCCAATCTCAAATTATTTACTTCGGCTAACATATATAGAAGTGTAAACGGCGTAACTTCCTCCAACAGACTTTTAAACCCTCTGCATCGGGGTGGACAAACTACCTGCTAGATCTCCCAAAATCGTTAAATAGCAAAGCGGAACCTGGGGCTGCGCTCGCCCATCGCCTCAATCTCCTCCTCTGTCTTGCCCTCCATGAGGTGATCCTGCTTGCCTGCGTCACGCAGCTTGTTCTGGCGGTTGAAGTGCCAAGTGAGGATGATGTTGAGCAGGAGGGAGAAGAAAAGCATGCCCATACTGGCGGCGTACCCGGGCCGGTAGGTGGGGCTGTACTTGGACGCGAAGAGGAATGGGGAGGCGACGCCGGACGAGTTACCGATGGTTAGGTGCATGCCGGTAGAGAAGGCACGCTTCCCGTACCGAGGGTTGTTGGTGGGCACCCAGGCGAAGGAGATGCCCGCGGCGGCGAAGATGCCGACGGAAACGAAGAAGGTCCCTGCGTACGACACGCCGTTGCCGGCGTTGGCCAGCAGCATGGCGTAGCCGATCATAGAGGAGACAATGCCCGCCATGATGAAGAACCCTCGGCATTGTGTCTTGTCACTGAAGTAGGCAAAGGTGATGTACACGATGGCCCCGACGGCGTAGACGGGGACGGTCATGGCCTGAACAACAGCGGAATCCCACTGACCCATGTCGCTGATGATGGTGGGAAGGAACACGACGAAGGAGTAGAGCATGGTGAGCAGAGGGAAGAGAGCGAAGCAGAAGGCCCAGGTGGTCCAGTCCTTGACACCATCCATCACGTCGGACTTGACGATATGACGGAAGTTGTGAGCCTTGCCAATCTGCGTCTCGTGGATGCGACGTAGGGTCTCCTTGTCCTCGTTGGTGAGGAACTTGGCCGTTTTGGGGCTGTTGGGGAGGACAAAGGGGATAACAATGCCGGTCACGATGGTGGGAGCGCCGTTGATGAGGATGATCCATCTCCAGGCGCGCCATCCCGAGGCGCCATCCATGAAGCTGATGCCGTAGGCGACCAGGCCGCCAGCGACACCGGAGAGGGCAGCGGTCGAGTAGAAGCAGGCGATGCGGAGGGCCAGGCTCTTTCGTCCATAGAACATCGAGAGGTACAGCACAACACCGGGGAAGAACCCAGCCTCCATCAGGCCCAAAAGAAGACGGCAGGCGATGAGTGAACCAAGGTTGTTGACCCACGCGCTGAACGTGGCAATGATTCCCCATGCGAGGGTGAGACCGGCCAGGTAACGGGCTGGCTGCATCTTCTTGATGATCATATTTGAGGGAGCTTCGAATAGCTGGCATACAGTTAGCGAGAAGGGGAAATCAAGACGGGAAGAGATCATCTTACACAATAGGTGACGAACAGAATCGAGACCGCAAGCTGGAACTCGTTGCCGCTGAGTCCCAGTTCATCCTCCATGCCAAAGAGACGAGCATTCCCAATGTTCACTATGGTGAAGAGGCAATATTAGCTACAGTTCTAGATTTTTTTTTATTATGGAAGGACATCAAGATGCCTACCTCGATCCATCATGTTCATCAGATATACCCACATCACCATGGGGATGATGCGCCTGTCCATCTTTCGCAGGACGCCGCGCTCTGCGGCTGGGTCGAGGTAGTCATCGGCTCCAGGGGCCTGCTCCAGCCTCTCAGTCTTGAGCGACGAGGAGTCAGTCTCCTTCTGAGGCGTGGTTATGCCGTCCCTAGGGACCTTCTTGTCATCGACGTCTGCCATGTTGCAGAAACGGGTACGTGGGATAACAGTAATCAAGATCTTTAGATGCAGCGTTGCAGTGATGGACAAGGAGTAGTATCCAAATATCAAGAGAAAAAGCTGGGGGAAAGCGACGCTTTATATCGGATGGGACGTGGGACAACAGAAAAAGTCTAAAGCAAATAAAGTGTGGCTAGAGCATTGTGCCAAGTGGGTGACTCGGGTACGAAAGCAAAGGGTAATCTACGAGACTGGGGCAAGGTTTCCAGGGTGTTTATCCACAGAGTTCAACGATGCGGACACGAGTCCAAGATCTTTGGCCCGGATTGGGCCAATACGTTGAGGGAATGTGCAACCCCTCTCCATACGTTGTCCCAGAACTGAAGCGATGTACATGTGTTGGCTGAATCTGAAAGCTCCAATACAACCCTCCAAGGTTACTCGTGCCGTTTTGGCAAAGATTCGTGTCAATGACGCCCTCGCGGTGATCAGATCAGCCACATCCGTCACGCATCTTGGGGTTACCGAGCATTGCCGCTCGTTCAAGGGTGTCCCGGGGGGGTTCTCTGTCCTTATTCTTACTAGTCTTCCATCTGTCCGTCTAGAAGAAGCCCAATATGCTTTCCTGACACACTATACCTTGCGCGTTAACTGGATGAGAGAAGAGTGTGTTTCCCCGCGCATGCCAAGTGCTTGTTCCAAGGAGCTTGGCCAGCGCCAAGCATGACCCAAATGGGGCCCCGCCTCGGTGGACGAATAATAATCTAGCTATTCAACTCTAAGATGCGTTAAAACAAAGCGTAGTGAGATCTCAAGAGGGCAGTGCAAGTGAGGACTCCATGAGGAATGGGGGGCGGGGGATGGGGATGGGGTTACCCCGTGGAGAGACGACTTGGCAAGCCAGTGTTTCGAGTCGACTTATTCTCTCATTCATGCCGATCATCCGGTATCATGACCATATCTCATAATGGCCAGATGGATGTGCTGGTGCTACATAATGCATATTCCAAAAGGATTCATCGTTGGAGAGCCGAATACGGACGTGTATGTCGATGCGGGGGACATGTGTTCACTCTACTAACATCTCAGAAGTCAACGCTTCCTACGGCCTCGATTTATCCAAAAGACTGCTTACCGATTACTGTTAGTGGAAGAAGTCCTGTTTTCTTTTCTCATTTAGTAATGAGATTACTCAGGCCAGGGTTCTCGTCACAAATATCAGTGTTACAAATTATGTCATAGGAATAAAAACCTACCACGATTCAGTTCAGGCCGGAAGTAGACATAGGCATTATCCAGATGGGTGATAAGCTACCACACTGCCATCCCTATGCGGTAAGATGTGATGTGCTGTTCTTTTTGCTGCTCTGATGAGGGGGTTGGAAAAGTCATGGGGGAGTCAACCTCCCCAAACTTCCCCCCATTTCCCCCATACCGGGATTAGGATGGCGGAACAGGGGGCCTGGCGAGGCAGCGGTGAAAGGAATCCAAGCAAGGAGGGTGGGAACACGGCGGAGAGTGCAAGGGTGCTGGTGACAGTGACGTTTACCTACCATTCCTCTTTCTCTCTCCGCTCTCCTAGCCAAAAGAGCCTTCGGATGCGAGTTGCGGCGACCGAATTTCCACGCTAACTGTCAACTATTATGCTTTTAATTAAGCTTATGGCATTCCCCTCGGCACTGGGTACGCACAAGAGGCTCAACCGAGCCAGCCTAAAGCAGGTCATGACAGGGCTCAGTTTGGGGTACACCAAGGTCAGATTTGAATTTCCATTCTGTTTGCTTTGTTCACTCACTTCAGGGTTCACGCGTAGAGTTGCAGACCTAAATTACATGGTTGCGGCATAATTCTTGACTGCTCTAAGCCCATCTCCCCCAGGATCAGTCGCAACCTGGGGATTCAACGGACCCTCGTGCCGAGTGTCATCATGTAGCCCTCCCAAATACGACGCTGGCCGGTGATTGGAGAGATGTGTCCGCGGAGGTGTGGCATGATGGAGCACACTGACCTCTCTCTCCACTCACGAGGCAACGGACAAGACCAGACAAGACCACAATCAAACAGTGCGGGGGGAGCGTGTGAGCAAGCCAGCGGACTTGGCCCACCGGTGCCACGAGCGTAGCATTCCAAGTGCGAGCATCGTGCTGTAAGTGGAGAGATGGCCAAGAGCCAAGCAAATAGCAAGATTGCCTGGGCTGGGCGCAGCAGATTTCGAACTGGTCTCCCCTCCATCTTGATGTCTAGCCTGCCTGAATCCATGATCCCCCCTTCAGAAAGTAGTCTACACCCTTTACATGGGATGTTCAAATTCAGTAGGAAATGCGGGAGTCTCCACACATCCCCGTGTTTTCACCCTCAACAAGACATCTACTGTCATTGGCTTAACAAGCCTCCAGCTCGTGCCTCATCTTTTCTTTTTCGTCATCTGCACATCGGTCACAGTCCTTGTCTGGCAAAACCCCCGCGCGGTGGCTTTTCCCTTCGCCCGTCACATCTTGGCAGGAAAGATAGCTGGCTCTCCGGGCCACACCTACACGGCACATAGATGTGCCTGGGCGCTGATAAATCTGTTTTCCAAGACACGCGGGCTGCGTGGCTGTGATGAACTAACTGTTCGCCGAGAGATGAACATGGACGGAGAACAACAAGGCTTTGGTGTTCAGGATGATCAACTCCACGCCAAGAGTCCTAGTACTGGCCCCCTCTAGAGGGCTGTGTTCTGTCATTCTGACAGACAAGCGAAGCTAAACACTGAACATTGGAAACTTGGCCAGGTCCAATGAGGTAGGCCTATCGGCCAGGTCACTCAATCATTACCCCAAACCTGAAGCGACACGTGTAAGACTCCATGACTCGACTCTAACTGGCCTCATTTTCATCATACGAGTTCAACATGGACAAAAGTCAAGAAATGTGCATCGACAATGGCAAATGAGGGCAGCTCTCTTCTCCTGCAACCCAAGACCTGGCATGAATATACCGAAGGCACCATCGCCTCTGCCAAGCCGAACCGTAGGGCCTTAAAGGCATCAGCTGAGCGCTAAATTACAGGGCACTGAACCATTAACGATCATTGATAATGCCCTCCCCCTCAATGGAGTTGAGCTGGTCTTGGTCTTGGGCCGTCCACTCATTATGACGCGTTGTATGTAATTAGCGGCCACTCAAGGCTACTAACGCGAGGGTTACTTTCCATCTAATCCTTTTCTATCTTTTTAGAGCTGGAGGACATGAATGAATGCGTGTTCGCCAGTGACCAAAAGCTATGGTCACTGCCAAAAAATAAGCTGACTAAGCTTGTGATGATCATGTGACCGCCACCAGCCAATCACCTGTTGCATCACGTGACTTGGCGATCATTTCCCGTTCCCACTTCTCCAGGCTCCAGCCACCCACTTTTCCCCTCCACCATCATCGTGCCATCCAAATCGACATTCACGCCTCATCGCTAAATTGTTTTTTATCGCTTCCCGTCCGCAAACCCCAGCTCTCCTACGAAGGCACTTTCCTCTAGGTCATCTTGCAACCAGGCCGCTGTAAAATTCCGTCGTCTACTTGAGGCGCGCGCGCTTCAAAAGACACGGGGCCCTGTTCTTTGTGGAGATACTTGGATGTGAAGGTCGTCACACGGGAAGTTGGATGAGCAGGCGACCTGGTGATTTCCTCTCTTGTAGTTCTCCCTCGCGTGCTTTCCACGATAGACGCTTTCCGACAACCAGAGTCAAGGCTGCTCTCTCGACGCCAAAGCCTGGGCGGGCGGGTTCTTGTCGTTCTCTGAATGACAAGGGTTTTACTTTTCGCAAGTCTTTTTGTGTTTCGTATTTCCTACTGACATGACAGCCTCCCCAGTGGCGAGCGACGATGCCTCTAAATAAAGATCCCTCGGCGAGTCTGGATGACCAACTCATCTCAGACGAAGCCACCACTCAAGAAAACTCTCCCCGCCGACCTTCCCCCCAGAAACCCCAAGTGTTTGACACGACCACGAACGATTTGAACCGTGACCCGACATCTCAGTCAGAGACCCTTCCCAAGCCCGTCCATCAAGAATCTCTTCGTATACCTGGCCAGTCGGCGGTTGTCTCCTGGTTCAACCAGCAGCACCAAGAAACCATCCTGAGCCACGATGTCGCAAGCGCTTTCATCCAGCACGACGCCAAACCGAAGAACACTGCTTTCTTTCGACTCCGAGTCAAAGTCGGCCAAACTTCACGGCGCACCGCCAAGCACGTCTACCTCTTCATACCCCCCGAACACATTCAATCACTGTCTCTTCATGACGAAACCGACACGCCGCAGGCTGGATCCAAAACAAAGGCTGCTATTCGCAGGGCAGTGGGCACGGCTGGTGTATCATGCTTGTCCTTTGAGATGCGGAAGCCTTGCTTGTTGGTCGGCCCCAAGGATCTAGACCATAGCGCTCAAAGCAATGAAAATCAATCTTCCCATTTCGTGAACATGCTAGACACCGTAAAGCAACTGTCCTCGCAAAGAACCTTTGTTGTGTATCTCCCTCGCACCACTATTCCCAATGGCCCGCTGCTGTCCTTGTGCCAGGCGGTGTCGTCTCCTGGTCTTTTGGCCTCCGACCCGACCTTGAATGATATCAACGGCCTCTATGGAGGCCGAGGCGGCGTAATCATCGGGCAGAGATCGAATGATGCTGTCATTCCTCCAGCACATCGCTTTGAGCCCCAACATGGACCTACGGACGAAGGACTACCTCCCGCTTACGAACACACCGGCCCTGCTCCTCCGCCCGTGTTCACTGCCCTGCATAAAGGTACGCAAGTGTCTCTGCAACTTATTCTTATGTGCCTGAGTATTGACGCGATGTCAAGGCCAATTGCGGCAAGCAGGGAGCAAGCGCCGACGAACAGCCAGCTCAGAAATACCAACACCTGCCACCTCCTCCAAATGTCCGGCCATCGCAGTAGAGCAGCCATCATCCACCACCCTCGACATGATCATGGCTCGCATGGAGCAAGGCTTTGGCCAAATCAACACACGTCTCACCGATATAGAACTCCGCATAGGCGGCATCGAGTCCCGCTTGACACAGCTGGAATCCCAGTCCTCAAGACACCCGCAAGACGAAAACCTAGATGATTTACGATACGATCTTGAGAGGCAGATTGGAGAATTAAGAGAAGAAGCCGAAGATTTACTGGAGAATAGAGTCGAGGAGGGCATTGCGGATGCAAAGAGAGAGCTGACGGATTATATGGAGGATCAGGTGGATGATGCAAAGGGAGATATAATGCGCAAATTGGCAGAATCTTCTGTCCAATGTTCGATCAACTTTGACTTTAGATGAAGACTATCTAATGATAATTCAAAGAACTTGTCAAACGAATCATGACAGCGCTTCACCCACTCTCCATGACGATGCCTATTTTCTCGATGCTTGCTCCTTGTGTTCTGCTTCAGTGGAAAGCAACAATCACGTAAGAGTTGAAGTCCCATCAGAGAGCATGCGGAATGTGATCAACTCTTGAACGGCGTGCCACCACTTGACCCAGTACTTGGCCTCACTGGTTGTGAACACTCAAAGCTACATCCTGCAAGCCTTCGATCTCCTTGACCAGATTCTTCCCCCACTCCAGGATGTTCTGGGTGTCTTTCCCTAGCGGAAGCCTCAAGCCAATCTCCCGCTCCGCAAACATACCAGTCCGATCAACTGCCTCGACAATACGAGCTGCCGTAAGCTGAGGGCTGGCACCCTGCTGCTGAACCCGGTTATCGTCCACCACGTACTGAAGAATCTTATCCGCTACCGTGCCCTTGTATGGCTCGCTTATAGGGACATTCACTGCCGATCCCGTCGGCTCCACGAACTCAGTCCTCATAGTACCAGGCTCGACAATCAATGTTCGGATGTTGAAGGGCTCAACCTCCGGGGCAAAGCCCTCGGTGAAACCTATTGCAAGCGTCAGTTCTCCGCTATTCGCACTTGGGCAAGTCATACTAACCCTCAAGAGCATGCTTAGTGGCGGAATATGCAGATATGCCTGGAGGACTTATGATTCCGTCCACGCTGCTAACATTGACAATCGTGCCGCCGCCCTGGCTACGCATAAGAGGAACCATGGCGCGGCAGACTTGAATAAGGCCGAAAACGTTGACCTCAAATACGTCTCGGATTGCCTCGATGCTAGACAGGTTAGCTCTAGGTCCATCCACAACGAAGGGCAGCCAACCTCATATCCTCGGCAGTCCCGCCAAGGCCGTATCCAGCATTGTTGATAACCACGTCTATCTTCCCGTGGCGGTCTTTGATAGCCGCTATGGTGGGCTCAATGTCTTTAGCCGCCATGTCGAGCTCGACCCACGTGCCGCCGAGAGTTTCAATTTCAGCACTTTGGGGAGTCGGCTTGGAACTGCGTCGGCCTGCGACGACAACATGTCCTGCTTTCGCAGCGGCCTTGGCAAGTTCGAACCCCAAGCCGCGCGAGGCTCCCGTGATGAGCCAGACCTTGGGAGAAGACATTCTGATATCTTTTGAAAAGATTGTTGGGAATGATAAGTATCTTGAATGAAAGATGGTTGAAGGAGGATGATGAAGTGTATGATTTGAGCTCTGTGATTGATTGATGAAACTACTGAACAAGAGCCAGATTTCAGTCTCTTTATATACCCAATTCCCTGGAGTACAGATAGCATTCCAAACGTAGATTGCATGCTCTTCATATTGGTATATTACACTGATACCTTTGATCAACCCAGCTATCACGAACCAGATTGGTGACTTTAGGCATTTGCCGAATCTGGAAACTGCATAACTTGTGGAACGGTTTGATACTGGCCTCCATTAAGGTTTTTGAGGATGACAAAATAATCCTTTCATGGACTAGCGCTGACAGCGAACATCATGCATTCGAGTGACGAGGAGCATGTCCAGGAGATAATCCCGCCATATCCGGTTACGTTCTTGAATCAAATGAGCCGGCCCAATGTAAACCTCAACTTCATATGCAGATGGCCAAGATTCAGTACGCAAAATGGACAAGAGACATGGTGAGCGAATATTGATCCCGAGATTAATGGCAAGATCCTAACCCCAAAAGATTACACAGCCCTCTCGTTTATCGTGACTACTCCCACCCAGAAGCAAACAAGATGCCAAAACCGGCAGATAAAGAAGCATGCTGCTAAAGTATGTCCTCCGCGGCAGCGTCCACGAAAGCCCAGATCACGGGGACCGCCAAAAACCAACGAGCACACTCGAGCAATTCATAGGGTACTGGCCCCGGCAGAGCAGAAGAGAGTGATGCCGACATCCAGCTATGCACCAATCTTAGGGCTAACAGTGGCCATTACCTCTGAGAAAAGCGTGTCTGCTATCCCTGGTCCCCGCTCATTACATAGTCTGGCTACATGTTTGTTTGCCCCCCTGTTCGTCCTAACTCTGACGCCTGCCCTGGCTTATTCTGTCACAGTTTTCTTCTTGGTATCACTGGAAATGTATCCTAAAGAACTCTCCATTGATGTTGATGACGGAAAGAATGATGTGTACTGGATTGGCACAGCCTTTCACGACCAAGTATACCTACATGCCATTCTTGCATTAACTGGAGTTTTCTTCGATACACACCAAGTGGAAAGCCATACTCCCGAGCCTTACAAGCATTCGATCAAAGCACTTCAACTTCTCCAAGATCGGTTGTTCGTCATGAAAGAGTCGGAATGCTTTTCAGACGCGACTATCATGGCAATATTTGCCCTGGCCTCGGCAGCTGATATTGCGGATGACTTACCAGCCGTTGAGCGTCATCTCCGTGGCTTGAAAAGAATCATCGATATTAGAGGCGGGATGGGGAGCCTACGGACCAATACTCCTGATCTTCTCGGCAAGATCTGCAGGTTTGTTTTACTCATGACGCTCATATCTTCGATCAGACGCCAATAAGTGACATTAGACTTGACCTCAGCCTGGCTGTGCAAACTTGGAGGCCAACCGTGTTCTTCAACGAATTGACATCCTGGGATCCCTACCTCGTGATATCCCGCGACCCTCGAGGTTCCAGCGATGAGGCAATATCCAGGTGGATCACTGACAACCTGGAACCGAGGCTGTGTACAATATGGGAGGACTTGAGACAGTTTCGCAGAATGAGCATCTTCGCCAACGAGGCAAACCAGAAGATCCCCAAAGACACGTTCAGTGAACTGATGGTCTCCCTCTTATATCGGCTCGTCAATCTCTCCTATGACTTGGACTCGCCCAACGAAGTAGTACGGCTCGGCATGCTGGGATATGTAGCCTCCATCTTCCTTCAGTGGGGGAAAACGGCCGAGCTCCACCACTTGCGGCGCATGCTGGGAGGAACTTTGAAAGGGATTCATCCTGGGATTAGTGACACCCCCACGCCGGTGATATTGTGGCTGTTCCTCACGTGGCATCTTCTGCGTCCATCAGAGCAGGAGGTGGGGATGTTGGACGGGTTGCTTGGATCAGTATCTCGCAATGATATTCCACTGAGTTGGTCTCATGTACAAGGATTGCTTCGATCATCTGTATGGATTGGCGATATGCACGATGCGGAAGGAGAAGCCGTATATCGGCGTGCGATTCTGCGAATCTCAGCTATAAAATAAAGCTTTTACATAGGCTCCATCAAAATAGAACCCTCCATATATTACATATTAGGTGCTTTTCCTATATCATATCCATCAATATTCTAAAATGCTCGACTCCCATATAAAACTCCCCATGTTAAGCATATCGCTTCCCGGGCTCAAGACAATCAACATGGTAATTGGAAAAGGTACAGTGTCCCACACCGTCCTTCCCCTCCTCGGGTGGTACGACAACCCCCCATTTCACAGGCTCGTAGATGGACGTTCCCTCCAGCACATGGCACGAGGCCGAGATGGCCGCACTGCAGCTCCCGGCCAAGGGCATCCCTTCTCTGAGCCGAAGCCTGCCTATTACTACGGCAAGTGTGAACACAATCGCAACCACAAACGCGGTCAGGAAGATCGCCATCGGGGAGTATGCCGCGGTGGTGGTGATGTCCGCGTCTTGCGTTGTACTAGGAGTCTGCTTTTGGTCGCTGGTCAGTCTCCACGTGCGCATCTCATAGATCTGCGCGATGAAGAAGCTCTGAGAGATGAGCCAGTGCATCAGCACCGAAAGCGCCATCATGGGAACGCTGTACCGATAGGGCAGTTGGAGGAAGAAGGTGGAGCGCTGCCCGCCCGTGGGAAAGGAGACTCTGAGGGGGCGGTGAAGATTGTACCCGTAGTTGGACCACTCAGAAGCCGCAGACATGGCGGTGACGACGCCGTTGAGGATGAGGTAGAGGAATGAGAGGAGAAGCTGCGGCATGTTGGTAATGAGCACGGTTGCGATCACTGCAGCCTCGCCGGTTCCGGGAACGCCCCATGATTCTACCATTGTATGTGGAGTGAGAGCACCGACGCCTAGAGACCAAAGGCTGTTGAAGTCTCCCTTCCCATAGTTGGAGTTCAAAGTTGCGACTGCATATCCCAGCAGTCCGAGTATAACAATCAATGCTGTAAGAGTCCTACATAGAGAGATCACGTCAGAAAAGCGATACGCAACATTAGAGGGAAATGATAAGCAGTGAATGTCTTGCTTGGATTTACTCACATCAGGGATGCAACAATCCAGCGCCGCCAGCTCACAGCAGCGGACCGTTTCATTGGCTGGGGTTGATATTCCTTGGCTGGTATCACTTCATCCTCATGGGAATTGATGATCTCTCGCGCCGAAAGCAAGCACATGCCTTTTGTGGTCGGCTCTGGCCGCTGTATGAAGGACGCGGCAGCATCTCCAACAGTCACTAACGGCTCTTGGTTGATGAGATTGCTGGCCGCCATGATGGATATCACGATCACCTTGACGGCGTTGAAGGCGATGACAACGCCGATCAAGCTGAGTGCAACCTGCAGGTGGCACTTGGGCGCTATCTTTTCGCTGAGGCAATATTTGACCTTGGCTCCGCCTAGAGTCCATTCATTCGGCGATAGCTGGTCTTTCCAAGCCCCGTCGCTGCATAGCCTAGAGAGTTTCTTATAGCTTTCTTGGTAGTCGTAGTAAGATGAGTCTTGAGAGCACAGCCAACCGTACCAGTTTGTGAGCTTCATCGTGGCCAAGAACCCAGTTGCGTAATTGTACTGGGCGTAGAGGGACGTTGCTTGCGCGTTTTGGCAACGGTCAGAGTAGTAGCTGTACAGAAAGTCGGCGAAGGTGCTGCAATTCCGAGGGTCCTCGACGACCACCACGACGGCTCCTCTGTCCTCGACCAAGGTCTTTGCATAGGCGTTGAGGCAATCATCATTGGACAGCCTCTCGAATTGGTCGGTGTGCATGAGCCGATCCTGGATGCTCTCCGGTGTGTCGACTTGCCCAGGCGCGGTCTGGAACATTGTCTTGTTCCAGGATGCCCCGGTGGTGAAGGCTTCATTGGCAATGTAGATGGGATAGAGATTGTTAACGGTGGAGACAAAGAATATGGAGTTATACCTAGGATAATAGTCAAATTGATGCTCTTCCAGCAAGCAATGTACTCTGTACCACTCACACAAGATGAAGAGGAATCGATGTGAGACCTAGACAGAACCAGAAGAAAAGCCGCTTCTTCTGGATGAACCGAAGGTTCCGGACACTGGGCACGCCAATGTCGAGGTAGATGCCCCGTGCGTGAGCCTTGTCGACATCACGACGAGTAGGAGCACTGATGGTTTGCATACAGTAGTTGCTTGCGCCCAGGAGGAGCGTGCTGACGATGTTGATGACCAGATGGACGACGATCCCAAGCTTCTTGATATAAGTGCAGTCGCCCGACTTGGCCGGTGCAATGTTGCCCGTGTACCCATTGCGGCGAAGCTGTGCACCAAAGGCAGCAAGCAGCGACGAGTTGCCGAGGAGAATGATGAGCGTCAGGCCAGCAGCGATTGTGGTCCCCAATTTCCACCCCGTCGGTTTGCGTTCCGAGCATGATCTGTTGGCTTTCCTTGGCGGTCGTTTGCCGAACCTGAACCAACCCCGAGACTTATTATTAGTGCCACCATTGAATCCTGAGGAATACGCCTCCGTGTTGTCAAATGGGAATGGCGAGCCTTGGATCAATGGCGAGAGCGGGCTGTAGCTGATCTCGGCCTCGGTTTTCGAGAACGAGCCTGGACGCGTCCCGAGATCGCCGTCGAACGTGTCCAAGGAAATGCTGGACCCGGGCACAGGCTTCCTGCTCCTACCACCAAGGCCCATGTTCTGGTACAGGGCCGGCATGCTTCAACAGCACGAGATGTGCCAATGGTTCGTGCCGCGCCACTTTCAATTGACCAACCTTTTCCCACTAACAGTGCAGATTTGCGGGGAGGAAAGATCTTATATTGAGATTCATTTCGTCGAAAGCCTAACAGGGACAAGCATAACGTCCTGAGGAACCCACCGCCGCCTTATTTTTGAAACGCCGAGACGCTGGTTGCTGGGTCTTTGGCGACCCCTGGGACCAATGACAAGGGGGCAGACCAGGTAGTTCTCGTCTCCCAAGCAGCAGTGGGATTCATGCTGTTCTAAATCAGGCTTGACGGTGTGAGTTTTCGCGCCCGCCCTTGCCGTAAGCGAACTGAAGTCCCCTTTCATCAGGTTTCGGTCCCCCCTATCGCCCTGCAGGGTCACATCTCCCTTGATGAGACGCGGCACCTGGGTGGCGTATGTATGCCCGCTGTCCCCAATATAGGGCTGACTGTGACCAGAGTGGGAGGGTCTAGATTAGTCGGAACTTGGGGGCGAGTCAAGCAGGCGAGCGTGTCTTGCCGAAGGATGCTCGCCTCCTTGACCACCAATGCATCACTTATGATATCAGGAGCATCAGCTAATTGGTAGGGTGGGCGCACAATGTCACATTGACGCCCTGCAATGATGCAATGAAACGTCGACAATCATGGCCAACTCTAAATGGCAATTGAACTCTATGCTACGACCTGCCACTCTCCTTCATTGCTATTGACAGCACCATTGCCCTGAGCATTTCCCTGTCTCTCGGATACTTACACTGGAATCTGTCCGTAGTCCACAAAAGGTCCGCCAATTGGTTGAATTCGTCTCCTTGCGCCGCCTCGAGGGAGGGGAGCACAATACGACCAAGAAATCCAGCGGATATTGGATCCAGGCTGGCTGCATACGGGAGAAACATCCAATTCCTCTCACACTGGCCCCTGTATGCCCTGTAGGCTCCCGCATCTGGTGTCCCATACAACGCACCAAGGTCGAAGATCAGCCGCAGAACCATCCGCCTGATCGCATGGATCCCAGCCAGAGCTTGGGCTAGACGCGCAGACGCGAAATCAAACGACTTGCCGACGTGCAAGTTCGGGTCTGACAGCTCTCTCATATGGCCGAGAGCCGTGGCTCTGGCTACGACCCTATCTATTACGGACTGCAGCACCGTTTCATGGGTGCATAATTCCTCCACCAGGCTGGCCATGCGCTCGACCATGCCATTGGGATCCGTCTGGATTGCCCGGAATTCTCGAATCCATGGCGCGAGCTGGCTAAATGACCTGTTGATGGCGGCGTACTCGCCGTCAAAGCACTGCAGCTCCTCGACAAACACGACCAGTCGCATGATATCAGGCTCATCCACTGTGCTTTCCCATAGCAGCCTGAGAACAGGGTTGTCTACGCCGCTCAGGGCCAAGAATGTCTTTTCGCGAGAGTCAGTAACCTGCTGAAGATTGAACATGTGCAAAGCAGAATCAGCTTACCAGCTCCCATTGACTCTTGAAGGCGAGCGACAGATCAAGCTTGTCGCCCGCGTCCAGTGACCCTTTGCCCAGCATTACATGCTCAATGCCTCGTCGGTGGGATTCAAAGCTGTGCGCCTCCCCGTTGCTGAACAGCGTGCCTATCCGTTCAAACATAATCATGGCGCCCAGCGTCTCTACAGTGTACAAATGAGGTCCGTTTATGGCCCTCTGCAAGCTTCTGATCGCTTTCGGATAAAGTTTCGTCGCCAGCAGCTGGTCCACCGGCTTCCCACGGTTATATTCGCTCCAGGCGGAACAGAATAATGCGGTACAGTCACGGAGGCAGTCGCTCTGGGAGAGGCGCTGGGGGAGATGCGGTAGGTAGCTCATCTGCATCGCCACACCGGTATCTTCGCCATGTTTGAGCAGACTGATGAGCCGCGAAGAAACGCGTTCGGAGACAGTCGTCGGGGTCGCTCGAGGGGCCTGCAGGCGAAAAACACCAAACGACGCGTTCCCGCCATCCGAGGCAGGCCGCAAGGGACCTCTTCTGATCATGACGCGAGAGCCATTGGGTGGTAGCGAGCCCTCGGGCGAATTCTTCGCAGGGTCAGGGGATACCGAGTCATCCGACCGGCTGCGTTTGCCGCTGTCAACGAACTTTAGAAGCGACGATGGCCCTGAGCAAACCTTGCGGGCGGCTTTGCAGGTATAGCATGTTGGCCAGTTTTGATCACACTGTAATTATGGTTCACCTCTTAGCCGTCTGTCCCTGTTCATTTGTCTACATTTTCCTCACCCTTGTTTTCCTCTGCTTGCATAAATAGCAGGCTTGTGATGTTCTAACACCGGGCATGTCGATGCAGGGCGGCAGGCGAGTGAGATTCAGCACAGATTCTGGGGATGATGGTCGCCGTAATCGTGGTTAAATGAGAAGAAATGGACAGATCCACCCCTTTATGGTGCACTGACTCGCAGATGATCCTTCTACAGTCGAGCGCTCCTTTCAATACATTGGCAGAGGCTCCTGTGAACGTCTGTATACCAATATATCTTGTAGGGCTATGAGAGAGAAGCAATGTGAATAAATTGAATTACCAGATTGACTGCATCCCCTTGTCCTCTAGAAAGGGAAACACAGCCCGAGCACCGCATGTTTTTGAATTTCTCTGGTAAAATCATTGACAATCCTTCGACAGGGGCATGTAACAAGCTTCGCCCCGCCCGTGTTGTGAATCTGTCATCACAGTGAACCGGTGGCTCGGTTCATTCCGCTGAAAGATCTAGGGTGTCTGGATGGTCAACTCAAGGCAATCTAAACAAGTTCAAACCAAGTAACCGCGTTATTCCACTCGAGCCCTACGACTGTTCATAGGTTCAGAGTAAGCAAGGGCCTTGGCGCTACTTTGCCGCACAGCCTGTAATCTCAGGGACAGCTGGAACACAGGCTGAGGGTCTCTTGCCATTGCAGCAATCAATGTCTGCATTCAACATCAAGAGTAAGCCCATAGTGTCTATTCAAGTTCTCTGCATGTTGTCGAACATCCCCTCGACAGCCTCAACGCAAGCAAAGGAGGCAAACACTCTTGTCGCTCCATGAAAAGGTGGCTGAGGTAAGGCGAACCCCTGAATTATTTAGATTATCCACTAAATACCCCACTCAACACTCGACATTTCAAAACACGCAGTTGTCCGTTTCTGGTTGTCATCGCATTGTGTCTTATTCTCAGCCCTGTCCTCGGCGTCGTTATCATGGACCCAGTATCATTTGGGCAGTTGCCAGTAGACATACTCAACCATATTATTGACCAGGTTCGTAACTCCAGGCCCCCGTCCAGCCCTCTTACGGAGGATTGACGCCCAAGGGACCAACTGACCTTCAATTGACAGCTTGAGAGACCCGAATTAGTCTCATTGTCTCGCGCATCTAAATGGACACGGGCATTAACCACGCGAGCCCTTTGGGAGGCGATCCGAATCCCAGTTATAAATGACGATGAAGGACGGCCATTGGGTCTCCGGCCACGGGACATCTGTCTCCCAAACGCAATTGCGCCAACTAGGCTCCGGTTATATGAGTATCTTGCGGATCTACGCGATCCCTCTTGTGTTCATTCAAGAGATTCCTATCGTCCCTGGCGTGTTAGACTGCAATCGGAGAGCCGTGACCGTCTCGTACCGCTGGTTAATGGTGCCATCTCAGTGCTAAAGCAGCTCGAGATCAATTCACTTGATTCCTTTAGGTACGGCTATGCACTCCGGTGAATCTCTAGCAAGGCAGGTTAACATTCTTTTTCAAGTTGGCACACGGGCACGTGCCTACCGGCTGAGATATTTGGAGAGCAAGGGATACTGTCACTTCGACAGTCTTCTCTACGATCTCTCAGTATCATTAGCAGCTCGGCTTGTCAGAGATTATCCAGTATTAATCTCTTGCCTTTTAAGAGTTTGACAAGCCTATACTGGTCCGATGCCTCACCCTACAACCTCGAGGCCCTGGCCACTGCTGTCCAGATAAATGCATCGCAGCTTGAAACTCTCGAGGTGAATTTCGTCAACTGGCCTAGGTTTTGGTATATCGTTGAGGAGTCTGATGATCCGTTCTTACGTTACGATGAGATTGAAGACGAAGACGAACTGTGGATCTGTGAGGACACATATTTCGAGGACGAGGTTCTCGGGCAGATGCGAAACCCGTTACAGCCCATGTTTCCAGTGTTGAGAAGTCTTGCACTAACTCAAGTTCATTTATCCGATCGTACAATCTTAAACTTGAATATAGGCGCGCTCGAGTCCCTCACAATCCGATGGTGTGATGGCTGGGTGGCCTTTCTGCGCAGCCTCGTCGACCTCGGAGTGCCCTTGGATCTCGATCACTTTGAGCTGCAGGCAGCAAATCACGGGTGGGACGGAGAATATCACGCGTTGCTGGCGAGATTCTTAGAGAGTCTCAGCCGACCAAAGTCGCTTTCTCTAGGTCAACTGGGGACTCACTCAAGCCACGGCGTGTGGAATCGACTTGTGCAACACCAGAAATCGATCAGGCGTTTTGTGCACCAGCTAAATACCAAAGTTTTGTTTGATGGCAGCTCTTCTATCCAGGCTGAACATCTTACTGGGGAAGACTGGGATGGCATGAGACGAGACCCGTTCCGGGAAAACCCGTTCGCGAACTTCGAGTCGTTAGAATTCTTGGGGCTAACTTGTGAGCCGGCTAAAATGGTACGTGCACGACCTGTATTTTCGTCATCCTTGGTTGCTGGGCTTACATTGTAATGAATTGGCAGAGAATTATCACTTCACCGTTCGTAACCAAGTCCTGTCTTCGGGTTATCCACATAAGACGAACACTCGACTGCACACTATCTTGGCGGGACTGGTTTTTGACTGAAGGGGTTGGTGATAGCCTCGATCCATACGATGACTCGAAGGAAGCGGAAATCGACGAAACATGCGGTCCAGGTGAAATGAACTACGCCTTAAGAGGCGAGTTCCGTGATTTTGCAGAATGGGTTTTTGGACCGGATGGGGTTCACTCACTCCAAACCCTTGTATTCGGGGATCTTAGCCACATCTCCCACACGAGAAGATTTTCGCGTGACCAAGTAGTTCTTGTTCGGGACGAATCTGAATCTGGCAGTGGAAACTTCAAGATGGTTGATAGAGACGAAGCGGTGTTTACGTTCAATCTTGGCGGGTGCCTAGATGCCATAGAGGCCTGCCCGAAGTGCACATTGACAAAAACGGACTGAGCCAAGCGCATCTTGGTTGCCAGGATTATGATTCAAGAAGGCAATATTTAGCTTCACCAAGTCTTTATTAGTCAAGTTACAGGTTACTACCCAGTGACTTCTGTGAGCCAACGCCCCAGAAATGGCAGTTTCATCACACTACTGAAACACCACCTCCCAGTGAAGTGAGGTTACCTAGCCAGACTTGTTGTTTTTGCGGTTGCTGTTTGGGGACTCACGTGATGACATTTATTTACTTTTTTCCTCAGTAGTTCTCAACCGCGCCACCTCTTCCTCAAACACCGTTCACTTACTTTCTCTCACTTCCTGCCCTTCTTTACCCACACCTCTTATTGTTCCCTCATCAAAACTCATTGTCTCTCACCCATAACCATCTCACATTCTTCCTTCTATTCTGCTTACTTCTCTCATCTTGCTCATCGAAACAACAAGAAGCGAGAACAGCTATCTCAACTACTACTTTGCCATCCGCCTTGCTCTTACCGATCTCATCAACTCTGCTCTGCCGAGCTCGATACACCAACCATGGAGCTAATTTATTTTAGCAATCGCCCTTCCGGAGAACCGCCCCTCACTCTGGATACAATTCCAGTTGAGATCCTCCATCACATCTGCACATTCTTTTGCGACCACTGCAATCCGAAGAAATCTCATATTGAGAACTCTATGAACTACAACCCAAACAAGGGCAAGAAAGACTTGCTCAACTTGTGTCTAACATCACGAGCCTTGTGCGCCGTGGCTCAAGGCGTGCTCTTCCATCACTTCTCATTCGGACGTCACCTCAACCACAGTGGCCCTGTGGCATTCCGGCTCGCTGCCGCGTCTTTCCTCCAGGCCTTGTCGAACAAGCCACACCTCCGGGCCGTTGTCAAGGAACTGATGATCAAGACCAAGAGGGATACCATGTATCCGAAGGTTCTTGACTTTGGTTCACTGACCGAGGCCGACCAGCATAGTGCAGACCTCCTCCGAAACTTGGGAGCCCAGATCGGTATCCCGTTCCGCTACCATGAACTGCAGCCCGAAGACTTGCGCGAGGCAATGGTCCAACTCATGATAGCAGCGTGCCCTAATCTCTCCAAGGTAGAGATCCAGATCCCACGCTATTGGGCCTTTGATAAACTTGTGGAACGCAACTACACAAAGAGCACTAACCAACTGCCACTTTGTTCGCTTCAGACGCTGGACGCACTTGTTGAGAGACTTCCCACCGACAACTGCAGAGTTCCCCACGAGCTGTGCAACATGGCCGCTTTTGCAAGTCCCTCGGAGCGTGCTCTCATTGCCGGTTCGGCTTCAAGACTCGAGACACTGAAGTGTACACTCGGTGCTCTAGAGAACACTCCCGATATGCCGCGACTGGAGGTTCTCAAATTGGATGTCCGGGGTTCATACTCTGACTTGAAGGCGCTGTTCGCGAAGATGCCCAAGCTTCAGGAGCTGACCTACTGCTCGTCTAACAAGCACGGTCCGCTTCCCATCGAGGTCAACACTGCCTTGAGAGACCACCACCGCGAGACCCTGGAGGTTCTGGCGATCCATTTCTGGAAGGCCGATTACGAGGACCTTGTCATCCTGGATCCAACCATCGACAACACCGAGTTCCGCCTCGGTCTCGTGAACAACTTCACCAACCTCAAGACGCTCATCGTCGATGCGCTTCTGATCTAGAGGATCCGCGAAGCCCGCGAGAAGACGTCCCACGAGGAGCCCTTCCAAACCATCAGCGATACCATCCCGGAGTCCCTCGAGATGCTCTGCGTCCACGCCCTCGACATGGTTTCCCAGCCTGACTACACGCCCCTGTTTGAAGTGGCGGACAGGGTTCGCGAGGGTCGGTTCAAGGCCCTGAAGCATATCCTGTGGACCAGGAAGCAGAGCCGGAGTTACCCGTCTGGGCTCGGCTATCTTGAGCCTCAGGATGATATCCGGAAGAGCGGAGTGTATTATATTGGCGCGGTGGAACCTGAGACTGCGGTGGCCTTGAAGAAGAGATACCCTATCTTGATGACGATGCAGCATAACTACTATGTCTAATCGAGAGGGGATCGTTGATGGTCACGAAAGACATCCTGGAGTATCAGAGATACAGAGAGACGCGTATACCTATAGAGAGAGAGGTACAGAGAGAGAGATGCAGATTGAGAGATACAGAGAGGGGGATATGGCTGGTGGCAAGAAGGGATTGTTAATGTTTGAAAAAAGGAGACTAGAATGGAAATATGCGGAATCGAGGACAGTTTGATAAATTTTGTACGAACAGAATATGGGGAGATAGCAGCAGGAAAAGTTAGGAGCTAGTTTCGTGAACAAAAAAATAAAACAGACCAGAAAGTGAGAGCATGTTCTGAGCACTTGACTTACGATATAAAGACTAAAGAGGCAACCTGAAGCTACGGATGTCAATCAGACTTGTAGGAATCAACCATCCAGTTTGGCTCCCGGTTCCTCTGTCATCTTGATAAAATGAAAGCGAGAAGACTAAATGAAATATCCAGGCAACTTCAAGCAGCCTCCTAACTCGGAACGACTAAGAATCTGTGAATCCGTGAGTCGGTTTCAGCATGAGTCAAGTGTGCGCGAGTTCAGAAATAAAAATACCTTCTGTTCAATTCAAATATTTTTGAGGAAAGAAACATTATGGCATTATCTGCCTCACGTCTTAATCAAAGCATTTTTCCAACCCGCAATAAAAATGTGTTTCAAAAAGCGAAGTCACAGACTCGCGTACAACGACGACGGATTCCGGTTTTGCGATTTTGTGGCTACACCTCCAGTGCATTTCTCTACGCAGCTCAAGGTTTTCCAGCTTGAACACGCTTTTGCAGTCCCAAACAGGCAGTGGGACCGAGTTCAGGAGCAAGAGATTGGACATGGAATGTCACCAACGCGATTGTAGACATGTTACTGCTGATGGCCCTGGTCAGTAACGCGACCCTTGTGTCGCATTTCGTGTTCATTCCGAGTATGTATTTTTAGTACCGGTGTATCTCTATATTTAGAGCCTACCCTATACTCACTTGGCTGCGATACGCCGTCTCCGTTGCGGTGTCAAACTGGTAGCTGAAATTGCGGTTCGGTCTGATCCACTATGACTGATGAATCAGTTTGTGTACTCGACGACAATAAACAGCGTTGACTGAGGTTCATTGATGCAGGATCGAAACAATTGATGTGTGATGATGCACGGCTTACTCAAATGCTCATGGCATTCACGATCGCTTCAACCACAATCAAGAAATCAAGGTCAAACGTAAGCTAAAAATATAGAAACAAAAAAGAAACAAAGGCATATAAAGCAGAGAACCCTCAAAAAAGGCAAATGCGTGTCCTAGAAGCCGGCAGCGATAACAAAACGATGCAAAAATCCAGGTCACGGTGGGGATCGAACCCACAATCTTCTGATTCGTAGTCAACTGCCTTGCCATTGGGCCACGCGGCCGTTTGAGATGGACGCCGAGGCTGGAAAATCCGTTCAAGACGCCACACAAGGCTGACGATTCGATTGGCTGCAACCAACTGCTGGTCGCGTAGCTCAAGCCACAAACGCCCCATAAGCCAAGCCATTGTTCACCAATGAACAATCAGTTCTTGTTCTGGCCCTTCAGCATTGAATCACTGGGGAATTGGTCTGCGCGAAGCTGAGTGACTTTCATACTGGATCTGAGAACAGTAAAATGTTTGATGGCTTCTTTATTCACGCTGTTTCTGTCATGCACGGTTGGAAGCTGTGCCTTGCTGTTAGTAACCCAGTAAACGATCGCATGTCTTACAGCGATCGCGCGCAAGGGAAGGTCTCGATACAATGACGAACAACAATATCCCCGGATCTTTCCTGGACGGTGTCTGAATGGTATAGAATGCTTTGATTGGATTGTTGTCGGCCAGTGCGTCTTGTTTAGATAACCGAATACCCAGTCTTACCAGTTCCCCGTTGTACTCCGGGCGATGCTGACAGATGGTGAGAACCTTGTCTAGGGCCTGTAGAGCGAGCATCAATTAGCTAACAAGCGACATAAGCTTGAAGATTTCAGGATGAGCTCTTAGGTGGGCAGCCTCTGTATGCAGCTTGATCGCCTTGTACATCAAAATGAGGCCTCCCGATTGATTGTTGATCAAGGCATCTCGAGCTCATGTTACTTGTCGCCTTGGCTTCTCCCCACGAAGGCGGACGGGAGGCCTGGAGCCAGTGGAGCGGAATGGATTGAGCCCCTGCCGCGGGAAAATACAGTTGGGTTGGAAGCTAACCACGGGCCCGGTCTTGGCTCTTTTTAGTGGCACGCCGCCTAAAAATAGGTCTTGCTCAGTGGGCTCCTAGCGACAGCGCATTCCGGGCTTCAGCGGCGCCATTTGACTCAACTCAAGTGCAATCTCAACCACGACCAACTGCGGTATCGACCTTGTACAAAACCATCATCATGCCGCCTTCTGCAGATCCAGTCTTCCTCCCTCTTCATCCAGTCTAGATCTCACCAGTCATCGCTTTGGGACTCACCTCACCCTCCTCACTCACTGCATCCCCCCCAGCCTCCACCGCGCCGTCAGCACTACCACCATGTACCCCGCCTATCCTCAGACCATGGCTTCACCAAAGAGGCAAGGAATGCCCTCTATGATTCTGGCTGTCGCTGGTACGACTTCTGGCCTCAGCATCTCATACTCCGCCTTCCGCTTCTTCATGAGTCCCACCGCCAAGCTGAACACTGATGAGATCTTCCTGGTCGCTAAGATGGCGCCGCTGCTGGGCACGACGAGGCTGTTTCTCCAAGCATTCTCGCAGGACCTGCCTGACGACGAGTTTGGCATCTTCTGCGCCTTCTGGGCCCAGTTCATGTACTCGGCTCTGTACCTCAGTGGCCGCCCCAACGGCCTGCACACTGGCTACGCCCACCTTGCCAGCGCCAATACTTTGATATGCTCAGTCGGCCTCTTGGCAGCAATCGAGAAGCGCTGGCGCGAGATCTGGTCCAAGCCTGAGCCTGAGCCCGAGCCGGAGTGCGAGTACCGCGATGCCGAGAAGTGTGAGGAGGACTTTGAGGAGGCCATTCCCACCACCACAGTCTCCACCGTCCCCAAGAAGGCCGGTGATGCCGTCCGCGCCGTTCTCATCTTCTTCGCTGCCTGGGCAGCCTATCGTTTCATCCGCTTGGAGATTAGCCTGATTCCCCAGGGATGGTCCACGATCGAGGATCTCGGCGTTCTCGACACCTTCATCTCCAGCATCCGCGGCACTTTGGTGACCGACCTAGCCTTGATGGCTGTTCTCTTCGTTCTTACCGCCGTTCCCCTGACCGTCGCTATCAAGGACCGGACTGTGTCCCTCTTCGACGTGAGTTCATCCATCCACTCATTTAAATCTCCCCGATATTAACTGGTGTTTTAGGTCTCTGGGTACGCCCTCGTTGGTCGCGTTGTTCTTCTCCTGCGCCAACTTTTCGAAATGATCTACATCGGCCTTACCGCCTGTGTTATCGTCACTGGAACCACCATTGTGGCCCCAATGGACTTTATGAAGATCGCCTTTTCTCTTCTCGGCGGTTGGGCTCTGTGCGGCGTGCTGGCCATTGCATATGGAAAGCGCCCCATCCCCCGCCGCATTATTATTTAAGAGTACATATTTGATACCACTTTTTATTTTCTCATTTTCTTTTTCTTTCCTCTTCTTTTTTCCTTTGTTCTTTTTATTCTTTACGAATTAACTAGTACCCCACCTGGCTGTAGGGGGAAGTTTTGGGATTTTACGGATGATATGCATAGCATGGAATGAATCAAATCAAATTTTAAACCAAATTACCATTGACTTTTTACCTAATATGTGATGTACTTCGAGTCTATCGATACCGATTTACTCCCCACACCCGTCAATTATTTTGAACTTGAACTCACATAGGGATCTTACTTTATGGATTTGAGGGGATGGTAGGGATCCATCTCATGGAGGTTACACTACCTCGTAAAGACTCACGTACTGGTGTGTATATGCTGCAAGGCAAGGCGTTTGACTTCTCCATATAACCTTCATACACTTTTCGATCTTCTCGAGGGCAGCTCTCATAGCCGTGATACAGTTGGAGTTGAACCTGGTTGCAGAACGAGGCAGGTGGGGAGATGCCCGATACACGAGCGTGTGATGTGGTCAGTACAAACCATTTTCTCGGCCATAATGAAGCTACGTACCCCAAAGAGAAGGGCGATAGTTATGCTAGGGGCAGTGGGAAGATGCAGTGATAGATCTGATAAGGACAGATTGGACAAGGGATTTTTCGAGGTTATCGTGACACATGCAAGCGTGGCCAAGTCTCCCTCCATCTCCCCGGCAGAGGCGTGGAAACTGCAGTCCTCAAATAAAGAAACTGAGGCTAGCATTGGCAGTGATGAGGTTCCCATCTAAAAAATTCCCATTAACGTAAAAGCCAAGACACATGTCTATGGGTCGTTGAAATGGAAGGAACTCGTAAACCCAAACGGTTCATATGAGCCTCTGGGTCGGAATGGAGGGCGGCGCTGGGGCTGGCGAGCTCGAGGATAGCAATTGCCAAAGCCTGATTGTAAGACATTTTTGGTCATGGAAGAGAGAAATATTAGGGTAAACGGTATATTCTTTGGCGAAAGGGGTATTGACAGCGAAATGGCTTGTAAAGGGAAGAGGAAGGGCTGGAAGCGGGCTTGGTGTTGAAACAAGGCAGCTTGGCCTTTCAACAATTAATACTGACCCTATCTATCGACTTTTATAGTCGGGGAAGTGGTATACTTAATAGTAAATTGATATGTCTCCATTATTCTTATTCTTGTTATTAGTAGCCTAAAGGGGCTCACTTCAATATTTGTCTACAAGGTAAGACCCTGCGGGCGATGGGACCAGCACTCTATGTCTGAGTGCCTTGAAAATCAACCCTATAGCTTAATAGATACACAGAAGAATTCGTGACTTTAAGAATTAGTGGTTAGGGGAGATACAGCTGGCTGGAAGTGAGGTTTGTTTTAGTGAATTTGACGAGCCACTGTGGGCTAAAATACCTAAAGTGTTAATCGCCGAG